CTCTTACCATCATGACATAAACACACGAAATACGCAATAAAGTATTTGAGAAAGTTGCAAAGTCAAGGTATTGACGCCACCAGCGCGTGTGTCTAGCTCGTGGAATGTGAAATTTTGAGCCTGGCTTCAGCAAACAGCCCAAGAATTTGATCCAATCCATTTTACATTGTGTCACTGGATGGGAAATCCAGTGAACTTTTGCTAACCACAGTGAGAAAGACGCACTGCTCAGCGGAATTGTAAACGACAACAGGAATTAACACGCGATACACAAAAATCGTCACCGACACGTGCTTTGACATTCTGCCCGGAATATAAAAATGAAGCATTATGTAATATGCATAACAAAATTGGCCACCAGAATGGCCATTTCTGGCACACGTTCTAGCCAAGTTCCAGATCAAGGGGTAAACATGTGGCGCAATCACGGTTCACTCAGAACGCAATCTTCGCAATCCCAAACGCAATCCGCAATCCCTAGTGTAAAATCGCAATCTTTGGGCGCAATCCGCAATCCTTAGTGTAAAATCGCAATCTTTGGGCGCAATCCGCAATCTTTAGGCGCAATCCGCAATCTTTTGGCGCAATCCACAATCCTTAGTGTAAAATCGCAATCTTTTGGCGCAATCACCGCAATCTCTAAGAGTATTTCGCGGAATTTGGGTAGTTTTTCTCGGAATTTCGCACGTATTCAGATTGATTTACTATTTTTAAATGGCGTGGTGAGCAAAAATGTGGTCTGTTCTTTGTGATATCTTACTAGTAATTCTGTGATCCAAGTAAGTAATTTTATTATTACTTTATACGGTCAATCACACAGGACGTAAAGGTATAAATTCTACCAGTGATCTCGTAAAAAAAATGTTTAGAATATTCTCATTTAGTAAATTCACTAACAAAATATATTTTTTTGGTTTAAACTTGGGTGTGAATTCCTTCAGATACCTGCTGCTCAAATGAGATTTCACGATAGGTATTTACTGGAATTATAAATATAGGCAGATTAGCACTTTTACATTGCTTCGAGTCGATTTTCTACCTGAATTCCTTGAAACAAGGGCAGATTTTTACAGAGCAAAATGCAAAATTTTGAACCACGTTGAGTCGTTGGCAAATTTTTTTCGAACGCAGGGTATAAATTTTAAACATGTTTTTGATCTGCATTTATACAGTGTGGCAGAGAGAAGAAAATTATTATCATTGAAAATTTGATTGATAATAATTGCATTGGACTGGCTATTTTCTGACCAGGTCATATTTGCAAGTATTAGTGTGAGTTCAAGCAACCCAAATAAACTTGGCCATTGAGCGAAAATGTTGCAAAATGAATATAGGGATTATACATGGGTATTTCCCAAAGGATTCTCTGTCTTTGAAATTTTGCTAATTATTGTAACGAACTTTCTTCTTTCCTTAAACCAATGGTTATTACTTGAGAAAACGTTGAGTTGAACACTTCATATGCCTATTCAGACTCTCAGAAATTAAAATAGCAATTCCATCTCGAGGTATCAAAAAGTGTTTAGAAAAAACTTCCAGATGACCAATTAACTACAGATGAGAAGGTTTTCATGAATGTCTTTGGTTCCGAAGTTGTCCTCTCTGATCTAAGTCAATCTCTACCTGGATCTGCTTGAGGATCGTCTCTCGCTTTATTTTCATTTATCATCGCAAAATACAAATTTATTTAGGCAGTAAACATGCAATACTTGTGATGTTTCTACAACTGTAGGATATACGTATTTTTGGAAATTTCACGTCTCAAGGAAAAACAAAACAATTTTTTTTTTTTAATATTTCTATGTACGCGCCGCACGTGGTTGACGAGTGAGTACCAAATTCTCAGAAAAACTACCCGAATTCTGGTCAAATTCCGTTTAATACTCGAAATTAAGTCGAATGACCCGAAATATTACCCAAATTCCGCTGAAACGCAATCCCGCAATCCCAAACGCAATCCACAATCCCTAGTGTAAAATCGCAATCTTTGGGCGCAATCCACAATCTTTGGGCGCAATCCGCAATCTTTTGGCGCAATCCGCAATCCTTAGTGTAAAATCGCAATCTTTGCGCGCAATCCGCAATCTTTAGGCGCAATCCACAATCTTTAGGCGCAATCCGCAATCTTTGGGCGCAATCCGCAATCTTTTGGCGCAATCACACAATCTTCGCAATCCGAGTTCACTCAGAGTGGCACATGTTTACCCCTTGTTCCAGATATGAATTTCAACACTCCATTTCAACAGCAAAAGCGCATTGCATAAGAAAGCTCTGTGTATTCACCAGAGTCTGCAGGGGAAAAGAAATAAATTCGAATTTGTCAATTTATTTTCCTCCGCTGGAGCTTGAAAAGACTGTTTGATGTTCTCTTTTACGAAACGCTTCTTCAAGCGAATGTTTCAAAAATCCGCGTGGATTTTGTATTACATTTCACATGTTTAAATACCCTGAAATTCAAAGTGTCGACGATGCAGAAAAAAAGATGGAAAGAAACGCTGATAAGCGCCAACTGTGCACTGCTTCTAAGTGAGCTGGGCTTTTGAGGGGCGGAATCAGAATGAATACAAGTCGTACAAAGATGACTCATTACTTTATCTTCACTGTTGGTATTTCAAGATTGCAACAAATTCTTTGAGATCTGGAATGTAGTTTGTGAATTGCTCTCCACAGATTTTAAGACCTTTTGCAATAGAAAGACTTAACATGATTCGCAATCCCTCTTTTCACGCTTTTCGACGACAATTAACAACATTTATGGCACGATTTGCTAACAAATCCTTGCGTGAATTTTCCTTTTTATCACCACAGTTTCTCTATAATTTGTTCAGAGCAAAGAGGATTACTCTGCAGAAATTATATCATGACGAAAATGTGTAGATTATGTTAAGAATTCTAAGCAACGCGACGTTCTTTCGACACGTTTCGTCTCTAAAGCTGACAAACATCCTGCCATAGAAAGTCTGTCAATGAACTTTGCCCTGAGTCGATGCAGGAATCCCAAGTATCTGTTCCACATCCTGAGATAATTTATTGCAGAGCACTTCTTTTCCACAAGTCAATTTGTCTGTGCAGCTGCCGAAGGTTTCGAATCGCGGGCGCCAAGAGTGCTCAATCACTGCGTGATAAATGGGTGGAAATGAGTGAAATTGCTGGGTTGAATGGTGCGAAAATCATTGAAATGATGGCGCATTGCCTTCGGGAAGACACCAATTTCGAGTCCCTGGAGCTTTCCGATTCACATTCGCACCGCGCGCCATTCACACGAGAAGAGTGCTTATTTATTTGGCGGAGATGAAAGAAGAATGGCCGCGTGTGCTGAAGCAATTACTAATTGCGGGGAACAATGGCCAGAATCGAGCAGATTGGAGAGGCATCAGAAAAATATCTGCAAATCAAGGTCCACGAGATGCGTGTGGCTCTTGAACTCAAACTATGCCGCACGCGCCAGAATATTTTGCTGGGCAGCAAATAGTGGAAGAAAGGCGAGGGAAAAAATATCGAAAACCCCCCGCCACTCGGCATATTTTATGCATTACACCACTTTCTATTAAAATGAAGGAAAAAATCCTCGTGGGACGAAGAAGGCACTGGTTTGGGGTTGCGGAAAAGCTCATCTCTCAGTCATATAATGCAAAACGTGCCATTTGGCTCTGCAGGCGAGGCAAATTCCTCTGCGGCCACCAGTTGAGATTGCTGAGCCTCATCCATTTTGCGTCTGGTGTCCATCTGTTTGCGCTCGGTGGCATGCCAATCGAGTGATGGGAAGATGAGAAATCTCCGTAACGAATTCCCATTTCCCCTGCCAAGAGGCCGAGAGGAAAATTTGGCAGAACTCAAATGAAACAGGAGGAACATGTGAAATTGTGGGCATTTTGTAGCCATCCACGCCTCCACTGAGTGCCTCCGGGGTGTGTTCGGGGGCGTAGAGCGAAACATCCGAGAGGATATTCAATATCTTGGCACTCTCTCTTGTGGCATTTTGACAAAGTGAGCTCCGAAATTGGGAAGAAATACACATTTTGCAGAAAACTTATTCCCAATGTCCATTATTCAAATCAGTGATATTCTAAATGTCACTCAACCCTTCATAGCCATCCATGAGCTTTAGAAGCGACTACCAAATCAAGATCTATCATAACTACGATCGATTAAAGACGACTAATTATAATTAAAGTCGTTTGCAAAAATTCTATTCAGCATATTATTATTAAAATGTGTGAAGGGTTAATGAATACACACATATTCATGCAATTTTCTTTATCGATTTATCGCTGTTTTGCAGCCATTTAAATGCCATGTTTATCTCAAAACCCGCAAAAAAACCGAACAATTCATTTCTCAAAATTTCACTGAAGTTTGGACTTCGCAAGTGAATTGATGAGAGTGAGGAATTTCCATTGAATCCCACCAACGCGCGACCAGATTTGTAGCATTGCACCTCACGGGCAGTGCGAAGAAATTCTCCGTTTGCGTGGCAGAGCATCTCTGTAGAATCTCACTTATTTGGCGCTTTGTATGCAGCCAAAGAAGTCGATTGAAGGAATTCGCGGCATTCAAGGTATTCGCCTTCCTACAGCTGGCGTGCGAAATCCGTGAGCGAATGGCGGATTTTTGGCTCCAGCACCGCGATTGCCACACAGTGTGCTGTGGGGCTGGACCGGGAATTCCAGCGTGATCGCGGACGTCTCCATTTAAGCCATGGGCTTTGCATCACTGCGCCCGCGATGGCAGACACTTCGCCGACGCCGACCAGTTGCATTTGGTGGAGGCTTTTGGGGCCAAGGAGTGCCCCAGCGCGCGGGGCGCCCGAGCGCGGGAACTCTCCGCTCGGCGCTGTGTTGGTGAGCACACAAGCAACTCGAGTGTGTGATATTTATCCCCCCAGACGGCCCCAAGTCGACACGGAGAGTCGCCGAGCGCAGTGCAAGAGCCAAAGCCAGAGTGTCAGTCAGTTGGTGCGTGAATCTCGCAGCGTTCAAGTCAGTCTTGGTCTTCTTGCCGTGGAAGAAGGCAGCACTGAGAGTCACTGCTCAAGTAATTGCCGCCACACGATAGCACAGCCGTCGTGTGCTGGTTAGCGGAGATTTATAGCATTGAGACAGAGCTGATTCTGCATTTAATTCGCGCAAGAAGAGTGACTTGTTGAAAAGTCGAGGTGTTGCACGTGAATAGTAGTGCTGCTTGTGGTGCTTGTGAACAAGTCTTCGAGTGCCTGGAGAGGACAAGTGCTTTTCTCTGCACCACAAAGAGTGAACATTGTGCGATACACATTCAAGAGTGTGTCTTTTGGCAGAAAAAATACACCTGAGCAGAGAGTGAAAGAGTCACAGGTAAATTTCTCAGAGATTCGTCACCGATCTTTGGGCCGAAGTTGTTCTTATCTCTGTGCCTCTGTGTCCAATTTCGCAACTCTTGTTCCCACCATTTGGTGTCCTCTTCGCTCCGCCGCGAGTCTATTTTAAGCAAAACTTCCTGCCATAAACAATTCAGAAATAGGTATCGACTGCAGACAAATTGATGATGAGGCAGAGAACAAATCTCTCGCACCGAGTTTCTTGCAAAATGCTCAATATACGCGCCATTCTTTATGTGCCGAGCATAGCTAACTTACTAACCTTCATAAAAATCAACAGAATCGTGATTTTATGGAATGAAACAGTCTCGATCACGATGCTATTTTTATCGCTAGTGTTATTTTTAAATAAATATTTAATCTTAAGCGTATTAATCAATATGAAATGCCGCTAGTTTATCAAGTTTATCTCATTGTTTCAGTCTTGCCGTGTCACAATTACACGGATTTTCCATTAATATCTACACGAATTATTGTAAAAAAAAATTATTCTCATTTAACACTGTGGCAAAATGGATGATTTCTCACCTATTTCGATGGTTTCTCTGAGTTTCTCAGAAATTCTCTTGGCAACACGTCAAAATCCTCGCCATGAATAGTGAATGTGCTTCAATCGACTGAGTTTATCAGCTTGATAGGGATTAGCAATCTCATAGAGAAGTAATCGTTTTTATATTTGTAAATCATAACTGGAGGGCGGAGTAATTCCATATGTTCTAGGTAATTAGATAAATTAATCAGTCTTGTTAATAATATGTCATTAAATTCAGTTTAAACACATGCAATGTGTGGCTTAACGTGCGTGAAAGATGGAAAGAGAAAAGTGATTTCGGTGTAAATGATTTCGTGGGTGGTGAAAACATGGGGTTTTTTTCCTCTGAAAATCAAGATCATGAAGAAGACTTTATTGTCAATATCAATTCGAACGATGCCACGAAGGTCGTGTTGTATTATTCTGAAGGATTTTTTTATCCATCATGTTGCAATCGATAAACGCTAATTCCTTACATTACGCGAATAATTCATCATATTGACAATTTTCAAAGAGGATTGTTGAAAGGATTAAAATCGCAGCAATTTATCTCAATTGACTTTCATCAAAATATTTACATTAATGCGAGATTATACACTTTTGGGTATTTTTGCAATTAGCAATCAAATATCTCTGAGTATTTGCTTTTCTACCATGTGAATTGATCATGGGAAAATCACGACTCGCCTCAGTTCTGTCGAAATATTTTCACAGGAATGCTTTTTATCCAATAATCGGCGTTGTTTTTATTAAGCTCGCTGGCCAAATAAACTCTGCAAATTTGTGGTGTTTTGCGGTTAACTCTCGTGGACTTTTGAGGCATTTATTAACTCACGTGAAGTGTGCGATGTTTGCTGATCAGCCACACGAAAAATCCATCAATTCTCGTTTCTGTCACAGATCAAAGAACTTCTCAGACGAGAGTTTCAATTCCCAAATGGCTAAATTGCTGCTTAACTTGTCAAGGGTGCCATCCTTGACTTTGCAAGAGCACGAAAATGATATCACACTATGTGTGGTATCTGGGACACTTCCTTATTGATATTTCACTCACTGAATATTTGTGTCAAATTTTATGGGCGAGTTTTCACTGTTTCTCATCAACCAAAAGGACGCGCGTCAGCCAAAGGAAAGTGGAAAGAGAGACAATTTGCAATATCAAAAGTTTCCCCGACAAAGGAAACTACAGCAAGAAGTGTCTTTAATCAGAGTGACGAGAAGTATCACTGGAAATTCGATAATGGTGTGCACAAAAACTGGTTGTTGGCTTTCTTGATCAAATTTGCCAATTTATGGCCGTACAGCAAGTGCCTCTTGTGGGAAAAGTCCTCTCGTATCTTTATTTGCTCCTGTCAATACATTCTTGTATGGTGCTAATAAAAATATTGACGCTCTTCTTTCAGGTTTATCGCATATTAATAATATTTGACAATAACCATATGCTTACGATAGAATGATGGAAAAAGAACACAATTTATTTTTATTGAACACTTGAATAAACAAGAGGGTTTTTCTCTCCTTTTGCTGCATAGTCAGAAATCTCTGGGAAAAGGGGGGAAATTTCAAGTTTTGGCATCTGACAATCTGGAGATCCCTAAATCAACCTTCTCAGCGCCTTTCTTGTCAGTCAATTTAGCAATTTTTCTCTCCGCGCCGCTTTTCGGCACAGCACTTGTGGCCCAATTGAGCTCATTAGTTGAAATTGAGGCATCAGCCGCCTAATTTGCCTATGTAGGCAGCTTTAAATCACTTAATTACCCTCTTGTGGCCAATTGGTTCAGTGCAAGAAATATCCGGAAATGGCTCGAGAGAACTGGACGATTTCTTCGCTCTTCTCATATGGCTGAAAGCACACATTGAGTGAGTTTCCCTCGAACTCTTCCACTCCTTCGCTGGCGAAAACTTCCCTTGGGATTAGCATGGAAATTTGGCTCGTGAGACAGCGAAATTCCAGTGTCGAGGGGAAGCCGGTGACGCGGAGTGCCATTTGGGGCCGCCGGAGGCATAAAGAGTGTCATAGAAGCTCCCCAGCCGGCGATGCGGATGGTGGAAATCGATTAATTAGAGCCATAAGACCAAATTTGCATAGTGTGGCGTCAGCCAATTGTTTATATTAATGCTGCACGACCGATGGCAATTGCTGTGCGTGCAGAAGCTCACAGAACTGCCAATGCCAATTGATATTCCACAGCAAGAATTCAAAAGAAAAAATCCGTCCATTATTCAGCTTCAGTGGCTGATCAATGAGGCGCCTAAATTGGAGTCATATGACTCGAATTAGAGTTACCAGCAATTATTTTGCACAAGAGTCACATGCCTTGAATTCAACATCTCATGAGGCGATCAGCTGAATTTTGGAAGTGCTCCAGTTCTGCCCGGCTCTCGCGCAAACATCAATTTATCACGTTCTGGGGATTCTACTTGGTGAATCACAGGGAGAGGCGCGTTTTTTCTCTCTAGTCAATTGACAAAAATTGGCATATCTTCCGTCCGGTTTTTGTGAATGAACCGAATGAACACACGTAAAGTGGTTAAAATACAACGATATTTTTCATCAAATGATTTTTTATGACAGCTTCCCAAAGCAAAGTTCAAAGACTTTTTCCCACATCTTCTCAGTAGTGATTTGAGTGCCGGTCTATGTTAAGATTTCCACCGAATCACAATGATGAGTTCTATTTTTTATCGAGGAAATTGAAATAATTTTCATCCATTCAACAACCATTAATAACATCACCAACAAAGAAGCACGAAAAAAAAATCATCGGATTTGCACGATTTTACAAACCATAATTTTCATTTCCCTGTTTATTATTTCTTTGTCTCCATTTTTGCCATTGTTGGAGCGCTTTTTTGCAATACTAAACACTATTTTTACTCACCAGTCATGAGGCAAGGCGTATTGTGTGAAATTGTTCATTGCCGAAAATGCTACACGACGACTTGCGTCATGTCTGTGTTATAAAATGCGGATACAATGGCTCTAAATTGTACACTACTGGTGGCGCAATCGGTGTCCTCTTCGCTATGGCGAAAATACCAATTATTCTCGCCCTCCGGCCGGCGCCCAAGCGCCGGCGTTCACAGAGATCCGCGCGGGTGGGAAAAGTTCAGCAGTAATCATCGACGACCCAAAAGTTTTATGTTTCTGCAAGCATGTGGAGAAAATTGCCCACCTCGACTTACACATTTTCCCATGGCATATCTGCCCAATACATTAAGTAGAGCTAATGGATTCGTGTCAGTTCGAGAGATGCCACATAACACCCATTGAGGGACACTCAAATCGAGAAGAATTTGAGATTCACCACGTCAGCTCTTATTCCTGTTCTTCATCGATGAATGACTCAAGTGGAAAAGTGTATATAAGGCACACCTCCATTTAAATATTCCCTCCTCATTTCAACCTTAATTGCAGTTGTGGTCAAAGCTGAAAACTCCTTATTTATAAATATAAAATGAGTCTTTATGCAAGTTAATTACACACTGAATTTCCCGTGAAAACTTGTCACATCGGGAAAAATGTATTTTATATTTATTATTCTGAATGAAGTACACATTTTTATCTATTTGACTCTTAAAGGATTCCTCTGAGAAATTTAGTCCATATGATATGGGATTTTCCCATGATTCTCACGGGAGTTTCCAATAAAAATTCGTTCAATAATTGCCATGATTTTTAAGCACATCTATTTGGTGTATTCAGCAAGAAACGCTGCAGTTCGAGAACTCTCCTTGAAAATTCCAATCCGCAATAAAGTTCTCCACCATTTGATGGTTGGGCAAATCAATGGAATATTACCGAGTAATCTTCCACATGACTTGACGCAATGCAAATGCATGATGTGAAAAATAATCACATGCAGAATTTACAGGTCCGCTCTGATATACTCTGGAAGAATTCTCGTCGCGCAGTCTGCAAATTAGAGAGCATCACTCCGTGTCAGTTGCCACAATCATCCCTCCTCTTCAGGGGTCATGTTTATTTACGAGTCTTTTGGTCTTTGTGGGTAATTTTCCGTCGCGAGAGAAACACACGCAGTCTCTCATCCCTCGGAGAGCGCGCGAGTTGACATGGGAATTAAAGGGTCATGCGGTTTTTTGCCATTCCTCATCATCAGTTTACCAACCCCTTCGGCTGATGGCTTTTCATTCTTCTCTCTGATTTCTATTTTTGTGCTCATTTGCATTTTTACAACTTCTCCGGGGAGGAAAAATGTCGTTTTTCCCCGTGGATTGTTTAAAAACTACTAATACTCATATATGTATGTCCAAAGAGTTAAAGCACCGCACGAGAATTTCCAGCAACTTCCGATCCTTCAACCCAACATTCCTCCCTGCTATTTATTTAGGAGAGAAATTAATTAAAATACCCACTTTGGGATGTAATTAAGACGTCTCCAGAAGCAATAAAGAGGACAATCATTTTCATTCATTTTTTCCTCAGCCACTGAATGGCAGCAGAGAGAATGACATGGAGGCATTAATTAAAGTGTTGGTAGAAATGTGTGAGGTGTGGCGAGCTTTTTTCAAGCTCACAGAAATCGCCAGAGAAAAAAGTACAATCAATGAAGTGGAACAACTACCACCCACAATGGCGGTTTTTTCCAGCTCTCAGTGCTTCCAGTCGCTGGTCTCCTTCCCTCAGCACTTATTTACACAAATGGTCACATAAATTATTGGCACAGGAAGATATAATTCTTGGACGCCTTCCCACGGGCAGGGCGAAACTAATCATCACCGCAGTCTGTTGCCGAGCAGGTCTTCTAATGATGCCTTCCAACGAGTTGTACACGGTCAATGTCTTCGAATGTGTGTCGATTTGATGGAACTCTTCTCGCTCTCTGGAGCCATGAAGTCACTCGACACAATGTGACCTTATAGATTCCCATGCTCGGTAACATGATCTGCAATTTTTCACAGCTCAACTTTCACACTCTATATTTTGATGAATGCCCAAAGGTATTCATTTACATGCGCGCGATATGATGAAAATTCTGGCAGAAAAACCGCCGCTCAATGATGCCACCGCGAGCGAATAAACTTAGTCATCGCAGTGGAAGATTTATACCAACACCCAAATGTAATTCCTCCGTGTTGGCCACTCGAGAGTCGCGCGAATGTAAATCAGTGTCACAAAATTACGTGTGTGTGTATTTTTACAGAAGGACCGCACCTCTTTACCCCGTAATTTATCTAGACACACTTCCAGTAAATTCTTTTCTACAACTTTTCCCATATAATACAGAAAAATGACAAGTGATCTTAGCCTATTTCCAGACTTATTTACGGTCCATGATTTCGCGGAAACAGAGCTATTTTTCACACGTTTATCATGCTCGAAAAATAAACTTTGTTCCCAATAATCCGTAAATTAAACATGAAGAGCAGACTTCTTCGGAATCTCATCTCAGCACTCGTCATTGCCGAAGAAAGAATGGAATTTTGGTTACAAATTGCTTTCGGCATAATATTTGCATACTAAAATGACCTCACTAGACCACAAACATGACCTAATCACTGCATTTACTTTCATGTGACGTTAATCTCACGTCATATCGTGAAGAATGTTTCTATATACAGAGAATTTCTGAGGGCAACACTCAAGGCGGAGCCCAAAAGACCTAAAAAATCACTTTTTGCCACAATCACACTATTTGAATATAATTTGTATTGTGATGCCACAATTATGACAAAGAAGAGGATTCTTTTGTCATATTTGCTGCATCAGAGCTTGGAATATCAGCAGCAAAATGTCAATATTTGGCCCTCTTCCAATTGTTAATCACGACCCTGATTGAGAATCAATGTCGCCGCAGTGAATCAATGAATATCATACATATTGTATGGCTTGTGATGCACAGAATGTTGTTCAAGCAAGTAAACCGAATCTCGCGAAATGGTAAAAATTCGACAATTCAATTATCTCACATTTCATGTGCTACACAAAGAGCGAGACAAGAAGATCAATAAATTATTGACTCTGTCATGTAACTGTGATAATGGCTGAGACACAGTGTGGCAGCAACACTGAATGAACCAAGAGTTTATAATTAACACATGCGAGAGAGAGTGCGATAGAAAAAGGATGTGTTAATTGTAACGAGCTGCCAAGCTGCCCACCTTCACGCCCCCGAAATAGAATGCCAATAAATGCCTACTTTTGCCATTGTTGCATAATGTTTGATCAGGGGAGGTCTTTTGTACAGAGCCATCAACAATAGCCTGAATGAAGCGCGATAGGAAGCCAAACATTCGCACATTTTCGATGTCTCTCTTTATCGGGTGTAATGCGATTTAGTGGTGCAAAGTCCAAAAATCTCATTCATATTCTCCCATTCTGCACATGATGCGATATGTCGCGTACATGACTAAGAAATATGATATTTGCTGTACGCATGAAAACGCTGTATTTTGAATTCACGCCACTCTTGTTTGATGAGTGCTTTACGCAAGATGAGAACAGCGGAAATTTCTGTTATTAAACGCCTTATTTTGCCATCTCTGGTTTGTTGATCCCGTGTGACTAATGAGAAGACGTGTGAAAGTTCTTCCAAAAGTTCCTCCGGCACAAAGACTCACTTTCATGTCTTCTCCTCGGAGCCGCAAGGAAGGCAGGAACAGCAGCTGGTATTCCCATGACATTCATGTCATTTAATCATATGTGGAACTGAAAGGAGAATTCAATTATTTACTATATGGTCAGCTGTGGAAATAGCTCACTCTCTCCTCGACATTGCCACTGAAACACTCTTAAAAGTAATTGCGGAGTGAGAAGTGCGGGACAGGGCAAAACGAATAGAAAATTCAAATGAAGCTCCATTCACAATGGGAGTTGCAATCAATTTTGTCGCGATTCGAGGTCAGGTGGCACAATGATTATCAATGTGTTAATTTTTAATACATTCTCCCCTCCCGCAGTCAATGTAAATTTATGAGATCACATGGCAGAGATTTTCTGTTGATTATTTCCATTTCCTTGTCTTCGTCTCTTCTTGACTTTGTCACATTAGTTTTTCCCATCCAACTCGCTTATGTGGGAATGCAGAGAAGAAAATGTGATGCGAGGAACAACAAAAAATGAATATCAAGATCAAGATCAAGAATCAAAAACAAGAAATCAAGATCAACAAAACAAGATCGAGAATCAAGTTCGAGAAATCAAAATAACAAAATCACGACCAAAGAATTTTGATATCTCAGATATCATATTCAAATATTTCATTATTATTTTGAATAAAAACCTTCAAATATCCTTTCTGATCAATTTTTCACCTAAAGACAAAGATTTCATATTCCACATTGTTCCCAAGAATGCCAGATCATCCATATGTTAAGCTAAGCACTGCTTTTCAACACTTTTCCCTTTCCTTCTTCTTTCAGACACCGGTCGTGACTTCACGATTTCTGCGAAGTTCTTCGCGCATATCACAATTCCATCAATTGCGAATTGTGCCAAAAGTCAGTGAATCAGAATCCAGTTCCTGGGAAATCTGAGCGCGGCACCAAAAATCTTGAGAATTGATTCTGCCTGCCGAGATATTCGAGTCGCCAGTAGACATTTTAGTGCAGTCATCAAGTATATTGTAAATCACAAAGAGTGACTGGGAAAGTTTGTGTAAATATTGACTCAAAATCATCATCTTTTGGATTCTGTGCGCGCGCCAAGCGTGCTGATTAAGTGATTTGCGCACAGCTGCTAAAGATGGGCGACTCATGGTGATGAGCTGCAAAGTTGTGATCTTGAAAGTAATGCGCAGAGATGGCCATAGATTTCTTCATCGGAGCCTTGCTGCTGCTCTCGGCCAGTGTCAACGTGCTGGCGCTGGGCGCCTTCTGGATGACGCCCAGCCTTCGCACCACCGCCAATCGCTTCGTCATCAATCTGCTGATCGTGAATCTCATCTGCTGCATCATTCTCGGGCCGTCGCTCCTGCTCAACTGCAGCGCCCTGAGGCCTGCTACTGAGGATGCCGACGAGACGCCCAAGTTCAGCTGCAGTCTCAACCGGACGGCGCCCGGCTGCTCCACGAACATCATCTTCCAGGAGACTGCGGTGTCGGAGAGCAAGAACACCATCGTCATCGCCGAGATCGACGAGGAGGTGGAAGAGCTGGATGAGTCGCCGGGACTGGGTGTTCACCTCTGGACGCTAGACGTGGCAGCCGCCCTGGGAGCTTTGTCTGTGCTCCTAGTGGTCGGGGACACGTGGTGCGCTGTGACTGATCCCCTGCGATACCATTCCCGCGTGTCCGGACCTCGTGCGTGGGCCCTCATCGGAGCCACGTGGTGTCTGGGCATCGTCTTCGGGGTGGCGTCAATTTTCCGAGGCGAGGACACGAGTTTGTACGAATCCGAGGGGATATATAGCGCTGTCTTCTCCTTCGCCTACTTCCTGGTCATCATCTTGTTGCCATTCGGGCTAGTGTGCGCCATGTACTGGCGAATATTCCGGGAGGCGCGCTCCAATGGACTGCGGATGCGCCAGAATGGCTCCTCGCCACTCCTCCAGAGTGCCCTGAATCTCACCTCTTCCAACGCCCAGACGGCCGCCCAGCAGAATTTGGGCGAGAGGCACTCATCCGTGCCGCCGGGCGGGCTGCTCATGAAGCTAGATAAGGAGTACGATGCCAAAGATTCCAGCACGAAGCCGCTGCTGCTCAACAAACACCTCGAAATACCAAAGTCCATGGACCGCAACCAGAACAGCATCCTGCTGTCGCTTTCGCTGGCCAGCGGCGAGTCCATGCGGCGGAACTACAGCGCCCGCCAGCTCTTCCCGCTCGAGCACCTGGAGGACGAGGATCTGCGCTGCGATCTGCGGCACGCGAACTCCACACCCAATTTGCACAAGCACAGCGCGGTCGTGGACGTGTCCGGGCCTCTGCTGCCGCTGCCCACGGTGCAGGTGCACCCCAAAGCTCTGAGCTATATGACATCCATCAGGCACCGGCTCTCTAACGCCTCCTCGCTGTTCAAGTACCGTGAGGAGTCGCGAGCGGCGCGCATCAGTATCCTTGTGGTGATCATGTTCCTCGTCTCGTACATCCCGTACGGTCTACTGATGCTGCTGGAGGGACACAGCGTGCCGCTCCTCAGTCCCGCCGATCGCACGCTCGTGGCCATCTTCGCGGTGGTGCTGGGCAACCTCAGCTCACCCTTCATCTTCGCCTACCGCAACAAGCGCGTCCGCCGCGGCGTGCGACGCCTTATGGGCATCGACGCCAAGACCAACGAGCGCTTGCAGCGGCGGCGCAACACTACCAAGACCAAGACCATCACTCTAGCCACGGGCGCCAAGACGGACCCCAAGAACACCTTCGTACTGGAGGTGGAGAAGTGTCCGGACTTTGCCGCCGATCAGCAGAAGCTCCACAACCAACACAACCTGCTGCATCCGCCCAAAATCCCAAGCTTCGAGCCGCACGCCAGCCCGCGCTCAAGCAACGCCGACTCCATCTTCGGCAAGAAGCGCTCCCTGCTCAAGAGGATGTGCGACACGTCGCGCAAGTGGGGCTGCGCCACGGACTCCTGTGCCAGCGAACAGACGGACGTGTGAGTGTGGAAATTATCACATCCCCAGATTACAGACTTTCTCACGCGGCGTCGCTTGACATAGATTCGGGGCATTAAGAAAGTTTCCATGGAAAATTCTCTGTCGCCATTAGACTTCCAAAAGCGCACGAAAGTTTCCCGCACTTAAATTTCTCACATTATTTCATCGCATCATGTGAAGTAGTGAGTGAGAGAAGACAAGTTGAACATGAAAAGTTCACATCACTGAGCGAGCCTCTCAATATTCGCTCAATTAATGCAAACGCTTTTTTTCTGTCTGGAAGACTAAAGCCGTGAGTCAGAGACTCTTTTGCCAAACTTGATTTTCTAGGAAATAAAACGTGAAATATCGCCTGACAGTCAAAAATAGATCTCAATTCGCAGTGGTTCAGAGACTATTTTCATCTCTGGCGCTGGAAATGTTTCGTGGCGCTGTTGGAAGCCTAATCGCGTGATCCTCAATTTATCATTCATCCGGAGAATTGAGTAACGATGCCAGAACAATGAGCTCTTCTGTTTACAAACTCAGAGATTGTTGACAATTAAGTTTATGCGGAGAAGTGTGTTACTAGAGGAATTAAGATTTGGTGCTAAAACACTTAAGTGATATCGATAGGAAGATACTTTCATTATGTGAAGACACGGAACTGTTGCATGAATCAAATTTACAGGGTTAGAAGAATAGCACTAAAGAGACGAATTGACAAATATTTTTGCACGCGCGGTTTTTTGGACGGAAAAGTCAAAAGTGTATGAAAAATCTGAAAGTGTGGTACAAATGCTGGCAAAATGTTCTTGTTGAGTAGTTTTATGCTCTTCTCATTTTTTTATATAAACCTACAATCAAGTGTATTATATTTAATTGTTATTATTGAATGGAAAAAAGTGTATGTTTACAGAGTATAGAACGCATGAAAGCTGCAAAGTATTAACTGAATTGACACAGAGAGAAGATATCATATTTATGAAACGTGATACCGAATTGATAAACTCGAGTGTTATTTGGAGCGCCTCTCTTATCCAATTAAATTCACTTCATTTTCTCCGGCGCGTCTCCAAACATGATTAAGTCAACTCACCCTCGAGACAAAGGCCAACCAGCTTCTAAATTGGCAACACTCTTAAAATTTCCTTATCATCGCAAAATCTCAGCCGCTTCTTTTGCAAAGTATTACAACTTGGCATTTTTTTCTCTCACTGTAAATCTCTAATCTAAACGATTCCACAGGCGATTTTTAGGCAATAACTCTATCTCTATGGCGATATTATGGTCAGCATAAAAGTCTAATACGATTCCTCGACATTCGCTGCCCACAGATTGTGCATTAGTATATTTTATTTATTCTATCTCAGCCTGTTTTCCTTTCGACAATGAGTGCTGAAATGTGGGTGGCATAGTGGAAAATTACGCTGACACCATTGCCCAAACGCATAAAATGAAGAATGTTTTCACAACAGAGTCTAATGAGATACTTATTTTAGTTTACCTGAAGATGACACTACAAATTGTATCAATTATAGTGAAATTGGAATTTATTTTTCTACAGCTTGAATTACATTTTAATTCGTTCCGCTAGAATTTAGATTAATACATGTGTAAATAGTCTAGGAAATAAATTACTGTATAATTGATAAATATAGACAAATTATAGAATATTGAAGGACGAAGTGAATTGTCTCAAAGAAACAGAGTTTATAAGTAATTATTAGAAGAAGGGAATATTTACATAAATTGCTTTTATCGCCCTTGGCGACTGGCAATGCTCTCTCTTGCATTCATTTCTCTGTAAATATGATATGATTTTAAAATGTTGCATGCTTTGAAAGAGTAGAACGCATGAGTTTAATGATCGATTGATTTCATAGATAGATTTACGCAAAATGTTTATTAGGATATTTTCAAAAAAGTTGTCTGCGCGTATGAATGTGTATACATATATTGAAAAAAATACTGAAACAGATTAAAGGACAAAAACTCGAATGAATTGTGTTTTCATCTTCAATTTCCTGCAATTGAATTTGGTGGAAAAAATTCTTTTGAAGTCGTCATGCAGCGAATGGTGTCAGTGTCTATTTTGAGGCATTGCACAAAAAATTGCTCCAACGCTTCTCAAAGAGGCGAACAATTGCTTAAATTGAAAGTTTTTACTGGCGAAAAGTAAGTATTCCATAAATGTCTATAAAGCATTTGAAGAGATCAAGGTAAGAACTTGAGTAAGAATATGTACAATTTATCCAAATGGATTTGATGCAGCACATTTCACTTAAGCATATTATTAGTTTATGTGTGTAAGAACACAATGAAATATTTCAAAGATATAAATAAGATTTGTTTGTCTAAATAACCTTCAAACAAATGTTTCCTCATCGATATCTTTACTCTTGTGCATCTTATTCACACAAATTTCTTTCGACGTTTATTTATTTGTTTTCAGAAGAAAATAACCTAACAAATATCTCAGTTTTGAGTATATAAAGTGTGTAAATTAATTAATGTACTATCATTGATTGGTTAACTAATTCACAAAACTTTTCTATGCCTACAATGTAAGTTATATCTTATCAGTTTATCAGTAGCTTTAAATATAGTAACACTCATAATACAACCTCACCAATTTCGCTTTTTCGGGTTTTGCGGCATTTCTTCGCGTAATCATATAATTATGCAAACTGTGTAAAAGAAAAATTGTATTTTTAATGAGTATTCAACTAATTCAACACTTTTATGTAAATGGATGTAATTTTATGTACTGCGCTAAGAAATACAATTCAAATTGTTTTATTACGTCCTATAGGCTATTATAAAGTACACAATGAACCATAATTTTTTCACAATGGTTCGATTTTATGAATTTGCACAACTATCGGAATCTATTTTCTAATCGCCTGCACTAGATTTATGCCACTTTGCAGCCTCTAGAGAATCGATTTGGCGTCTAAGTAGAGTTTTTGCCACGACAGACAATTTCATCAATAGAACCATACATTCTGACGAGGAACTGTTGAAGAATGCAAATTCGCATTCAATTTATACAGACACAGAGCGATTTTTCCAATCCATTGCGCCCGTAAAAATGTGAATTTCCCACTCGAAAAGCGGCAGCGAAGCTGACAAACATATTGCCTGCATGTAAGACAGTCTTATTCAATCAAATGCCACGGTGAGCCTCTTTCGACCAGCGGAATGTGTGTGCATTTGAAGCATAATGCTGAATTTTACGCCTCCATGGCTAATTCACCTCCACGTGAGAAGTTGTCATAACATAATGAAGAGATAAATAGTGTGTTTCTAGTCGATCCAGCCGATATTGCCTATATATTGCAAGCTGATCTGTGATGTAATGCTTCAGCTGGAGCTAATCGCGTGCTAATGTGGAGGTTTAGTGTTACCTTGAAAACGGCTCTTTCTCTCTCTCTCTCTGTTATACTTTCAAATCCCATGTGGATTGTTTAAGAGGCAAAACCACAAATTACTTGCACTTTGCCATATCTCAACATTCCTTCCTCTCTCTCTCTGTTCTCTCTAAAATCGGAGAGGCACCTTATTTGGTGCTCTCACCTGGCTTTGAATCCACCTGGGAAACACCCAGGGCGACATTTGATCCACGCTTTTCCTCTCTCGGGCAAATTGCATGCGCGCCTCTTTTATCTCAACGGTGAAGGTGAAGCCGATAAATGCGAACTGCACGAGATAATGGCAATTTCCACATGCAATTATCGAGTGATATAACTTGAGATTCACTCTTGCACTTGACGCCTTTGATAACGCATTTCACGCTGCCATCGCGATGATATCTGTTTACGCAGCGACCATGATAGCGTTGACTGATTGTCGCAGAGCGACATATCATTGTCCACGCCAGAGATAACAGCGCCAAACGATCTCTGCTCCACATTTCCCTTCGCTGTCTCTCGAAAACTTTTTCCCGCTTCTGCAGAAAAAAAGCCATCGCCGGAAGAAAAGTCGTAGAACATATTATCAAACTGGATTGTAGCCTCAATTATTTTTCAAAACAGACCCTCTTAATCTGCCCCAAAGTTCGTGGCGAGCATAAAAGAAATTGTCACATGAGAGAAAGGGAATGTGTCGAAATTTTCACCTGAAAAAAGAAACGTGATTGCATTATTATTGCGGCGACGGTGGATTTCTGCCCGTATCGTAAACAACAATGACCCCAAATCACCCTGAACAGTGTCACATTTTATCGGAGCGACAGAGAACTCTTCACGCTGGGATTCCGCCGAATTATCCGCCAAATCCGCCAACTAAATTCAGGTGAATCACTCATTTGCCGGCCATTTATCATCAATGATTTATTGGCGAATAACAAGAGAAGAGTCTCGATTCTTTTGCTGTCTCTCTCTGGCCATTTCATGAGCAAAACACTCGAGATTTTCCTCCAAGTCACATTTTCAGCAAAAATCGCCCAGCTATGGAATCTTAGAGTGTAAAAAAGCACTCAATTGTCCATTGCCAAATGTGTGATATAATTTATAGTGTCACACAAACTGGTCAAGTCAAAATATCGTTGGATTAACCACCCATTCTCATATCGAATTTTGACTACATTTCAGGGAAATTAAGAGTATTTTTGAGAATTAATGCCATTCTTTGGTTAAAAGAAGTGTGAAATAACGTTAAATATGTTTAATTACAGGCCATAGAATTCTGAAAGAAACATTATTTGATACTTTCTTTCTCTCTTTCAATCTCATTTTGGTATATTCATGCAAAAGAACGAATATTAATGAGATTTAAATCGTAATCCTCTATTGTCCTAAACGGTCCGCAATTTTCCCGACGAAGAGACCGTCTTTGAGAGCATATCTTGACTTGACATCTTCCTTAATAAGCAACATATCGAAATGGCCCATCTTCCGTCTTAAGCGCACGCAAAGCTCTGATAAATGAGATCAAATATTGTAAACAGTGGGAAGAACAAAAGACCGCAGATAAAGTCCATGTTCAATGAATTTACCCACATGCAAAGGGACTCGTGGGCGTTTAAAGTCACCTCGCCGTAAACAAGAAAACTCTGCACGGCGCTTTAAATGAAATTTCCTCTGGCGCGCGACAAATCAAGAGGAAATTGTCATGAGCAAATTTTCCAGCTTTCCATCGATCTAAAATTATACCGTAAGTATATAATCACGTCACTAATTGCGGTTAGTGAGCATAAAATTATGCGCCCCCGCCGAAGGAGATACCGCGAATCCTTGTATGCAGATAAATAATTTTCCGCGCGATACTGCTTGTATCTTTTGCGTCAGTCTGTTTTCCCAAGAGATGACGAGTAAATATTGGAGAATTATGAATGGAACGTGCATTGACGTGAGAACACGAACAAAATATCCATTCGCTCACCTCTCGAGCATCTCAGCCAAATGTATCATTGTGCAAATGGACGGTAAGTGGATCTCCTCCACCTCTTCCGAATGCTGATGCTGTCCGATCATCAGTGGAAATAGAAATTCGCTTATTTCTCGAGTGATTTTCTTTGCAACTTCGTCTGTTTGCTGGACAAACAGAGAGAAATGCCTTCATGACATATTGCTATACTAACATATTTGCCAGATGTGTTAGATCATAATTTGACTCGCTATCAATGGTAATTTCTTGCGAAAACAAACTTTTTTATTCTCCCTCAAAATATTTGCAATCAAATCGACAGACGTCGTTGAATTTGAACTGACTTCGTTGAGCTTTGACTTGCGCCAACGCTTATAAGGGAAGTGTCTTGGATAAAAGTGAAGTTTTATTTTCTTCGCGTATTTTTACACAAGAGTTTCAAATTATGTTCCTAATAGCAAAGCTTTCGGAAGTTCCTCATCTCATTTATAATGGCACACATCTATATATTTTCCTCAATAATTTTAATAGATGAGCTGAAGTCAAAAATAATATTATTTTACACACTTTTCTACTCACAATTTCAACACATTCGATGCAGCGCCTCTAACGGAAATTCGTCGAAATCCATTGTCATTCGCATAGTGAAGCAAAAAATGTTTTGAAAACAAATAATCCTCTTAAAATTCCCCAAAAATAAGCTACTAATCCTCAAGAAACCGTACTTTAGTCATCACGAACATCACTGCATGCGGCTTTCCTCTGCGTATCCGCAATCTTCCAAGGAGTTCCAACGAAAAGAGCAGAGTTTTTAGTGCAATCGCGAAAAGGCAACCAATTCTAAAGTATTTCGAGTCTAGTTGAGAAACCGGGTATTTGTTGGCTTCCTGAACTTCCTGAAATTGGTAAGGGATGTTGTGGCATTTTTGTGGGCCTGAGAGTGTTCTCTGAACTGGTTGTTGTGCTTCCAGGTGAGAGTGGCCAAGCCGAAATTCCTGCGCAATCATGGACGATCTTTCTGATTCGTCGGACGTTTTCATCAAACTCGAGGTAAATGAACGGAAAATCCGTCAATTTCACGGAGAAGCTGCCAACGGCGGAGCTCTTGGCAAGCAAGCTAATCTCCCGGGCGTAATTGAAAATCAATGAAGATGTCGCGACGAAGGCTGGATGAATTTGCAGCATGCTCAATGTGACAATAACTTTTTCTTTTCCGCTTTTCTTCCATTTTCTCGCACTCCGCGAAGCCCGGCGACTTTTCCGAGACGGACACAGTGGACCAGGAGCCGCCGAGGAAAAAGAGAACCGATTGGGATCACCACAACACATCTCTCTTGCTCAAGTTCTGGCGAAGAAACCTGCCGACGCTGCGCAGAGAGAAGCGTCACTCGAAGACCATGGAGGAGATCCGGGAGGCGCTCTGCAGATACGGCGTGCGGAAGACATCGGCAGAAATCAAGTCCAAGATGAAGAACTTGCAGTCCAAGTACAGGTAAAACGTCCAGCTTCAGTTCGTTCATCGTTTAATCTCTAATTGTTTGTGTTCCGTAGAACTGAGAAGAGCAGGATGAAGGAGAACCCAAAGTACAGAACCACTTGGGTATTCTACAATGACATGCACTCTATGCTGCTCAATAATCCCATGTCCAACGATCCCTTGAAGACTGAGGACGCCGAGTTCGCCAACAATGTGGAGTCCAACTCCAATCACAGCATCGTGTCAGTCGAGCCGCCGGATGCACCGAAGAGCCTGAAAGACGAGCGCCCGCCCACACCACCCACACCGCCGGCGCCCAAGCGACCAGACGGCCGCAAGCTGATCTCGATCCACGAGGATCTGCTGGAGGAGATCCGGCGCGCGAACGCCGTGAGCGAACGCAACGACGAGCGCGTGAATGAACTGCTGTACGAGGCCAACGAGATCGCAAAGGAGCAGCTGCGGCTCACGAAGGAGTTCTTGGACAAACTAGTGCAATAGAAAGGATTACTGGCAGCTCATCAGGGCGTTTGCAATCTCGTCCCTAATCCGCATGCCCATGCCGTCCTCGTCCATCGGCACGAGCGGCGGCACTGGGGTGCTTTCGGCGGCCGTGAAGTCCCACGACACGTCCTCCCTCTCGATCAGGATGTTGTGCATGATGCAGGCCGCCTTCACGAGGAGCGGCAGGTTGTCCGGCGCAATGTTCTTGCACTTGCCAAGCCTCGGGAACCGCTGCCTCATCATCGCGAAGGCGTCCTCCACGCACTGATGCGCCTTCAGCAGTGCCGCGTTGAAGTCGTGTTCGCGTGGCGACAGATCCGCGTGCTGGAATGGTGTCATGAGGTAGGGCTGCAGTTGGAAAGACGCGTCACCCGCGAGGAAGATTGGCACGGAGCCGTCGACGAGTTTCCTGGACATGCTGTAGAACAACTTGTTGCACTTGTGGTAGTCTTTGAGGCAGGACTTCTCGAAGAGATTCGCCCTGTCGCTGGGCGCGCCAACCTCAACGTAAGTGAACTTTCTCCTGAAAGCCGAAAGAGAGCATTGATCAAAAGGAATTCTTGGGCTCAATTCAATTGGAAGCATAAATCAGTCAGCTTTCTTGGAGAACTCAAGCCTAATTTGTGCTGCTTTTCTTGTGAATCATTACTTCGAGATAAGTCGGAGACGAGTAGAAAAATACTCTGTATCTTATTATAAAAATGATCAAAATGAACTTGAAAAAGCGAGTTTAAGTACTGATGAAATTCATGATCGATTGTAAAGATCTTGACTGCTTTTTATGCTCTCCATATTTCAAGACACTTTTTGAGAATTGATTGAGCCTTGATGATAAGAGATTAAACTGAAATACCTGTAATCAGCGGCAGCGAGAATCTTCACAGGAGAACGCATGTTTCTGGTAGAAATCTTCACGTCCACTCGAAAGTCTCCTGAAAAGACAGGCAAAACAGTCAAAACCCTGTTTTTAACACTCCTTCAACACCAATCTCCTCACCAACTGCGCCGTAAACTTGAGGAAGTCCTGACAACTCCTCAAACCCCTTTCTAATCGCTGTGATGCCCTCTGCACTCGGAGGATAGGATTTCATATACTGTTCCTGGAAAATCTGAACGATTGCTGAGCAGAACTCCAGAAGAACTATTGAAACAGTGATGCTGTCGATGCCAAAGATCACGCCGACGGTCTTGAAGGACTCCGTGGAGGTCAACGCATACAGAGAGGTGGCAATCTGCTTCCAGACAGGAATCAGTTTCAAGGATTCTTTCTTTGACATGAGGAATGAGAGATTGTTCAGGATGAAGTGAAATGAAGATCGTGAGATGTGGAATTGCTTCACAAAATCCTCCTCAGACAGCTTTGGCATCTCTCTATCCAGGAAGACTATCGGTCCTCTTGAGCGATTATGCAGAGCCTACAAAGACAGTCAATTGCTATATTATCCCTTTTCCTGTGAAACGTGCGAGCACAACTCACCGAAGCTGGATGCTTGCGAGATCTTTCACGCGCGATTGTGGCCAGATAAATCATCGTGAGTCGCTTGGCTCTCTGCCTGGCCAACGCGCTGATCCTCTGGTGGATGAGGGCGCGCATCCGTAGCTGCCGGATCCGCTCGGACTCCGAGCGAAGGAAAATTTGGAAAAGCTGCTCCGCAGACATTTCGACGCTTGAGCAAAACTGACAGGAACTGACAGTATTTATGTTTTGCATGCTGACACTGCGCCACCACGTGGGAATTTGCTGATGTAACCAGAAGTAAACAAGAAGCGCGTGTCCCGAAAATGGAGACTTTAAGTGAATTTAAGGCCTTTCTGCAGAAGGATTCTCGGTTGGATCTGAAAGCTGTGGCCCTTGCGCATATTTTGAGTGAGTTGATATGAAAAATATTCTGAGAATTGATGTAATTTAAGGTGATTTCTCTCAGGTCTCAGTGGCAATGTTGACAGCCGGGAATTGCTCTCCAAATCTCCGGATATTCTAGGCTTGATTCTGGATTTGACAACAGACCCAACAGCAGCAATCAGCAAAGATGCCACCTTCACACTTGTGAACATTTCATCGGAAGAAATTGGAGCAAAAACCCTTCTAAAAGAGGTGAGATACAGGAAGCAAAACTTCTTGATCAACATCTTAAGGAAGCTTTTTTTTCTAGTGTCCGGGGCTTCTTGAGAGGCTCTTCAGTGCAATATTCGACGAGAAGAACACATTAGCAGATGCATGGTGCATGATCTTGTGCAATATGTCTCGCCAGGAAGCGCTCGTGGAGGAAATCCTGCAAGAATTCGACAAGGATGTTGAGAAGATGAACAGACTGGTAATTTGTTTCACCAGAAAGGGCTTCAACAAATCCGGATGCAATCTTCACTACATCGGTCCGGCTTTCAGCAACTTTTCCCAGTGTTCCAAGGGAAGAGAATTGCTGTGCGACAGAGAAAAGATGTTCTTCCAGAGGATTATGCCCTTCGTGGAGTTCAAGGATAGCGTGATTCGTCGAGGAGGTGCTGTTGGGTTCCTGAAGAACATCTGCTTCGACTCCACGCGGCACGACTGGCTGCTGAGTGAGGAGGTGAACGTCTTGCCATACATTCTGCTGCCACTCGCTGGACCGGAGGAGTTCGACGAGGAGGACAACGACAAGTTGCCCATCGAGCTGCAATACTTGAGCGCGGATAAGGAGCGCGAGGACGATCCGGATATCAGGAAGATGCTGCTGGAGTGTCTGTTGCAGTTGTGCGCCACTCGCAAGGGGCGCGAATTCCTGCGGCAGAAGGGCACTTATGAGATCCTGCGCGAGCTGCACAAGTGGGAAGTGAAGCAGGGCGACGAGAGTAGGCAAACAGTGCTTGCGTGCGAGAACGTCGTCGATGTGCTGATAAGGACGGAAGATGAGATCGGTGAGGATAATTTGAAGCACGTGGAAATACCTGAAGAGGTGAACAAGCAGCTGGAGAAGTTGGATGTGCTCAATGATGAGAATGTGCCACAATGATGCATTTATTACATAATTCCGCATACAAATGGTAACAGTTTTCACATTATCTCTGCGTGCAAGCACAGTTTCACACCAATTTCCTCTTCGAGATCCTTATCGCTTCTGTCTGCCGCACTTGCATTGTCGTGAGCATGCTGGGCTTCACGTCGGCCATCGTCACGCCGTCCACAGTGACACGAAAGTTCTTGAGGAAGGCTGACAGGATGGTCTTCATCGAGAGCATGGCATACTTGTTGCCAATGCAATTACGCAGGCCGCCGCCGAACGGAACGTAGCTGTACGGGTGCCGCTTGGCAACATTCTCGGGCAGGAAGTGATCTGGATAGAAGTCGTTGGCTCTGGGGCCCCAAACGCTCTTGGATCGGTGCATCCGGAAGCCGAACAGGAGCAAGTTCGTCCCCGCGGGAATTGTTCCATTTGCTATGGAGAGAAAGAGTCGTTAATCAGACAAATGATGTTCTTAAAGGTAAGCTAAAGCAAAAGACTAAAACTAAGTTTCGCCTTTATTTCTACCTAGTAATCCGAATTAAGAGAAAGTTAGGAGTTTATTTTGTCACTTAGAACATTGCTGTTCATTAAACTGAATAATTGTATATTTCCAATCTTTGGCATGTCAAATTAATAGTATTTTATTGTGAGAAAATTCTCTGGAATTAATCCTAGCAAAACCAGTTACAGAAAACAACAATCAACACGAGATTGATTCATTACTCTAATCGCTCCAATCATTCTCCATGATTCTAATCTAGTCTAGTAATAAAGGCGATGTTTACATACAGAATTTGGTGTCTTCTGTGCAAATTCGTCCGCTGATGGGAAGAATGGGGAAGAGTCGCATTGTTTCCTGTTCGGAAAAGCGATAAGAAAACCCAGTGATTATCAGTGGTCAGACATTGTCGCACACGTGATTCTGCCTCACCTTTATCACCATCTCTGTGTAGGTGAGTTTTGTAGCATCTTCAAAGGTCATCTGAGCGTCTGGACTGGGATTGATGCTCAACATCTCTTCCAACACTTTATCCTGCACGTCCTGATGGATGGCCAACATGAGGAGCGCGAAGGAGATCGTGAGCGCAGACGTGTCGTGTCCAGCAGCAATCATGGTGTCCACCTCGTCCTTAACTTCGTCCAGCCCCAATTCCTTGTCCATCATCAGCTTAATCAGGCGATTGATGAGAATGTTCGGCTTCGTTTCACTCTCATTCGACATCTCTGTGAGATATTCCTGCTTCTTCTCCTCAATGACACTGCTCGAGAGTCTGTAGGCCACATTGAAGTGTCGCATCTCCTCAGCATATTGCTTTGTTCTCTTGTACACCGAATCAAGATAGAGCCAGACTTGAAAGAATCTCTTGCCAACAATCTTCGCTGCCATTTCCACAGCCTCGAAGTAATCCAGATTCTTTCCGTTCTGCACATCAATGTTCGTTCCGAGCGTCGTTTCGCAAATCATCTCCAGTGTGCAGTAGTAAATGTACTTCAGGAAGTCGCGTTCGCCACTTTCCGTGACTTTGTGGAGATTTGAGAGCATTATCTTGGCCTTGTCATTGAATATCGGCAGGAATGTCTGAACCGTTTGAGTGTTGAATGACGGTGTTAGAAGTCTGCGGTGAGTTTTCCAGATTGGACCTTTGCCGAGCCGCCGTGGAAAAACACACAAAACATGCAATTAATCGTTGTCACGATATTTCACAGCTGCACAAGGTGCGTTGTTTTGTGTGAAGCATGAGAATAGATAAGTCAACGTGATGTTAACGTCTCAAAGTTTGTCTCATCGCATTAATCTTCGGGATGAGACGGAGTCATTTGAGATATTTCATCAATTCCTAAGCGGAAATAACTCGCGAGCCAAAGACACGTCGTAAATATTTCGTGAATACGACGAGTTTCACGAATTTATTCCTTCTATAAATTGTGGAAAATAAATCTATTCCAAATCATTTCTACTTTTCATACCGAAAAAGCTCAAGGAAAACTTCGGAAGTCCTGCCCTCCCGAAAGCCACGCCCATTTGTATTAATCTTCTTATTACATCAATTTCAGGAGAGAATCTTCGTGATAATCGTTCTTTTGACTGTGTGATTGTGTGAGAAAAATCTAGAATTTCAGTATTTTCCAGTCCTGCGAGGAAATATTGCGAATATTTAGAAAAAAACACGAGTCATTCAAGCAAAAAGTGGATATTTTCTAAACCTTGAGTTCTCGATGTGGAAATTTGTGAGTTTCTTTGCTTTACCTGGAGCTGTGGCCAATCCTGTTGGACAGTGAAAGAATCTGTACACGTCCAATTTGTTGAGACATCCTGTGGTCATTGTGAGGGTTTTCACGTCTTCAGGCGTTGAAATCACCATGTACACTTGTGGCCCAAGATAAACTCTCGTCGGGCCTTCGATGTCCTTTACGATCTCCATCAGGACTTCCAGATAATCTGCACACAGAGAGGAATCATTAACACATTTTCCTGCAATTTTTTCCCATTCCCACACCATTATAGACCCAGTAAAGCGAGCAAAATAGTCATAATTTTCATCATTAACTGCCCAATAATTGCAAATTTATGCGCACGAGTGAGATAAATTGCACTCTTTTTGTGGATAACTTCTCCATTCTCGCACTGCTGCAATTACGCGTGATTGAACTTGAGAAAGATAGCATTTTGAGAAATTGTGAGGCAATGGCAAAGAAAATTATTGCGACATTGACGACATTTATGGTCAAGACTTGTCCCCATGATCGGCATTAGATAGAGCGAGAGACTGAGAAGAGGGTCAGCGGCGCTGCGATACATTCTTTTGGCGAAGAAAGTGATTGGAAAATGCGGTTTGCCAATAGATCTCATATGAGACTGCGTTGTTTTTACTTTCGTTTGCACGAGTGCAAAGAACAGAAAGTCTTGAGCGACAATATCAAATGCACAGTTGAAGCAAGATGTGTGTATTTGCATAAATGAATGAATGAATGAATGTGATTTCGTGGGATATTTTACAGTTTCACACTTGGATTTATTATTATATATATATCCTAAGAGATCACTCACCTTCCTGGTCACGTCCAATGAATGCCAATGCACTTCCCAAGATCGGAAGTCCTTGCAAAAACCAGTAAGATTAGCATGTGATCGTCACACATTCACAATTAGAGCCATATCAATCAGTTTTACCTCTAACGTACGGAAACTTCCGCAACAACCACCACGCACGCAGAGATTTTCGGATCTCCTTGATGGACGCCAGGATCAGTAAAATACTCGCGCTGAGGAGGACAGGCAAGAGGAATCCCATCTTCAATTCCCTTCTCGGTAACTTCCAACTTCAAGTACTGTCGAGCGATGCTGAGTGACTGACTGTCCCCAGAAAGTGCAACGCTATTTAACATTTTCTCCTTCGGCAGCGCCTATGCGGATCGGAGGGAACAGTTTGACGACTTCGTGCTGCCTTCGCATGTGCTTTGATGCCAATAATAAGATTATTTGCTGTGAAAATGCGGGAGGAAAGCTACAATAATGCCACGATCATTAGTTTAAAGCACCATTTACGTCCATCAGCCGTTTTGCGTAAACACGGGAAACACAAAAATGTTCATTATCCCAAAGATTCTGTGAACTTTTGCCAATTGAGACTGAAAATGAGGAAAAACTGGAGAAAATTCTCAGAATTTCATTGTACTGCCTTAATAGTCAGTTGAAATTTGAATGTATGAGAAAATACCCTGAATTTAGGCAAATAATTCACAGTTTCAAAATTAATTTCTGTACTACATAACTTATTCACAAGGCCAAGATTACAACTATCACGACATGCAAGGGAATTGCTCGGGTTAATGTACTGGAAAATGCACTTTTTTTTGCCTAACGTGATTCTAAAGGTACAGGAAATGTCAATAATATTTTAAATATCACAACATGACAACAATTTATTGAAGAAATAGCAATAATTTACATAAATTTTTGTTTATTATAAACTAATTTCATATTTAACTTATATTTTATTTAACCAATTAAAAATATACATTGATATCGCACAATTTGATTCATGCGCAATGCATTGAATCACATTGAAAAGAAATAACCACAATATTAATCATATAAAAACTGCGAATATAATAACTAAAGAAGTTAGACAAGAGCATAAACCCTGCAATATAAATAATATAAACAATTTATTGGTAGAATTTGTGTTTGAAAAGAAATTAGCTCCAAGATATTTTCCAATAGACTTTAAATTAAACACTTGTGAAGTTAAATGATATGTTTTTCAACAAAGATCTCACACGAGTGATAAGATATCATCGCTATCCGCCCAATTGTCTCTCTTTCGCGCGAAGTTCTTTGATCTGCATTATCTTAATCGTCGTGTACATTGCGCACTTGAGCTCGCACATCTTCAGCGGACGAGCAGTGAAGAAAGCGAATCTCCTGAGAACCTTCACCAGGACAATCTTCATCACCAGCATCGCATATTTCGGTCCTATACAATTTCTTGAGCCCGCGCTGAACGGAACGTAGCTGTAATAGGGAATCTTGGAGAAGTTCTCGGGCTGAAAGCGATCAGGCTTGAATTCATTCGAATCCTGGCCCCAGACTTTGGGATCACGGTGAAGAATGTAAGTGAGAATGATGGTGTGAACGCCCTTTGGAAGGACGCAATTCCTCAGCTGAATGTCCTTCGTTGGCTTTCGGCCAATCAGTGGAGCGACAGGAAAGAGTCTCATGGTTTCCTTGATCACCATCTCCACATACTGCAACTGCGTGACTTCTTCGCTAGTCACGTCGCCATCTGAGCCACAAACCCTTAGAATCTCCTCGAAGCAGCGCTCTTGGACGTCCGGATGCATGGCCAGTATGAGGAGGACATTCAGCATGGTCACAGCTGCAGTTTCAAAGCCCGCAAGAATCATGATCTCCACAGTGTCATAGAGATTTCCCTCTGTGAACTGACCCTCTTCCAACAGATTCACCACGTGATGCATGAGATTTGCCGACGAGGATTCAGCCTTCGCTTCTCGCGTCTTGATGTGTTCCTCCACCACTTTCTTCGTCATCTCGTGGAGAATGTTCAGCGACTTGTGGTACAGCTTGCCATCGGCCGTCAAGCTAAAAATCCAGTCGACTTGGAGGTAAACGTTGAAGAAACGCCTTGCGACCATCTTTGCATAATTGTCGATTGCATCGGAGAATTCCTGATGATTGCCCTCCTGAAGATTGAGATCCACCCCGAAAGTCGTGGCACAGATCATGTCCAGGAAACAATTATGCACAGTGTCGCGAATGTCAACTTCGCCATCCGCGATGGTTTTGAGCATCTTCTTCGCCAGAATATCTGTCTTGGCGTTGAACAGGGGAATGAATGTGTGCACGACTGGTGACGTGAAGTGGGGATTCAGCAGCTTCCGATGCACTCTCCACACGTGACCTTAGGAGCAGAGAACATTCCCACAAGCTGCAATTAATCACTTCACCTTGATATGCAGATCAATCTCACTTTACCTGGCACCACGAGGAGATTCGTCTCGTTGAACAAATACCGGTAGTGATAGGTCTTGTCCAGGGAGTCGGGCGACGTGAGCAGAGTCTTCACGTCTTCGTGATGCGTGATAAAGACATGGCACAGTGGCCCCAGGAAAGCAGCATTGGACGGAGTCTCCACACTCTCGACAATGTTAACCAACTCTGAGAAGAGATCTGAAAGCAGCGCGGATTTAGCAGTGACTCAATGGAGAGATAATTCACTGGAAGGTGTACCACTTCTGAAACTCTTATATCAATTAAAAGCAATTCATGAACGCCTTTTGTAGTTATGCTCGACTTTAACACAATTTGCAGTGTTTCTATTAGTCTAAAAGTACAGAATCGCAATCTTTATTTCATGCGATTCCTTTATTCTGCCAAGAAGTAGATATTATTCCAATCTAAACATAATAATTGATGTTATGGGGATTTTTCTACTTACTAAATTTCTCAGTAATTAATCACATAACTGGAAAAGCAGTGTGATTTTCTTAGGAAACATCAAATGCACTTCCAAGAAATGCGTCAATTGATTGAAAAACAAGCTTTCACGAAGAATTATTGCAAATATTGGAACACTTTCATTTCCTAAAGTTTCTGTGATTAAGAGCCAGAATCCATTCTTCATACCTTCATCCTTCTTCCTGAAGAACCGGACTGAGCATCCGAGGAAAGGGATGGCGTTCACCACTGGCATGTGCCACAATTTCGCCACGGTCCTGAAGTAGTCGAAGCAGGGCTTGAAGAAGAGACACGCAGCTAAGAGCGTCGCCAGCAAACAAATTGAGATCATTGCGATTGTGTGCACGTGAGCGACTGGAAGCAACTAATCAACTCATTCTTCATTTGATGGCAATCGCTTAGTCAACAAGATTTTTCGCTTATTTATAACCACTCGAGAAATCTCGATTTTCCTCCGCACAGTTGCGATTTCAGCGAGAAACTGAATCAATGCTGAGGCCAGCGTCATCTCAATAAATTGCGCGATCGGTGAGAAAATTGTGCGGTATGATGGAAATTGCATAGACAATCACACACTGATGAGGATTGCGCAGTGACTCAAGATCGCATCTCACTTCCAATATTACTCTAATAACAGTTATATTCTACTCATCGTGGGTGAAAAGTTATTGATAGAGGAAGACGATATTAAACTACTAATTTCCATGTCTGCTATTCATCATCTTTGCTTCTCTTCTCTTTTATCCGGATGATGTCATCAAACAACCGATTAAGTGGTGCTTCTACGAAGACATTAAACGCTGTGGCAAAGTAGTACGTTATAATTGCCACTGTGACGGCAAAACTGATCTGCAAATCAAACATTTATCGTCATTTTCCGCCGAAGAGTGGCGTGCAGTGTGCAAATTGGACTCACGAGCAGCGTGAACGAGGCGTAAGTGACGTCGTTGTGGCTGGCCAGGAAGATGTGAATGAGGATCGGGTGGAACATGTACTGGCCGAAGGAGAGCTTGGACATCCTCATGAAGAAGGGCGTCTTGCCGATGGCGTTGATCCAGTTGCAGAAGCCCCACTGGCCGAAGGCGATCGGCACGCCCAGAAGCAGCGTGTAAGCCACTCTGCCGAAGGTGAAGAGGAAGGGCAACGCGAAGGATGGCGCGTAGTCTTCGCTGTAGAACAGGATGAGCGCAATGGCCGTGGCCAAAAGGAACCACAGAGTTCTTCTGACCCTTTCTGATATCTTCACCGTCTGTCCGATTGCCCTGTGGCACAGATGGCCAATGTAGACTCCGCAACCGTAAGTGTAGATCCGAAAGTGAGCTTTCATGTAAAATCTATCCACAAGATAGATGAAGGAAGGATAAGTGAAGTCGAAGTGCTCGCTGTGGATCATGTCGAACAAAGTCATGTAGGAATACGTTAAGGAAAGAGAAAATGCAGCACAAAAGAGATATTTCGCCAATCGAGGATGCCTGAAATCAATACAGAAATCAATTTAGTGTTATGTTTTAAAATCTGAAAGATCTGAAAAGAATATTTACTTAACGTAAATGAAGAGAAGCATTTGAAAGAGAATGAAGCACTGCATATCGCTGGCCATTGACCACGTCCATCTATCGATTAGTTAGGAAGAGATTTGTATAAAAAATACGCTTCAAAGGATGTCGAAAGGACGTTGATTTTCCCACATTCATTGAAGAGAAATTAATAATGATAATAATACTCACACAATTGCCATTTTTGAGAAAGGCACAAAATTCTGTATGAATAAAACATTCCAAATCCACCTGAAATAAGAGTGAATATTCATAAAATCTCTTTACAGAAAAATTCACGCTCAATCAATAATTGCAAAAATAACTTAATCGTATTTCATTGCCAAGGTAAACTTTGTTCTCTAGCTTTTCATCCCACCACAATTATGCACATTGTTATCTCGCAATCTTTGAAAAGTGTTCAATTGTGCTCTCCTTATTCGGAAGTCAATTGGTGATATTTAAAGAAATAATTTTGCCAATGAAGCATTCTTTCTTACCAAGACGACTCCATGGAGAGATTGTGTCTCATGTCTCTGTAGTAGATGCTGTCGAAGAGGACGAAAGATGCCCTCGAGAGGACGAGAGTGGCCAGGACAGTAGGCAGGAAGCGAGTGTAGCGATGCAGAATGTGCTTGAGGAGCAATCTCACGTTCTTCCCCAAGGAATTCTGCTTAATCGTCTGCGAAAGTTGGTCGTTCTTCAGGAAGTTGTACGCCAAGACGAAACCCGACATCAGAAAGAACACGTCCAGAATGAGGGCGGAGCGATAGAAAAGCTTGATGTAGAACAGCTTCGATCGCCAACCGTTCAGCGGTACGGATTCGACCATGACGTAGCCGAAGAGGTAGACATGAGCCATTGTGACCCACAGACTGCAGATAGTGCGGTAAAAGTTCAGAGAATAGACAATCTTGGGATCCACTGTGCTCGACATGAGACTCCTGAAGTTCTCTCTCATGTTGAAGTGACGCAGAAGACTCGCAGGACTCACTTTACTGCTGACAACGTGCGCCAGGACAATTGCAATGATGATTCCCAGCGTTAGCATGAAGATCCAGTCGGTGTAGACATTCCAGCCGAATTGCACGTTCCTCGCGTGCGTGAAATTCACTGTCATCTCGAAAATGGGATTCACGCGATGCTCGTCAAAGTACATCTGACTCATCCGGAGAACGTCTTCATCAGAGCAAGTCTTCGGGACACACAGGCCCAAGTGCAGGACGGTCGTGATGATCTTCTCATAGTGGATCTGATGCGGAGATCTGATGTCGCCATAGAGTAATCGATACTCAAGGCCAAAGGGCGGCACGTCATTGATGATCCTTTCCGCCTCCCTCGTCCTCTGCTCGAGGTACACGGGCAGAGGAGCATTGATGCCGTGGCAGAAGTCTCGGGAGCCCAGCCAAAAGACATTTTGAAACATGAAATTCGGCTCAAAATCTCCACTCGAATCCAGCACTGCAAGGAATTTCCCAGAAGATTAGGAAACTACTGGAATTACCAATTATCGAAAGAAATTGCGTACTTTTCAATGACCAAATATCGCGCTGAACAATGCTTTTGACGGCCACTTGCACATCTTCTCGACACTGACTTCCAACACTGGAACTCATTCCTGAATTCAAGACTCCCACGAGGATTGGCAAACGCCTTGCATCCCCAATTCCTTCGGCAAAACAACACAAAATGCTCACAAAAGCACAGAGCCAGAAAAGTTCTCGCGCCATTCTCAGAGCAAACTGATAGCAAATCGCGATTCGTGTCTACAGATTGCCCTTTATTTGAGCAACTTCTCGCCGATTCTATTAATTATTCGCTTCGGAATTCACACTGTAATTGTTTTATTGATCGCAAAATTGCACACAATGTGTTAACTTCAAGACATGTTAGGAAAGATGAACTCGATAGTGTTCGAAAGAAACTGAAATCACTCATTCACAAAGAAATTAAACCAGTCATAAGATTCTACCTATTGTTAAAATTCTCGAGGACGAAACAGATTATGGTAATGAAGAGGATATTAAACAAGAAAAAAAAATTAATAAAGAAAACTGGATAAAACATAACGCGTAAAGTCCAATGCATGTACAAAACCACCAAAAAAAAATTACAATTTTTATTTAATTACACCTTTGTTTGCCTTTATCGCTTTAAGATAAAACAAGCTGTGAATGGCTTTAAAAATTTTCATGGCGTCGTTGTTCTCAATGTTTTTGCTCCGTCTCCAAAAGAAATATTTGCGACAAATACGAAAAATCACTTTCTCTATGCTCAAGAATAATCATGAATAGTTTCGTAATTTATTTACAAAGCCATAACTCAATTTCAAAGATCATTTTATTACATTTCTTTATTCATCTTCTATATTGTCAACCTAAACACTGGAATTAATTCAACAACGAAGAACTTATCAATTCACTTACAGAAAGTATTTGGGAATTAAAAACGATATCAAAACATTATAATGCAGTCGAGTGAGTATTGAAATCCTTCTGATACCCTCCTGCTTTCCTCACATGATTAAGCACTTGGACTTCTTTTTCTCCTGCACAGGTGGCGGCGAAACAACTGTTACACGAGGTGCAGGACGAGGAACAGCGTTCAATTGAGTCAATTGTGGATTAGGATTGTTCACAAATGCATAAGAAGTCGGCACATCAAACGGATAATGCCTTAACAACAAATTCCTGTCTATAGAGGGCTTCACTGGGGCGCTCACTTTTAGACAATTTGTCACGGGAAAATCCCTGGCGAGTCTCTGGGGAAGATGTCTCCCAGCACTGTCCAGATGGACGGAGGAGGGACGCACGTTACGATTGTCAGACGCGCTCTGAAAGGGAATGCTCTTCGGAACGTCTGGCAACCGGAGAAAGTCCGGCGGCATCACCGACACTGACATTAGCGGTTGAATCGTATTTTCCTTATCAATGTGGACACTATTCCTGTTCTGCTGCCTATTGTGGCTCTTGCTCCTCTGTTTCGGTTTCGGATCGTAGTTAAATACCTCCTTAATCACATTATTGCACCTGCAGAAGGCGATGAAATTACTCCACATCGGATCCTTCTCGAGGGTGTCAATGTTCCCCACGATGATCAAGAGTCCCTGCGCTCGCGTCAGAGCGACGTTGAGGCGCTTGGGATTGTTCAGGAAGCCCACACCATGCGTCAAGGATCGCACAGTGGAGAGGATTATCACGGGCCTCTCCTGGCCCTGGAACGTCTCCACGGACCCCACATCAATATCTGGCCACTTCCTCTTCTTACACTCCAAATTGATCTTCTGGCACTGTTTCTTGTACGGCGTGATAACGCCAATACTCTTCTGATCAATCTTCCTTCCACAGATATTCTTCGCCTGCATTATCTTATCAATGTGAAACATCACTCTTTGCACCTCGCGCATGTTGTACCAACTTGGCGAGTTGTCATCCTGCTCAGACTGCCCGATCACGTGCTCAAATATAATCGGCACAGATTTGTTAGGCAAATACTTCCAACCACAAGCCCAACGGGTGACCTGAGGACTGCCCTCAGCCATCAGCTCACCACTATAGAACTCCACGTCGGGAAATTCCAAAATTTTGGGATGTGATCGGAAATTCCTTATCAACTTAGTTATAACACGAGGATTGTACTTCCCAGTCGTCGGATCCTTGGCATAAATCCCCGTGTCAATCAGGCGCTCGAGAATGGAAACGCCTTGAAGAGAAGGAAACCAGACAGTGATTAGCTGAACTGAAGAAAACCATCTCATTTCGTCTTACCCAAAGCATCTCTTGCTGTCTTAGAATGCACAATTGGTCCCAATTGCTTAGGATCTCCAGCCAGAATAATCTGCGCATGAATCCGTCTAGCTGAAGACACAACACCAGCAATTGGGATTAAAGAGGAAGGTTCAGTGCTGCTGCCACATTCGTCGATGAAGACATAGGAAAAATGATTACAATTAATCTTTGCCTGGGCAAATCTGCAAAGAAAAGCCATAAAATATGACTATATTATTCTTTCAGTACATCCGCGAGAAAAACTCACTTTCCAGCAACAGCGAGTGTCGTGACAACAACATTGTAGCACGCCAGTTCCTCCATGTGAGGATAATAGTGGAAATCGAACCTTAGATTGGAAATGTTCTTCAATTCAGGATCAATAAAGTCGATTTCTGTTTCTTTTGAGCTGGCAAACATGCGAAAGATGCCTTCGTGCGGAAGATACTTCAGTAGACGCAAAGCAACTTCATTGCTGGCGTAATTGGAAGTTGCAGAGACGAGGATTCTGGCTCCAGGCTCCCTCCGGATGATCTGGCAAATAGCCTCGACTATGGTCGTGGTCTTTCCGGTGCCCGGAGGTCCCATGAGGATGTAAGGCGCCGGGAAGGACGACTTCTCCACCATGTGAATGATCGCGCTCTGTTGCTCCGGATTCTCCTTCACGCTGTCGTTGATCCACTCGAAACTGCGAAAGAAAAAAAGGATTAATTCATGTTCACAGTGATTTTCGTGGAATTCCTACCCAGAGAAATCAATTGGATGCGTCGGAATCGAGTCTGGGAAGAAGAATGTGGCCAGTTTGTGGTTTTGCACGTATTGGAGAGCATGTCTCTCCAGCTGAATTGGCATGCGATTAGGCAAAAAGTAGACATCATAGAGAGATCCCGTGTTCAATGCATCCGATGTCTCTACGTCCAGTACAATATTGTCCTTCCTCACTTGATGCACTCGAGCGAACATCTTCCTCTTCTTTGTTTTAGTCTCACACGGCACAATATTCAATTTGTCTCCTTCCATGATTGCCGGTGAAAGCTCAGAAAGATTTGGAATCTCCAGCACATAATATCCTTGGCTGAAGATCAACTTCTCACCCAGTCTGTTGTTCTTGGACATCAACTCTGCCTGGCAACAGTCTTCAATCTGCACAAGAGTCTCCCAGAAGTTCACATAATTCTCCTTTGTCAATCTACCATTCAAGAAAGATCTGACTTTCATCAGCAATTGTCTCTCCTTTGGACTGAGTTTAGCATCCGCAAACTTCTTCTTCGACAGCGACTTCATTTCATAGCTTGGATCATACCAAGGCAAAGGATGGAATTTCATGACCCTGTGGAATAATTCAAGTCACGTTTAAGATCAAAAGTATTAAACACATAAGGCAGACAAAATTACTTCACATTCACCGGGCGATTCGAAGTGTTCTTATCCTTAATCTTGTCCAGCGTAATGTCTTCATGGTGGAATAGTTTCTTAACCTGAAGTCATAAAGTGAAATCAGCGCGAAAAAGCATACTTGTTAGCAAATTCATAATTACCGTGAAATGGAACTGTGTAAGAAGCGAAATCTTCTCTGTTTCGCCCATCGTATAGAAGAGAAGAATCGAGTACGGATGATCCACAAGTGAAAGAACCTCGCAGTGGACTTCGAACTTTGTATATTTTTCTATAAAATATCAAATATTCACTACAAAAAGCATAGAAATTGCGATAAAATTCATACCTTCTTCAAAAATGTGCAGCGAATGGAAGTCATTGTCCTCGGGGAAAACCAAAATCACGCGATTTATTGTGAAGATTTGCTGTTTTTTGGCCGAAGTGATCTTGTACACAAACTTCCCTACCTTTGGCTCGTAATGAACCTTCATGCTCAACATTCTTCGCCTCTTATCCGTCGACTGAATGGAGAAATTCTTTCCATGACTCTTCATGTGATCCTCAAACTTCCTCTGCATATCGAAAGTCTCTTTGCAGACGAAACAACTCTTGTCCGAGTATGCGAAACCGTCGTACTTCTTCTGCTCGGTGGTCAAAGTGTGCTGAAAGTAGTATTTTCCTACAGAGTCTTGTGTGTTTTCCTGATTGCTAGTCTCCGAAGAGTTTTCAGAGGACAAATCTTTGGCGTATTTCTCTCGAAGCTTCTCAACTTCAGACATTTTCATGATGAAATGCTTCGAATTATGAGCCGATTTCCGGTCCATGTAGTAGCAAAAATCATACTTCAGCATCGCTTTTGGCATCTGAAAAACAAACATATCATAATAGTTCTTATCTTCCGATAGTGGCGTATCGTTTAGTCTACCCGTGCCACATATTATATAAATTGTTATGAGTCACTCGTTTAAATAGCCAATAAGATTGAGAACAACTTATCGACTAACACGTTTTTTTTTAACTCATTTCCTTACAAAGTAGAAACGCAGAGTTGCACTCAAAAGTACAAGTGAGACAGAAAAGTAGACAAAAGCTTTTCTCTCGTTGTCAAATGTACTTTACAAGAATTATTTACTTTATTTCACCTTGTTTTTATTTATCACAAAAGTCATAAAGCAAGAAAAAACCTAACTGAAAAGCTTGAATTGTTCATTCCTTCCCTGAAAGTCTCAAGCTATGCAAGGTTTGATGGGTTAAATATTGAAACAGACGAAACAGATGACTTGGAGAGACTTTTCTCATTGTTTTTCGAGGTTCTGAGAAAATACAGCCTTCATATTTTACGATCGCTTGACGAAGTAAATCACTTCAAAAAACGATAAAGGCAACGCGATAAGGCTGATGTAATTATGCTTCAATAATGGTGAAATGAAGAGTGCATTAGAAAGCCATCCGAAAAAATTCAGGGCCGTTCGAAATCCCAACAAGAATACTCACGTCGTCATATGTGAAATCTGTGATGACATATCTCGATAGAAAGTTGCAAGTCTCCGTCCTCACGTCCTGCTTGAGCAGTTTTCCATCTTTAATCTTCCCTTCAAAGTCCAAACGGACCAAGATTCTCTCGACAATCTCTGCAAAACAAGGTTTTTAATCAGAGATTTAGATATAAAACAGGTACAAGATAAACTAACCACACTTATCCATTTTATACACAGTACCCCTTATCCTCTCTTATCAGCTCTCAAATCACTTATCAGTTATCGAGCGGATTATACGAAACAAAGGCTTTTAGAGAGACTTCTCAAAGTCAACCACACAACATGAACGGAAGCGAACAACTGAAGAGAAAAACACAAGAATACGGAAAGAATACCAAGAAATGATGACTTCAGCGAAACACAAAATCGTGAACGCGATACTGATTTCCATCGATGGCTTTGTATTTTTGGCCGAAATGTTCTTTATCAGCGAATAATACGGGAAAATTATGTGGATTACGATGGATTACGTGTTTTTACGTCAATTTTCACTGTGAAATGGAGTGCGGGGAATCCCCGATGTGTCAAATGAACTTTCACTGACTTTCGTTCAGTTTTTATAGCAATTCAAAAGTTCAGAATTATTTGAAAATCATATATATTGTAAAATATTTTAATCTTATGGACGGAAAGAAAATAATTCAGAGATCATTGCTTGGTAGCTTATCTAGTACTTTTCACAGACTGCCTAATGCTTTTTTCTTCTCCAAAGTCTATGCACTCTTTCTACCAGTCTCGCCAGAGATTCTGTGACAGGTTCTATGCCCTATGATAAGAATTGGAAAGACATCCTGAAAGAAATTTACCTTTTGTCGTGTCTTCATGTAGAATTTTTTCACTGCTCATGATTCGCAAAACTCCGTCATAAAGTGATCACCAATAAACAGTTCTTTTATACACTAACAAGCTTATTTGTTAGTTATTGGCGTCTGTCTTCTATGCTAACGATGCGATCGATAGTATCCAAATAAAAGATGGCTGCATGGCTCTGCCGGTGGTGAATTATCACTTCGGAAGGTGGTGAATTGTCCCTTACGCCCTCTTCATATTCGTACATATAACAAGTTCAAATAGGATTGCAACAAAGGATTATAATACAAAAACACGGCTTAACATTCAAATCAGAACACAACATGAAACTATTCACACATTGCTCTTGACTTTGATAAGATAGCACGAAACTATAGATAAGTCAGAAACTATATCAGTTCGCTTGAGGTGGGATTAAGTCCACCTATTCCGTCGAGAGTCCATCGAACACTGTTCAATAGGTTCAATAGAACTCTAATCTGATGTATTTTTGCTAGCAGAAGAACGATAACTCAAAGGAAATTCAATAGCTATTGTATATTTGTATATTTATTATTTCAATTCACATTAGCACAAAATGTCTATCGTTTTTGCTGTGTCTCTGTGTTTTTAGCCTTCTTGATTGCATTCTTCGAGATCTCTTTTATCAAGTTGTTATTCTCACAAAAGGTGGTGAAACCTTTCCACGTTTCATCCTTCTCGAGAGTGCTAATATTCCCAACGATGATCAGCAAAGCCTGCGCTCGCGTCAACGCCACGTTGAGACGCTTGGGATTGTTCAGGAATCCCACAGAATTCGTCCTCGAGCGAACAGTGGAAAATATAATTACAGGCTTTTCATTGCCCTGGAATTTCTCCACTGATCCAATCTCAATGCCTGCCAAATTCATCCTGGCGCATGCTTCAGTGATCTTCCGGCACTGCGCTTTGTAAGGCGAGATCACACCAATGCTCTTTTGGGTGATTTCTCTCCCAAAAACTTCTTTCATGCTCAGAATTTTTTTGATGTAGAACAACACTCGAGAAACTTCTCGGAAATTGAACAAACTTGGGAAATTGGCAAATCGCTTAGCAAATCCTTCGACATTCTCGAAGATGATGGGGATCTTCGGATTGGGCAGAAGCTGCCAATCGCAAGCCCAGAACGCGATCTCTTTGTCGGCTTCCGCAATCAAATCTCCGTCGTAGAAAGCATCGTTCGGAAACTCCAGAATCTTCGGGTGCGATCTGTAATTGCGCAGCAGCTTCGTCATCGCCCGCGGATTGTATTTTCCCGTCTCAGGATCTTTGGCGTAAATCCCAGAGTCGACCAAGCGCTCAAGCATGGAAATTCCGAGACGAGGCTGCACTTTTTCTGCCATCACAACTGGTCCAAGCTGCTTCGGATCTCCAGCAAGGATCACTTGAGCATGAATCTCACCCAAAGACGAGACAACTCTAGCAATTGGAATCAATGTGGAAGCTTCAGTGCCACTTCCACACTCGTCAATGAATACATAAGAGAAACCTTTCACGTCAATTTTCATCTGAGCCAGCCTGAAATGATAGGCATTATGTCTTGTAAAGTGTGCAACTGAATTTTTAAACATCAAATTTACCTTCCAGCAGTTACAAGAGTCGTGAGGACAACGCGATATTTGTACAGTTCCAATCGAGAGGGATAATAATGGCCAGTGTATTTCAAGTTGGAAGCCCTCACCACTTCAGGATCAATCGTTTTCATGTCTTCAGCTTTTGATTTGGAGAAAAAACGCAAGATTTCCTCCTTAGTGAAATACTTCAGCAGTCGCAACGTGATAACGTCAGTTGCATTGTTTGACGTTGTAGCGATCAGGATCTTTGCTTCAGGCTTCCTCCGGGTGATCTGGCAAACAGCCTCGACGATGGTCGTGGTCTTTCCGGTGCCCGGAGGTCCCATGAGGATGTAAGGCGCCGGGAAGGACGACTTCTCCACCATGTGAATGATCGCGCTCTGTTGCTCCGGATTCTCCTTCACGCTGTCGTTGATCCACTCGAAGCTGTGAGAAGAGCAGAATTAAATCATGTTCACAGTGATCTTGGTGGATTTATTACCCAGAGAAGTCAATTGGATGCGTCGGAATCGAGTCTGGGAAGAAGAACTTCGCGATCATGTGTCTGTCCACATATTCGAGAGCTTCTTTCTGAAGCTGGCTCGGCACGCGATTGGGTGAAAAGAAAACATCATACAGCGTCTCATCTCCGAAGGGAATCTCAACGTCCAATACAATGTCCTTCTTTCGCACTTGATGAACTGTGCCAATCATCATCGCGTTAATTTCACCGTAACTCTTTTTCGATAGTTTTATACGCACTTCTGTTTTTTCTGGCAATTGCGATGAGTCTGCATTATGAATATTTTCCAGCAAATAGAAGATTCCATGCCGAGTTATCTTCGAAGTCAGATTGACGTCGTATTGATTCATTTTGGCGATTCGCTCTTGTTTCTCACAATTCTCCATGTCAACGAGTGTTTGCCAAAATGCCTTGTAATTAGCTTTAGTTGGGCCAACCGCCAATAAGTCACTGTAAAGATAAATAGAAGGAAATCGCGTATAGTCCAATTATTCGTTTAGTTTTCGAATGAAATATTACTTGATTCCATCCAACAGAGTATTTTCCGGTTCTGTGAGTTCATTGTCTTCCAATCCGTCCGACATCTTCTTCGTCAAGGACTTCATCTCCTGCGGAGTATGGTAACTCGGTAAGATTGTCAAGATTGTCCTCCTGCATACATAAGATAGAAATACATACGTTAATATTGCTCAAAACATAACATTGAAAAATGAACTCACGGAACTCCTTTAGGCAAAACGGCTGCAACAGAGCACTTCACCTTTATCGGTTCCTCTTCCACCACTTTGTTTACCAACTGTAAGAAGCATTGAGAACAAATTGAGAATAAAAAAAATGCACAAATAATTTCGCTCTATTCATTGTTATCATACCGTGAAGTGATAGTGCGTCCACACACTAAATTTGCCGTTCACTGCGCTGATGAGAATGATGGAATAGGGTTGATTCTCAACAGTAAGAACACATCGATTGATACTGAATTTTATGCAATCGTCTGTAAGAAAGAAAAACCATTGAGTAAATGACAAATTTGCCTAACAATATTCATCAATCTTTACCCTCTTCATACGTTGCAATGCTGAAGAAACTTCCCCCGTCGGGCTGCAGAAGGATCACTTCGTGCATCGAAATTTTCACCTCGCTCTTATTTGAGTTTATGTTGAACACCAATTGTTCATATCTGTCTTGGCACTCCATCGTCAATTCAATCAGTTGCTTGCTCCATTTTGAGCTCTCGGCAGCGAAATCTTTATCGTGAGTTTTCATGTGATCGAGAAAACTCGGGTAATTTTCGAATGTCTCCTTGCATTCGAAACACTTGGTCTTATTCTCATCGGTCAAAACATAATTCCTCTCTTGCTGTATCGTCGCAAAGTACGCCAAATCGTACGAAAATCCCTCTTCTTCTTGAACATACTTCTTCACAAATTTCTCAATCTTCCAAGTGTTAAGTCGAAAGAACGGTGATTTAAAGAACACAGATGGTATCATGTATTGGGTTAATTTATCTTTAAACATTACATTCTGGACCTGAAAAATCAACACAATGACGAGTAAGAATAAAATTGCGGACAATCAATGAAAATATTTATTATTTAATATTTGATCAAGCCTTTGATTAAATAAAAATAGCTGAATTCACTCGATTTCCCTCCTTTCGATACAGTTTCAGACAAGGTTAATATATTATAAGGAAACATATCTGTCTCTACCTAAAACTAAAGAAAACATTGGGCTTCACCCTGTGTCTAGAGTCCAGCGTTTAAAGCTTGTGAATTTTCGGCACAAATCTGCACTCTCGGGAGACCCAAATTCCAGGTAGAAAAGATTAAACCGAGAATTACACAGAAGTATAGCAGATCCATTTGTGCTCAGCGTCACGCATGAGTTCTTTTAGGAAACTTACGTTTTCAACGCTTTTGCCATTTTGCCTGCCCACGCAAATGTTTTTGCAAATTATGATCAATAAATTTATACTATTCTCATATCTGAAATCGTATTTCTTTGTCTCATCTCATCAATTTTACAGGAACATTTCAAAATACTACGCTTATCACGTTCATTTCGCTCTTTACCGATAACTTATGACTCACTACAAGTCAAGAGAGTTTAAAGAAAAATTTCATTACACAAGAAACTCTACTTACATTTTTGTACCCAAAATTCTTGAGTTTGTTCTCTGCCGCGAATTCGACAACAGCCTTCCGAAGATCCTTCTTATGCAATAAGTTGTTCTCAATTGTGCCTGCGATGAAGAGCTTCGCCAGAAGTTTTTCCACATTCTCTGAAAAATGAACATTCAACCACACAAGGTCAAATGTGGCATAAAACATTGTTGCACACAAATGAACAACTTCATTACCTCTCATTGCATCAGCCATATTTGCACTTGATGAGCTTTTCTGAGCCATTTCAGCGTAGAAACACCCTTGCACTCTAGATAATCGACTATTTCACCACAAACCAATGGATCCGATCAACACGAAGCGCAAGCGACAACTGAAATCTTCACGACTTTCTCTGTGCAGAAACACCACTAAACTGAGCGAGTGATAAAGCGAGAGAATGTGCTTGGTAAACATTGTAGACGATTGCAATTCTTGGAAACAGGGGAATTCCCTTTATTTCTTGAATTCTTCGTTAAGTTCACTACATAGTAACGGTCAAATTCATACATAGAAAAAGGTAAAGAAAAATAAAATAAGGAAGTTCTGTATGATTCTACATCAGTTAAGTAATGAAATTCATATTTTACTCTCTAATCGAGACGTCTGAAAAACTTGAAAATTCACATAAATTAACAACTAAGCATAATTATCATAAATTAAGTTGTCCATTATCATCGCCGGTATCCATTTAATTTATCATCACATTGTTGTCCCTGCAAAAAGAGATGAATTTACTCCACGTGACACTCTTCTCCAGCGTCTCGACGTTTCCAACGATGATCAGCAAAGCCTGCGCTCGTGTCACAGCCACGTTGAGACGCTTCGGATTCCCAACAAATCCCACTGAATTCATCTTAGATCGGGCCGTTGAGAGAATGATGATGGGCTTTTCGTTGCCCTGGAATTTCTCCACGGACCCAATTTCTATATCATCCAGTTTCATCCGTGCGCAAGCTTTAGCTATTTTCTGGCACTGTGCTTTGTAAGGAGAAATCACGCCAATGCTCTTTTGGGTGATTGCCTTTCCGAACACACTTTTCGCCTTCAATATCTTATTGATATAGAAAAGCACTCGCGAAACTTCTTTCCAATTGAACAAGCTTGGAAAGTTTACGCTGCTTCTGGCTTCTCCTTCGACGTTCTCGAAGATGATGGGGATCTTCGGATTGGGCAGAAGCTGCCAATCGCAAGCCCAGAACGCGATCTCTTTGTCGGCTTCCGCAATCAAATCTCCGTCGTAGAAAGCATCGCTCGGGAACTCCAGAATCTTCGGGTGCGATCTGTAATTGCGCAGCAGCTTCGTCATCACCCGCGGATTGTATTTTCCCGTCTCAGGATCTTTGGCGTAAATCCCAGAGTCGACCAAGCGGTCCAGAAGAGAGATTCCGAGACGCGGCTGAGCTTTAAGCACCATCACAACTGGCCCAAGCTGCTTCGGATCTCCGGCAAGGATCACTTGAGCATGAATCTCTCCCAAAGACGACACAACGCCTGCGATGGGAATCAGCGTCGAAGGCTCCGTTCCACTGCCGCATTCGTCAATAAAGACGTACGAGAAATGTCGAGGATCAATTTTCATCTGAGTCAACCTAGAATGACAAAAATTGAGACTTGTAAAATCAATTTGCAACTCAATCTTGAGTATTCAACTTACCTTCCAGCAGTTACAAGAGTCGTGAGGACAACGCGATATTTGTACAGTTCATCCAGAGTGGGATAATAATGCGCATTGTACTTCAGATTTGACGCTTTCATCACTCGAGGATCAATCGACTCAATTTCTTCCGTATGCGACTTGGAAAAGAGTCGCAGTATTTCGTTCTCTTTGAAATACTTCAGCAAGCGGAGCGTAATCACGTTCGTTGTATTGTTGGACGTCGTCGAAATGAGGATCTTTGCTTCAGGCTTCCTCCGGATAATCTGACAAATAGTCTCGACGATGGTCGTGGTCTTTCCGGTGCCCGGAGGTCCCATGAGGATGTAAGGCGCCGGGAAGGACGACTTCTCCACCATGTGAATGATCGCGCTCTGTTGCTCCGGATTCTCCTTCACGCTGTCGTTGATCCACTCGAAGCTGCGAAAGAAAAGAAGGATTAATTCATGTTCACAGTGATTTTGGCGGATTTCTTACCCAGAGGAATCAATTGAATGCGTCGGAATCGCGTCTGGGAAGAAGAACTTCTCAATCATGTGTTTGTCCACATATTCAAGAGCCTCTTTCTGCATCTGAATCGTTACGCGATTGGGCGAAAAGCAGACATCATACAGCAAATTCTTATCGAAATGCTCAGGATTTTTAATGTCCAGCAGAATGTCCTTCTTCCTCATTTGATAGACGTAACCAAACATTGCTTCTGCAACACATTTACTCTCTCTTGATGGCCAGATGCGCACATCGCTGCCCTCAGGAATCTGCCAGGAATCCGCGTTATGCGCATTCTCAAGAAAATAGAAGATTCCTCCATCTGTTCTCTTAGCATCAAGCTTGACGTCGTATTGATTCAATTTAGCGATTCGCTCTTGTTCCTCGCAATCCTCCATTTCAACGAAGATCTTCCAGAGTTGCGTGTAATTGGCAACAGTCAATTTACTCTTCAAGAAAGCACTGCAAAGATGAAGTAATGCGAATGATGCGTTAATAAACTTGGATTCTGTATATGTTTTGATAAGAGTGGATTGTTAGAACTTACTTGATCCTCTTCAGCAGCGCTGCTTCCTCATCCGTGAGGTCTGTGTTCTTGAACATCTTCTTCGTCAGTGACTTCATTTCCTGAGAAGGATAATGACCAGGCAACTGTCCCAAGATTGTCTTCCTGTGGAAACAGATCACAATACATTGATAATATTGCTCCGCAGAACATGTATTTGTATTATTTATTCTTGAACTCACGGAAATTCTTCAGGCAAAACTGTTGTTGTGTTGTGATAAGACTTTATCGGTTCCTCCTTCAGAGCATAGTTATACTTCCCCAGCTGCGTAAGGACAGAAAAACGTAAATGTTTAAGGAAAATGCACAAATATCATATCTATATGCACTAATATCATACCGTGAAGTGATACTGCGTCCAGATCGTCATCTCGCAATCCGTTGTGCCAGAGAGAATGACGGAATAAGGTTGATTGTCAACAGCAAGAATGGAGCGGTTGATGGCGAATTTTATACAACCTTCTGTAATAATGAAAAACCATGAATTTCCAAGACATATTCAAGTAATCCACATCGCTTTTACCCTCATCGTAAGTGGCCACGTCGAAGAAAATCTGCAAGTGCGGTATCTCAAAAAGCACTCCCTCGATGGCGATCTTCATCTCGCTGTTATTCGGCAGGACATTGAAGATCAACTTCTCGTCCTTCTCTTGGCATTCCATCACCAATTCAACCAGTTGCTTGTTGCTTTGCGAGCCCTCGTCGGCCAAATCTTTATCGTGAGTCTTCATGTGCTCGAGAAAAGTCGTGAGGCTTTTATACGTCTTCTTGCACTCGCAGCACTTCTTAATCTCATATGCCAAGACAGCATTTCTGTCTTTCTTGATCGTCGAAATATACACCAAGTCGTACGAATAGAAGAAATCTTCCTCCTGACCGTATTTCATCACAAACTTCTGGATCTTCCACGCAAACACTTTAAAGAAGGGCGATTTAAACGGATTCGTTTTCTTCGTCGCACAAATTTTGTGTTTGAGCATCGTTTTCTGAACCTGAAATTTGAGAAGAACGTGAGCAAATTGCTGACATCATATTTGCGGCTTAAATGAATTTCTCTCTGCGCTTTGTATTGTTATTCAATCATCTGATTCAGTCTACAATTATCAACGGTGGCAAAGGAGGCCAAAAACTTTGCCTTATGATAATTTTTGTCTTTCAATTTTAATCTTGGCAGACCTAAATTCTAGGTAATATTATAACCCTCATTAAAACCTGTTTATGTACAGATCAGTCCTTGTAGGTTACAAATGATTTTCTTTTATGCTCACGAACAATAGAAAAGAATAATTCTACGCAAGACTTTTTGCAAAAACTCAATCAAATTTCAATAATTAAGCAAGCGGAATAAAATAAATGTGCTTATCAGGCTCATTTCGTTCTTTCAGTTGCTCTTGCTTTGCATTATAAACACTGATAAGTTATTTCATGATTCATCGACAGTCTTCAGAGTGATTTTGTCAAGATTTTAGGTGCAAAAATATCGAAGAAATCTACACAAAATTGCATTAATTCTTTACTCACATCTTTGAACTCGAAATTCTCGATGTCGTTCAGCACCGCGAATTCTTCAACAGCCTTTCGAAGCGTCTTCTTTGTCAAGCGATTGTTCTCGATCTCGCCATCGATGCAGAGCTTCGCAAGAAGCTTTTCCACATTCTCTGAAAAATCAACGCTCAATTACACAATAATGTTCAAGGGATAAAAAGTATGCATCCATTTTACCTCTCATCGCGTCTCCGCCATCTACGCCATTCGCCCTTGACGCGCTTTTCTGAGCCATTTTACCGCAGAAAAACTCTCTTGCACTTGTGATATTTCGGATATTTCAACACAAAATGCTTCAAATCAACCGGTCAGCACAATTTGTAAGAATTTTTCTCTTCACAACCACGTAACTTTACCTATTGAAGATCGTCCACAAACTAAAGGCTTGAGGCGAGAGAAACACAAGCCTCGCCGGTAAGAAAAACTGAGAAGGCATGTTTGCTATAATTCCCCTTTATTGCCATAATATGTTCGTCATTCTTCGTCAAGTTCTTTCTGCACTTTATGGTAACGGTCAAATATCACTTCTACTGCATGGAATATTGAAAAAAGAATTAAAATGCAAGAAGCAAATCTTCGCATCCTTCCTGCCTACAGTTTGAGACGCTTGAATTCATTGGTCATCACATGGAGTATTCTGTCGAAATCCCTGGCGAAGCTGATGTTCTCCGACAGAGTCGTTATAAGTCCGTAGTTCTCATAGAGATCGATCACTGTGCGCCAGTGCTTGTCTTGTCTCAGCGTCTTAGGATTCCCCACGACAATGTTCAGCGCTTTGGCGCGCGTCAGCGCCACATTTAGTCTCTTGGGATCGCCCAGGAAGCCCACGGATCTGCTTTTGGACCGCACAGTCGAAATAATTATCACCTCCTTCTCTCTACCCTGGAACAGCTCCACAGCCGCCACGTCAATCTCGTCCCAGTGCCGCTCCAGACACACCTCACGTATCTTCGTCACCTGCTTCCTGTATGGCGCTATGATTCCCACCTCGCTCTGCGCTATCTTGCGCCCATTCACGCCGTTGACCAGGATCTCCTCCACGATCGTTATCACGGCATCAACTTCGTCCATGTTGAACAAGCTCGGCGAGTCGCGCTCGCTCGTGCAGGAGCCAAAGATTGCATCCATCGCGATCGGAATGGCTCCGTTGGGCAAATATTTCCAGTCCAGCGCCCAATTATACTTTGCATTCGCCACCAGTTCATTATCGTAGAACATTATGTTGCACACGTCAAGAATTGGCGGACACGAGCGGAAGTTCTGCAGCAGTTTCGTCACGAGATTCGGATTGTACTCGCCAGTATTGGCGTCTTTCTGATAAGCGGCGCTATTGATAAGGCGCTCCATCATGGAGATCTGAAAGCCACGATCCTTGGCTAGAGCTGAGGTAAGAACTGGGCCCAATTGCTTGTGATCTCCAGCCAGGATGATCTGTCCATTGATGCTGTGCTCATTGGCGACAATCCCAATAATCGGGACAATTGCCTGCGATTCTGTACAGCAACTGCTCTCGTCGATCACCACGTGCGTGAAGTGTTGCGTGCTGATGCGCGCCTGCACGAGCCTTGAAGCAATTCACTTATCAAATCACTTTTATCACACAATAACGCACTTCATGGTACTCACTTTCCAGCCATGCTGATTGTGCAGATGACGATTCTGAACTGATAAATCTTCTTCAGCGACGGATAGAAGATTTTGTTTTCCAGCGCATTCGCCACTTTCAGTAGCTCCGCCTCCATCTTCTCCAGCTCCTTCTCCTTCACCCGCGAGAATAGCCTCAAGACATCGCAGTTCGGCAGATAGCGCAGAAGACGAAGGCAGAGCTCATCGCATGCAGAGTTCGACTGCGCCGTGATGAGAATGTGTGAATTTGGCTGTTGCTTCCACAACTGACAAACCGTCTCTACCAGCGTCATGGTCTTGCCCGTGCCCGGCGGGCCGAAGATGATGTAGGGAAAGGGATAAGAGCTTCCTGCCGTGATGTGAAGAACAGCGCTTCTTTGCTCAGCATTCCTCGACACGCACTTATTGAACCAATTCAGCCTGTAAAAGAGAAGGAAACATTATTAATTTGACGACAAAATAACTATGAAATCATCAATTCTAACGTCTTAAAATCATATTGGTAATATCGATCTATTTTATGAATTTCTTCTTTGCTTTTTCGAGTCAATGTTTTCTCAAACTCACTCTTTTTCCACTGGCGTAGTTTTTAGTTTCGGCATTTCTGTGGGGAAGAGAATGCTCTGCAGCTTCGGGGAGTTCATCAGCAAGTACAGCGCGTGAGCCTCAACGCGAAAATTGTTCCTATTCGGTTGGAAGCTGACATGAAATGTATCTTCCGTGTTAATCTTCGCCTTGATTCTTAACAGGACGCAATCACTCTCGATTTTAATGATAGTGCCGTAGATTCTCCGCAAATTGTCACCGTAAGGAGTGATCTTGATGGCGTCGTAATCGCGCTGAAGCATTAAACAGACGGTGTCATGAGGAAGAATCGATGGCCGCATATCGGAGACGTTTTCAACCGCCAATTTGTAAAGGCTCTGATTATGCCTCGGATTGAGTTGACTCAAAAGCTTCAGTCTTTGATTAGCTTTGCCATACTTCTCCACTTCCCGGCCGACTGTGAGCTCCTCAATCTGTAGAGAATGGCTCATCGACTCCACATAGTTGCCCTGATTCAGTCGTGTCGCCTTGTCAGAGAAACTGAACTCTGTCAATTTCTCATGCAGCATAAATTCTAGCAAGCCACTCTTTTCCGGCAGACGAAAGTTTCTCTTGAACAGCGCTTCCATTTCACACGTCGGATGATGCTGCAGAGATCTGTACAGCTTCAAATCCCGACTGGTTCTGCATGAAAAGAGACGCAAATGAAATCCAGAAGTCAAACAACACTATTTAAATCTTACGCTTTTAGCTCAGAGATGGTTTTCTTTACGGATTCCGTTCTTTCGTATCTCTAGAAAGATAAGATCATCCAGAAAAGTTAAAAGTTTGTTAGAAACACTTCTGTCAATTTTCTCATTTCCATTATTCACTCACAACGAGATCGTAAACTTCTATTCCCTTGCCGATGTCATCTCTGATGAACTTGAAGACGATCTTCCACACGCTCATGACCTCAAAGATGTCTTGCAGAAGACTTTTCGACACTTGCAGCACAACTCTTTCACCTCTGTCTAGCTGAATAGGGCAGGAATCCTTACATATCTCAACGTTCACGAAGGACGGCGAGATCAATTCGATCCTGTCGATGGTCTGGAACATATTCAGATCGTTGGCAATGTCAAGAATCATGTTTTTCTTTGTGATTTCCACCACTGACAACTTGAAGGACTGCGAAATCCTGCGAAATGAAAAGTTATTAGAAACGAGTACAAGACAGCCTTGCAATCGGCTCACAATTCAGCATTCCTGGGCGAGGCGTTGCTCACGTGGAAGCTCATGTGCTCCTCATAATCCCTGACCCACTTGAAGGACACTTCGCAGATCACACAGAGATGAGCGAAGCGAGAGTCCCGCGGAAAGCGCTTGCTGTATGTGCCACAGTAGTGAAGAAACACCTCGCTGGACTCAGTCTCCAGGAGTCCCTTAAGGCAGTAGAATTTTCCCACTTGGGAGAACTTCTTGATCAGCTCGCAGAGACGATCACAGCAGAACTTGTAGATCGTCTTGTCGTCACTCTGGCTCTCTGCCACCGGATCAATGATCTTGCACGCTATTAGAAGGCTGTTGAGCTGCAATCGTGGGAGAAATAATACATTTTCTTGTATCTTCCTGTGTTTTTCTTCTTACTTGATTCAGCTGGAAAAGCATTTGAACGCCATGTTGGACAATGTAACTTCCGAAGATCTTCTTAAGAATTCCCTTCTTGATACGATTGTCCGGGAATTTGTAGCCGATGATGCCCTTAACGAGCAGATCAACCACAAATTCGTAAAAGATTGCTGAAAAACCAGAAAAATCACTTCATAACAGCACTTTCCGCCATGATCACAAAAATCACCTTTTTTCTTTGATGTCAGCATTTTTTCCACACAAAATCACTAAACATCGCCACTCTTCAGCTCTTTTTATACTCCCTGGAGCAATTGAATCCCAAATTCATGCGGAAAATGTGGGAAAATGGGAAATTACGTGCAGCAATTCTCACACAATATGGCACGGAAGAGCTTTTTTCAGTGAACACAGCGAACGGAACTTTACGCGAAATTATGGCAAATCTTCGTTGACTTTCGGCAAACGTCAATTTAATTTCGTTGGGCTTTTATTTTGGTGTCTGGCCAGGAGAATCACAGGATTATCGCTAGAAATGAATCCCAAATCGGGCGGAGATGAGAATCCTTCGGTGGAGGAGCGTGCAGGAGTTGTCCGGGAAGTGGGATCCAATGCGGTCTGGAGTCTATCTTCGTGCAAACCGGGTGAGTTTCCTCATGACACTTTGGAAGCAATGATTTGTGCTGATTATTCTGACTCTGGGATGATTTTTCCAGGATTTGGCGTCGAGCAGTTGCGCGACAACTGCATGGACACTTACTGGCAATCCGACGGGACACTCCCGCACCTCGTGAACATACAGTTCCAGCGCAAAACCACGGTGAATCAAATCTACATCTACACAGACTACAAGCTGGACGAGAGCTATACTCCCAGCAGGATCTCCATCAGATCTGGGACGCACTTCAATGACCTGCAGGAAGTAGAGGTGATAGACTTGGTGGAGCCCACAGGTAAAACGCATTCTTTTGTCCTTTTTGACACTCTTTCTGAGCTTTCTGTACGATTTTCCCAGGCTGGGTGATGATTCCCATCAGAGACATCCGGGAGAAACCCATTCGCACCTTTATGATACAGATAGCCGTCATATCTAACCATCAGAACGGCAGGGACACGCATATGAGACAGATTCGCATCCACTCGCCAATCGAGGGTCGGAATTGTCCGATCGAGAACTTCGGCAACTTCAGCACGGTTCAATTTCTGCAGTACTCGACAATCAGATAACGGAACGCAGGAACGAGTTTCGTCGGCTCTCTGGGCAGCAGTCAGATCACTCGTGAAACAGCCATGGTGTCGTGCGGAGTGATATTCCTTGTTCTCCTTGTTCTGAGCAATACAGTGTGGATTGAGGCTTTTAATCATGAGTTGAAGGATCATTTTCTGGAGAATCTCGAAGAAACGTTCACCCAGAAGCCGAATCGATCAGAGGAGGATATGGCGCGTGAAATACACGTGATGGTCAGTGATTTCGTGCATTTGGGGCGCGATCGGGCCAAGAGGGTTCGCAGAGACACGAAAAGCAGAGCTTCAGGTAAGAAAACTGCTTTATTCAAAGCCAAAAAGCTCCTTCTTGATGTCGCCACAATTGTGAAGCTCGAGGAACTTGATGAAGTTGCTCATGTTGAGCACGACCTCCTCATCATCGCCCACATCGGCGAAGAGCATCTCCCTGAAGTCCTCGAAGAGTCTGGACTCGGTTTCCGACTCCTCCGCCTTCTTGATGCTGATTTTCTGCCAGTGCATCTGACGCAGCAATTGCCAGAATTCTTGAGTGCTCGCGCGATCGCCCTCCACGCAGATGATTCCCGGCTTTCCGGGCAAAGAGAATCCCGTGAGCGCTAAATCATTGGCATTCTTCACGATATTCCGTCGCTTGGTTTTGCTCTTGATATGATGCGAGTAAATCCATAAGCGCTCAAACGAGCTTTTCACCTCCTCTTCAGTGCCCTTTTCATGCGATACCGTTGCTCGTAAATCTTCCACATTGTCTTGCACCCAAGAGACAATTTGATACACGTAAGGTTCGCTCTTATCGAGCGTGTCAATGTACTCTTCAATTTGCTCGCATAAGGTCAACTCTTGCCTTTTTGTGAGCACTTTTGAGTCCACTTGAACGCGTGGGATTTCAACGGAGGGATAAAAGTGTGGCAATTCAACACTCAAATGCATTTTCCCATCGATTAGTGGAAAGCAAATTCGGAAATCTAGCTTTCTGTGCACGGATTCCAGTCTACCCTCGAGGAATTCATTGATGTCCGCGGCTATGCTATGGTCATCGATGTGAAACTCCCCGGGATTGCAGAAGATCGACTCCAGCATGCTAAGCTCGTCGATTTGCTGCTGCAGACAAGTCCGCAGCAGATCGTTTTGCGTGCTAATCTCATCGTCCATTCTGCAAAAGACAGGAATATTAAGTCAAAAATTGTCTGCATTTCATCATTTCAAAGTGGAAGCGTTTGAAAGTTTTATGAGATCTATTTAAAGGCAGAATAAGTGACTAAATCAAGTTTAAAAATAAAATCAAGTTAAAATATCAGTTTTCTTTGATTTTGAATTTTTGATTCTTCCTTGAATCCACGAAGCATAAGAACTATTGGAAGCAGTTTAAAGGTTTTTATGCATTGTTTCCCCCTTGCAGCCCACTTCAACCTTGTGGGATTCGAAGATCTGGGCTCGATTCCAGTCAGTTTTCCTCTGGATCTGTGCCTCATGAATGTCTTGAGCGACACTTTTGCTGTGGCTCTGCACACAAACGGCCCAGAATCTGAGAAGGATAACAGCAGCGCTGAAATTTCCTTCTTTCGACTAAACGTAAGAACATTCTCTTCTATTCCTTAATGCGTTTGAATCGATTTAACTTTTCTCTTTACCTTCAGGGTACAGAATTCACACTGGATCACCGAGAAAAGCTGGCGAAGAGTTACAATATGGATTGTATTGTCGTCGGAAATCTGGCTTTTGTGGCTGTTGCTGGAGAATTAAGGAGGGAGAATCTCTGGGATATCGGCTCGCCGGTCTTTCGAATCAACCCACAGGACCGCACAATAAGATCTGTGCATTTCGACAGAATGGAGCATCAATTAGCCGCTAAATTCTGGTAAATTCTACACAATTTTCGTCTTTTTAGCAATTTCTAATCACATTCATGATTGCAGGTCACACGGAAATGACATCTTCCTGATGAAAACGTTCCGGACGAGCAATATGGCTGCGGATATCCAGGCCAAATTCCTCTGCCCAATCTACAAATGGAATGTGGCAGGCAATTTTGAGCTCTGGAACGGGATTTCCTGCTCAAACACCGTCGCCGTAGAGGTTTTTGGCGTGAATGAAGACACCTATTTGGCCATGGCGAATGGCCTGGATGAGAAGAAGTCTTCGAAAACGCCTTCGGTGATCTACAGGCTTGATGAGACCGCCCAGAAGTTCGTCTATCAGCAGGGAATTGTGACGAATGGCGCTGTCGACGTGAAGCATTTTCGGGCTGGCGATGGAGACTTTCTGGTCGTGGCGAATTCCGCGACGAGCGCAGACGAAAGCAGGGATGATCTTGCATCCCACAGCATAATCTACAAGCACGCTAATGGACAGTTTCTGCCCATTCAGAGCATCACGACGGACGATGTCAGCAACATTTTGCCTGTGACTGTGTCCAAGGATCAAGTGATTCTCCTGTTCTCCAGCCAGGAAGCGCCCATTAAGATCTTCGAGTACGACGGATGGAAGTTTTACGAGTCGAGCGTGAAGTACAGTGGCGAATCCTTCGACACTGGCGTCACGAGGATGAGAGAGTACAGATTTGGGCAATATTCAGTGATCGTGATCGCTAACAAGCGTGTTTTCGGCGAGACCCAGAACATTTTCACGCCACAAGTGAAGCCTGTGCCGAACTATGACATCTACGAGGAGATGCTGAAGTGGTGTGAAGAGAGTCTCGCTGAATTGACCAATCTGAATCTCGAAGAAGCTGTGCAGATGATGGATGAACTCCCTAAAATTACCGATGAGGAAATTGTTTTTAAAGGAGTGGAATTTGCGTCTCTCGAAGTGGAGAGTGTTGAAACGAAGGCAATGAAAACTCCTGAAATTGACTTGGATGAAGAAACAGTGAAGAAAATCAATGCCATCAGCCAGAAAGTTGTAGATCTTCAGCTGAAGATGAGCAATATCGATGAAACTTTGAGGATATTCCAGGAAACTGATGATCAACAATTGGCTCAACAACTCCAGGAGGAACTCACACAACTCAACTTGGAGTATGATGAAGTTTTTGCCGATGAAGCTACTGTTGAGTTCCTCAATGGATTGGAAACAAAACACCTTGTTCACACTGATGAGCCACTGAATTTGCCTAATGTGAATCTCAAGTGTGCCAATGCAACGATTTCCGGTGATTTAAATATTGCAAATCTCACTGATTTGCAGAAGTTCAATTCCTCAAGTCCAGACACATTGATCGTTGAGAATCTTCAGGTGCAGAGCATAAATTCGCTTAACTTCTCTACTATTCAGGAGAACGCGAAGAAGATGAATTTGACTGTGATCAAGGCGGATAATCTCATTGTCAATGGACTGGTGAATGGCGAGGATTTGTCGGTGCTGGAAAAATACGCTCTCAGGACAGAAGGCAACCAAATGATCGCAGAAGTAGCCAGCATCGATCACTTGGTGGCGAAGCATGTAAATGTCTTCAGGAAGATTTCAGGAAGAGACTTTTCGGACCTGGTTTTGGCGGATGAAGGCGATTTTAAAGTACCACGTGTGAGTTTTCTCAGCAATTTCTCAGTCGAAGTGCTGAATGTCACTGAGAAACTCAGCCAAATTATGGTCTTCAATGGTCAATTGGATGTTGTTCTCACAAATTCCACAGAAAAGCAGATCATTGAGGGCAAGAAGACGTTCAGCGATGTGAAATTACAGAAACCAATTGTTTTGCGGGTAAGAAATCAATGTGAATCACTGAGTCATATTGTTAAATTTACTCTCTTACAGGGGAAGATCAAGAGCGAGAGTCTGGACAAGATGAATCCCATGGCGAGCATCAATGAGAATGTTGTGCTAGAGGGAGATTACTTCATCACAGGTCCTGTGACGGTGAAGAGGGTTCTCAAAATCGGGGATTTGCTGAGTGGCGAGAATTCTCTCAGTCTTCGGCGACTCTTTGTCGACGGCCTGAGGAAGGATGCCCAGGAAATACACCAGGACATAAACTTCCAGCAGCCACTGAAGGTATCTCATCTCGACTCAGAGTCAATCAATGGAATCGATCCGGAGAATCTCGTTAGGATGAACACGGAAGAGAGTCAGAAGATTGTCGGGAAGAAGTTTTTCAGAGGGAATCTGATGGTCAACGAGGGATTCTGCGATGCTGGAATCATTCAGGGCGTCAATCTGACGGAACTTAATCAAACTGTTCTGCACAGAAGTGGCGATGAGATGATCGAGGGCGACATTCAGTTTCGGAAGATCACAGCGAATAGTGTAAGAAGCGAAGAGACTCTGTTCGCGGGCAAGGATTTCGCCAAGTTCCTGCACTTCGACAAGGAACAGCGATTTTCCGGACGAGTGACAATGAGGAAGCCGATCTCCGTGCGTAAGAATCTCACAATTGGCGACATTAACAGCAGTGGGAAAGTTTCTGGGGTGAATATCAGTGACTTTGTCACTGACACAGCGAGAAAGGGCGAAAGATTAACTCTCACAGGGAAGAAGATCTTCGTAGGAGGCTTGGCAGTTGGCGATCTGCATGGTGATCATCTTCCGGGTCTCAATATATCCCACATCGATGAACAGTTCTTTGCAGTCGTTGATGAAAAGATCTTCTGGAATTTTGTGGAGTTCCCAAATGAGACAATCGTCCGGGAAATGATGTTCCTGGGAAGACTGAACAAGATTCAGTCATCGGACTTTGGAAATTGCTGGCTTCTCACGGAAGGTGATCAGGAGTTAACAGCTCCACAGGTTTTCTCCACTCTCTCCGCCCAGGAAGGCGTGAATCTCCGTGGATTCCTCAATGGCAGGAACTTTGAGAAACTCATCGAGAATTCCTTCTTCATCAACCGACACGAATATCTTCCGGCTCTTAAATCTCTCGACAGAGTCACGCTGAATGATGCTCTCTGGATGAACGGCAGTCTGTCGGGTGTTTTCCTGCCTGAGTTGCTGACCAGGAAGGGCAGATCGGCGAAGATTCTCCCCAAATTCACCGTGTTCGGCGATTTGATTGTGGACAAGAATCTCTGGATCCGGGATTCAATCAACAACATCTCTTTGACAGCGCTCCTGGACTTTATCCGGCCACCGGCAAACGTCCAGCATCGCCTGTTCATCCACGGCGATGCGCACTTCAACAGCGAACCGAAAGTGGACTTCCTCAACGACCTGGACATCCTGAACGCCTACGAGAACGCCCTCAGAGTGTACAACAAGCTCGATTTCACTGAGTTTGTGCATCTTCACGAGGCAGAGTTCCTGGACAGAGTTTTCTTGGCTGGAATGAGTAATGGTATCAATTTGACTTACGTGGCCGAGAACTACTTGAGTTGCACAAAGGCGCAGGAAATCAGTACAAAAGTTAACTTCCTGGACACGGTGACTCTGAATGTTCCGCTATCATCTGATCAGATGCATCTCGAGGGACGCTTTAGAGGCATGGACAGGTGAGTAAGAGCATTCTGCACAATAATATTGAAAAGAAATGGTTTATTTACAATTTTTACGCAACGCCGCGCACTTTTTCTTCCCAAAAGCAAGAGTTACAATGTTTACAGAAATCGTCAGTGGACAATTCCACGCTTTTAACGGAAGTTTACGTTGAAAAGGGAATTGCGGGGTGATTTTGGACAGTGTATTAAATGTATGAATAATTTTTGTGAGAAATTCAGGCAAGGCGAGCAAGACACTTTATCTTTTAGTGGTGAACTTTAGAAAAGAACATTTTTATTGTCCAAAGCATTTTAAATTGATTTTAATTGAGTGGACAAAATTCAATGATCCAATGCAAATTTGTGTCTGAATTGAATTCCATGAATTTCTAGTGAATATTTCGATGATTTTCAGAGATTTTTATAGCATCTTCAGTGAATTTTTTACTCACGCTTCGCATTTTTATTCTCTTCAGCGACGAAACTGTGAAAATAGAGGAACTCGACGAGAGAGCGGCGAAAATGATTGGGAACCAGACAATTTCTGGTCAGTGGCGCCTGAAAAGTGTGATTGTGGAAGGAGACCTAGAAAATTCGCGCATAAATGGCCTTAATGTCGAGGAGGACTTGCTGAGATACGATGTAGAGAGGAATAATGTGACTGGACTGAAGAGACTCCATCATCTCGTGGCGGAAAATGTGAAATGTGGCGAGAAGAACTGCCTTGTCCAGGGCGTGAATGTTGTCCAATGGTTCGCCGATGCGGTGTTTCTCATTGGGAATCACACAATTCACGATACAGTGACGCTGAAGAGGGCAGTTTTCCACACAGACATCACGTGAGATTGCTGAAAAGTCATATTCAAATTGATTTTCTGCAGCTGCTATGCCTTTTCCAGGGTTCACGGGCGTGTCAACAACATCACCTTCGACAGAGACACCGTCCTGACCAAGGATTGCCGGCAGGTCATTCAGGGGAATGTCTACATTGACAACAGATCGAAGGACAGGAGCAAATTGCACTCCCTGACACTCCATCGGCTCAACGCGACGAGGATCAATGGGAAGGACGTGGAAGACTTCCTGACGAATGTGGCTCTGCAGAGTGACGGCGCGAACCCCGTGGAATCTCTGGTGGTCTTCGAGAAGCCTCTGGTGGTGGAGAATCTCCAGTGCCGCGGCAATCTCTTCGGCATGAACATGAGCGGGAGGCAGGAGGAAATGGAGATGGCGCAGGAGCTGAGCGTGCTGGAAAGGAAGCTGAAACGTTTGTACGAGAAGGCGCAGACGATCGTGAAGCACCAGAGCAGTGATGTGACTTATGTGGATTCCTTTCGAGTGGCGCAAACGCTGACGGGCGTGCTGAAGAAGATCGTGCCCATTGAGTTGCTGAGAAATGGGAAGATGAATCTCTATCTGGCCATCCTGGCGGGACAGCCCAAGGAGACCATCATCAACTTCTACCGACTGGAGGAGTTCCAGAGGAAGACATTTGTGGAGTCTGACATTCCGTCGATAAGATTCGCAAACGAGGACTTCGTGAGCATTGATCGCCTGCACTTCCTGGGACAGGACTTCCTCTTCACCGAGAAGCACAGCCTCGAGCTGGGCTACACGCAGACGATCTTCCACTACGTGCACGACAAGATCAAGGTGATCTACGAGAGATTCTCCAGAACGCCGCGCAGGATCGCGGTTGTGAGACAGGAGAAGCAGGAGTGCATCGTCGAGTACTCAGTGAAGGACTTCCAGGTGTCCGTGGAGTGCCTGGTGAGGGACAGCGCAGAGAATATCACATGGAAGCCCTATCAGAGACTGACCATTCACGCTGTGCGTGAATTGATGGCGCTGAAGACGAACGTGTTCGCCGCGCTGACCACAAATGGAAGCGTCAGCATCTTGGAGCATCGCCCCGGGGAGAAGTGGCAGGAGAAGCAGGCGCTCTCCATCATCAATCCTCTGGACATGTCTTCGGAGACCTTCGAGGGCAAACTCTACCTGGCCGTCTGCTCAGGGCAGACTAAAAACTCCGTTCACCACGGATCTGTGGAGATCTTCCGACACGTCGGCAAGAAATTCGTCCACTTCCAGCACATCCCCATTGAAGCCTCCACTAGAATCCAGTTCTCTGTCCTGCCATCGGGGCAGTTCATGCTCTATGCACTGACTGGGAATCCCGGACAGCCGCTGATTGTGTACATCTACGCCGGAATGTCGGGCTTCCGGCAATTCGCCGTGGCATCAACAATACCGAAGGGAAACCGACTCACCGTGATCAAGGTGCCGAAGTTCCGGAAGGAATTTGTGGCCGTTCTCTCGGCCAGCGAAGCCACCCTTGTCGAGGCTGTTATCAGATAAAGTCTTGAGATTCAATTTCACGGTGTATTTCTCGCCTGTTGCCCAACACAATCACTCTAATCGTCGCTGGACTCCACATTCTCCGTCTGGAGGCCCTTGTAGGTGGGCACTGGAACGTACGTCACGAGGGTGTACAGCTTGTGGGGAGAGTCCTCGTCGTCGTTGCGGCGACGCGCCAGGCGGACGCGAACACGCACGGGAACGCTCCTGAAAATGCACATTTTTCCAATTAGTTCTCGCTCTGCGACGCAAAGATGCACTGCACTTCACCTGATACCCTTGGACCAGATGTGCTTGTTCAGACGGGTGTCAATGCGCACATCCTTGGTGCCCATCTCGTGCTCGGCAAACTTCCGGATCTCCTTGATGGCGCGTGGGGCGCGCTTCTTGAACCCAATGTTGTGAATCCTCTTGGACAAGTGGATTGTGCACTCACGCGTCACCACCTCATTGATGGCGGACTTGGTGCGTTTCTCCGTCTTGGTCTTGGCCATTGCTTTTCAGAGGATTTCCTCGAAAATCTGCAGAAAATAAGAAGTTAACCTCACTTTCCATTTGACAACACCACGCCACGCGAGTTCCCTAAATGTGCTATTTTCTCAATTTACAAAGAGATTTTCGAGGGAATTTATGCATGAAACGCTTCACTGGGATTTGCGGAGCAAGATTAATGGGTTTTTGGAGAGGAAAAGCTGGGTTTTTGTGGGGAAAATCGAGAAAAACACACCAACACGTACCTCACGTCTGAAAATTTTGAGTGAAAGACCGCAGCGATGCATTTGATGGATCGGCACTCAATCGCTGGCATGACAGTGTCCCAAAAGTCCAATGAAAGCTTTTCATGGGGGCGCTGAATATAAATAAAGCCAGACGAGATAAGATTGCGAAATACACGTGAAATCAGTGATAAAATAGTTTCTGCGGCCACATAAAATCAAAAATTACCAAGAAATTAGTGATAAAACCGAAAAAGGAGCCCAGAAAAGAATGTCGTCCACAAGTATTCACGATCTTCCACTGCAAGATTTGGCGCCGTGCCTCGCGAAGCACCTGAACATTAGAGACATTCTGGCCATCCGGCAGTGCTCGAGGGATTGGAAAGAAGTCGGCGATCTCATGCTGAAGAACCTCCAGACATTTGTGTACTTCATGGACAAACATCGCGACTGTCCTGATGGCATTTTCCGTATTATCGCAAAATATTGTCATCGCCTGAAGAAGATCAAAGTTGTGTTCGACGAAGATGATTTGTACTCCTTCTTCGTCCCGCTCGAGATTGATAATCTTCTCGCGGAGATTTTCACGAAGAATCCTCTACTGGAGATCGTGGATGTCAATTTCCTGGGAAGGGCCGTGGATCTCTTCGAGGAAACCCCGAATTGGCTGTTCGCTCTGGCAAAGAGCTGCAAAAAGCTCGTCGGCCTGGCTTTAAAATTCGAGGAACACACGAATGATTTTCTGCAATTTCTGGGCGAACACAACAATCAGCTTCGGTGGCTGGATCTGAGTGACATTCAACCCGCTCAGCACTACTTTTGCTTCTACAATCCGCATGTTCTTATAGAGTTTCTAGGAAAGCAACCTCGCCTGGAATACATCGGATTGCCGAAGCTCAGTCCCACGGACTTTGATGAGACAATGTCGGCGATCGCGAAGAATTGCAAGGATTTGCGCTTCATCCACTTGAACATCTGTGAAGACTTCTTCATTCAAGCAGAGTGAGTTGTTCCACTTGTTGAAAAAATTGCCGGAAAACTAACATTCAATGTTTTCACTCACAGAAAGCTCGTGGAAATCAATAAGAAATACAAAGTTACGGCAACTTGGAGAAGCTCAAAATGGGGATTGCCGGAGGAATTCAAGGCTTTGCTGGACCAAAACAACATCGAGTGCATTCCCGATTCACTATGGAAAGAAACTTTCAGGATGAGCTTAAGGAAAAAGTCTCTGCCCGACTATGAAGAGATCGATTCGAGTGAACGAAATCCATTTTATGAAAAGTTCTTCTATTTCTAAGTCCAGAACAAATTGAAATAAATTATTTCTTTGTTACTCGCCAAATGAAATAAACTGGATTTCTTTATTTCTCCCTCACCAAGGATTTTCCACATATTTCTCCGATTTGCGCCTATATTGCTGAATGGACGGTATCACAGAAGACACTCATGCTCTCAATGGGCGTCTGAGGCGTGATTCCATGCCCCAGATTGGCGATGTATCTCTTCTTGCCGAACTTCTGCACCATTTCCTTCGTCAAAGTGGTGATTTCGTCCTGGAAGATGCACATGAATTGCATAAAACTCACGCAAAGGCCATGAAATGAAAGCTCCTCACTCACAGGACTCTTGTACATGTCCTGGGGATCCAAATTGCCCTGCAGTGTGATGTTATCCCCCACTTCCTGCCTCGCCACCACGGGATCCACTGTCCAGTCAATTCCTATCACCTCGTAGCCCAGTTGCGCCTGTTCCCGCAGAGAATGTCCAGCGCCCTTGGCGAAGATTGTCTGCGAGAGAGTCAGAAATGTGTTAAGGACTGCAACAGCCCAAGAACTCTATTCTCACCATTGGAACACACTCAATATTCTGCTCCTGAAGCTTCTGCCTCAGCTTCAGCGGGATTGCCTTCAGATAAGGCAGAGCCACTGTGAGAAATTCCTCCTTCGACAGCCGTTCAGCACTGGACTCGAAGATCTGCAGCATTTGAGCGCCCGCTTTCACTTGCATCTCCAGATAATCCACAATGATCTCTGTCAGCAGATCCAAGAGCTTCTTCGTCGCTTCAGGATGATCAGAAATCCAGGCTTTGGCCTTCGACATGGTCTGACTGCCGCCACCCTCGATCATGTATCCCATCAGCGTCCAGGGCGCTCCTGAGAACCCAATCAGAGGCACTTTGCCGTCCAGCAGGTGACGCATCATTGTTATAGCCTCGCCCACGTACTTCAGGCGCTCCACCGCGCCGTCTGGAGTCAATCTGGCTATGTCATCAGGGCCACTGAGCGGCTCAGGGAAGACAGGTCCCTTTCCCGGATGCATTTCCACCGTCAAGCCCAAAGCCTGCGGAATCACGAGGATGTCCGAGAATATTATCGATGCATCCAAGTCGAAGCGCCTCAGAGGCTGCATTGTGACTTCACACGCCAATTCCGGCGTCCTGCAGACGGTGAAAAAGTCATACTTCTTTCGCACTTCCTGCAAAAAGCATTCAATCTTTAGCAACTCCTCTAGAAACATGCATCAAGGATTTACCTGGAATTCCGGCAGATATCGTCCTGCCTGGCGCATCACCCACACTGGAACTCTGTCCACAGCTTCTCCACGAGCCGCCCTCAGGAGATTATCATTCTTGAGGGCAGGAAATGGCTAGTCATCGTAAGACAGCAAGAAAACCAATGAAAACATTCAAAATCACAACCAAAACACCATTTTCAACGCAATTGGTATATCTTAGATAAATAGATTCTCACCTTATTCGAGAGAGACATTTTTCCTTGTGAAAACTCGGGTATTTTTCCCGGAAAATGCAGAAGAATGATTGTTTTGAAAAACCACCTGTATGAAAATCAAAAAGCTTCAGCGGTTGTCAAAGGAGTGTCCCAAAAAGCTTCTCCTGGTGTTTTCGCGCGCGCTTTCTGTGACGTCCGTAGCTGGGCTATAAAGTGTCCTGTTTGTTTACTATTTTCCCACAGAAATACTGTAAAACTCTGCGATTATCACACAAGTACCGCGAAAAGGATCATCGAGCCTCAGTATGAGCGATTCGGGAGGTAAGTAGGTGGAGAAACACAAAAGATTTCGGGGTGTTTTTGATTCTCACTTTTCTAACCTCAATTCAGCAATGGAGCCCCGCTCGAAGCGGCAGAAGATCGACAAGCACGGAAGATTTGCGGCTCTGCAGCGTCTGAAGGAGATCAAATCCTCAGGCACGAAGCACAAGTATGAGCTGTCTGCCGAAGTGGACAACGTGTACGACACTGTGGATGAGAAGGAGTACTCAAAGAGGGTGCAAACGCGAGCCGCTGATGACTGGATTGATGACGACGATGGGCAGTACGTGGAAGACGGTCGAGAGATATTTGAGGATGAAGACTCAGACGAGGAGGTCGCTACCAAGAGTAAGAAGGTGTCCAAGAAACGCGCCAGGGAGGATGTGAAGCCGGCCAAAGGGAAGAATTCTATACGGAATCTCTTCAGCAACGCTGTTCCCAGAAAAAGCGCTGCTGTGCCTCTGGGCGAGGACAGCATCTTGTCGGAGATTCTGGGAGAGATCGACGATCCCCAGAAGAACGGCAAGGAGAAAGCCGCTGTGGTGACGAAGAAGCCCTCGGTGATAAAGAAATCGGAGAACAATGCCGTGAAAGAATACATGCAGAGCTTCACGAAGAACATCAGGAAGGAAGCTCCCAAGGAGGAGTCGAAGGGCAGCGATGATGAGCTCCTGGACAGGATTGCCGAGCAAACGATGGAGGGTAAGGCTAAAGTCGTGGAACCTGTCGTGCAAGCCAAGGAAGTGCCAGAAAAAGCTCCTGAACCGGAAGAGAAGAAGGTAGATGATGATTTGGCTGATCTACTGTTCGACACAGAGGATTTCACGATGGATTTCGACGCGGAGTTCGCGCAACCGGAGGCAAAGAATCCCACGAAGGAGAAAATTCAAGCAATCTCCACACAGACGATCAACACAAACTGGGAATCCGTGGCAGGAGCGAATGTGGAGCAAGAAATTGACTTCAGCGCTTTCGACATGTCGGACTTCTCCAATGAGTCCGAGAAGAAGATTTGGTTCTGGGACGCGTGGGAGGATCCGTTCAAGCGCCCAGGACAGCTTTTCCTCTTCGGTCGCGTGCGCGTCGAGAACGCGAAAGATAGCTACAAATCCGTTACGGTTCACATTCAGTCGGTGAATCGGCGTCTCTTCCTGCTGCCGAGGCAGTATCTGCTGGATAAGGTGACGCGCGAAGAGACGCGCGAGAAGGTGACGCTGGCGCACGTGATGAAGGAGTTTCAGGAGGTGTTGCAGGAGCTGAAGATAGAATCCTTCCAGACCAAGTCCGTGTCGAAGAATTTCGCCTTCAATGTGAGGGGCGTACAGATCCCTGAGTCCTCGGAGTGCGTCGAGATCAGGTACAGCGGCCACTTGAGTACTCCAGTGAACAAGTTCAAGCGCTTCCTATCCATCGCCCACGTCTTCGGCACCAACACGACGCCGCTGGAAACTTTCCTGCTGGACAGCAAGATCAAGGGCCCTTGCTGGCTCACCGTCAAGCACTTCCAGCTCCGCGAGCGCCCACTCACGTGGAGTCGCGTCGAGATGGTGGTGGCCAACAGCAAGTCCGTGAGCGTGGCGCCAGAGAACAACCAGAATCCGCCTCCGCTCACTCTCCTCACGCTCAACGTGCGCTCGAGTCTCAACACGAAGAACATGAAGAACGAGATTGTGATGATCGCATGCCTGATTCAGGACAAATTCCTCGTCGATCGGCCGCCACCAAATCCCGCCTTCAATCGCCACCTGTGCGGTGTCACGCATCCCACAAGCCAAGCATGGCCAGTAGACTTTGGCGCCAAGTTCAAGGGCTACACAAAGACCAAGGCGAAGAAGTTTGAGGCCGAGCGCGAGCTGCTCAGCTGGTTCCTGGCCATCTACCAAAACACCGATCCCGACATCGTGATCACGCACGACGCCGCCGATTGTCAGCTGGACCTGATCGCTGAGCGAATCGTGGCACTCAAGGTGCCGAATTGGTCGCGCATCGGGCGTCTGCGGAGGACGGCGATGGACAGCAAGCGCTACATGGACAACTACACGGGCAGAATGATCTGTGACGTGAAGAAGTCCGCCGAGGAGCTGATCAAGGCGCGAAGCTACGATCTGGGAACACTGTGCACGGAGGTGTTAAAGATTGAGGAGGAGAATCGCATCGAAATCTCAAATGATGACATCCATTTTATGTACGAGACCAGCAATGAGATCCTCAAGCTCATCACGCTGACCATGCAAGATGCCGCTTATATCCTGCGTCTCATGTGCGAGCTCAACGTGCTTCCGTTGGCGCTGCAGATCACGAACGTGTGTGGAAACATGATGGCTAGGACGCTCCAGGGCGGGCGATCCGAGAGGAATGAGTATCTCTTGTTGCACGCCTTCAACGAGCGCGAGTACATCATTCCGGACAAGAAGGAGCGGGCCATTGGCAAGGAGTGGGAGAAGGATAGCGCGGGACAGACGCGCAAGAAGGCCGCCTACACGGGAGGCCTCGTGCTGGAGCCCATCAAGGGCTTCTACGACAAGTTCATCCTTCTGATGGACTTCAATTCGCTGTACCCAAGCATCATCCAGGAGTACAACATCTGCTACACCACCATCGACGAGCCGCTGGACGTGGAGGACAACATCCAGCTGCCCAGCGCGTCAGTGGGCCAGGGCGTGCTCCCCAAACAAATTCGCCGTCTCGTGGAGAACCGTCGCGAGGTGAAGAAACTCATGGCGAATCCTGACTTGTCACCCGAGCAGCGGATGCAGTACAATATCAGACAAATGGCGCTCAAGCTCACCGCCAACTCGATGTACGGATGCTTGGGATTCAGTCACTCTCGATTCTACGCGCCACACTTGGCTGCCTTGGTCACCCGCAAGGGCAGAGACATCCTGATGGACACCAAGGATTTGGCCACGAAGCTCAATCTGGAAGTCATCTACGGAGACACAGACAGTATAATGATAAACACCAACTGCGTGGACTACGAGCAAGTGTTCAAGATCGGCGTGACTGTGAAGCAGAGGGTGAACAAACTATATAGAAACGTGGAGCTGGACATTGACGGAGTGTTTAAGTATTTGCTGCTACTGAAGAAGAAAAAGTACGCTGCTCTCACGGTCAGCAAGGCGAAGAGTGGTGAGCTGAAGTACAACCAGGAGCTGAAGGGACTCGATATTGTGCGTCGCGACTGGTCGAAGCTGTCCGTGACGGTGGGCAAGGCGATCATTGACGACATCTTCAGCGAGTCCGAGGCGGACGAGAAGATCGAGAAGATTCACAGTCGCCTGGAGAGCATTCGCCAGGACATTCACGAGGACAAAGTGCCGCTGCCACTGTTCGTGATCACCAAGCAACTCACGCGGGCGCCAAAGGTGAGAAATTCACTGTGCAAATGACTTAAAGAGACTCAATTTCCACGGTTGTTTCAGGAGTACGCCAGCAATGCCAACTTACCGCACGTGAACGTGGCGCTGAGGATGAACAGCACGCAGAATAGGAGGTTCAAGAAGGGCGACACCGTGAGCTACGTTATCTGCCATGATGGCACGGACAATTCGCAGATGCAGCGCGCCTATCATCTCGACGAGCTGCCGCTGAACGACAAGCTGAAGATCGACGCCGATTACTACCTCACGCAGCAGATCTTCCCCGTGATTTCACGCCTGTGCGAGCCTCTGGATGGCACGAATATCTCTCGCCTGGCGCAGTGCCTGGGCCTGGACGCGAAGAAGTACAAAAGTCTAGAGGAGAAGATCGACCGCGAGGAGGAGCTGAACGACGTGAACACTCTGGTGAAGAGCAGCGCTCAGAAGTATCACTTCTGCGAGAAGTTCACCTTCAAGTGCGTCTCTTGCCACCACGAAAATCCCATGGCGGCGGCAGTGAGGCGCGTGGAGTCGAATCTGGTGCCCGTTCTTGCTGCGTGCGTCAATCCCGCGTGCAAGATTCCACCGTGCGAGTATCTGCCGGGGGTGCAGAACCAGTTGCTCATGCAGCTGAGGAAGTTCCTGGATCGCTTCTACGAGAACTGGATGGTGTGCGACGACAACGCGTGCTCGCACAACACGAGAATCATCACGCATGTCCTCTCGAACGATCGGCCCACGTGCTTCGCCTGCGGCAGAGGGAATCTCGTGAGGCAGTACTCAGAGACAGATCTCTATACACAAATCCGCTATTTTCAGTACATCTTCGACCTCTCGCAGCCTCAATACAAAAGTAAGACCAGCGATCGCGCTCTTGAGCATTCAATTTATCGTTGTTTATCTCTTTGCAGAGCTGAAGATCACGCCTCAGGTTGAAGATACTTATCGGAGCCTCAAGGAAACAGTGGATCAATTTCTGGGCAGATCGGCGTATTGTATTGTCAACTTGGGCACAATCTTCAGCAAGCTCCACCTCGCGAAGCGGAAGAACGACAATTAGACTCCGATTTCCGCAGTCCTCGCCCATAAAAGCGTCTTCTTTCGAGTAAGTGAGCGCAAGATTTGCATTTTTAGGGCTTCTCATGTCCACAATTCTTGTTTAGCACTTTTAGTATAAGAAATAAATGTCTTCAAAATGAATTCATTGATCTTTCGCGATTGACGCGATAAAAAAATGCAGAATTCAAGCGATTCGAGCAGGTTTTTGGGAGATTCTCCGCGAGAGAGAGAAAGAAGTGTGATGAAAAAATGCGAATTTATGCTGGAGAGAAGAACCGAATTCCACGCGAGGCCCTGCATCAACCCGCCAATTTGTCCAAGGGGAAGATAATGGAGTAGAATGTACACCACTTCTTACACTCTTTTCAGTTGTTAAGGCAAAAAATAGCCAAATATCCTGTCAATTTATAGTTGAAAATCTCAGTCTAAGCTTTGAAGTATTTTCTTATAAAATTAAAGGAATATTGCTAGTATTTGATCACTCTAACGTCTTATTACTTCCACTGAGCTGTACACCGCTGCTGTCCGTAATATCTCTCCCTTGGATTTCCCGAGTCATCGACGAAATCCAATGCTCAGCGCGCGCATTGAGCGAAAATAGTAAAACGTTTTTATGAATGAATGGGCGCCGAATGTTTGGCTCTCGCTGGTCATCAAGCAATGTGTGCGTGTGTGGGATTTCTCCCGCCATCGGAACACACCTGGCATCAGAATTGAAAAGACAATTCCAGGGAGAAAACCAGTCAGTTCGATCGCGATCACCTTCGGGAATGCTTCACGTGTGAGCTTTTGTGCGTTTTAAAATTGAAATTGCTGTGCGGGAAGGCAATTATGCACAATGTCAGTGATTCGAAGGCTCTTCGTGGTTTTGCTGGCACACGCTTTGGCGCCGACGCTCTCGCACAGCGCCCTGGAGAGCACAGTTCTGCTGGCGCAGGACCAAATGGTGGATCTGACGAACCAGCTCGGCTTCCGCATTCTCTACTACCACAGCCTGGCCAACAGGAATAACGTGGCGCTGTCGCCTTGCGGGCTCGCCAGTGTTCTCGTGGCGCTCTTCGAGGGCGCCGATGGCCACAGCGCCCTGGAGATCCGGGACACGCTAGAGCTGCCCCACGAGAGGGACATAATTCGTGTGGGATTCAGGGACATTCACCGCCGCCTGCGCAGCTACTTTTACAACCAGGAGAACCTCCTGAGCGGCCTGAGCCTCAGTAAGGAGAACGTCACGATCCGACCGGAATATGAGACGCTGCTGAGGTTCTACGGATACGATCTCATGGCGGGAATGATGCACACGACCACGGAAGCGCCGGACGCGGAGGAAGAGACGACGACCACAACAGAGGCACCATCGACAGAGGCGCCAACGACCGCCGTTGAGACCACGACTCTTGAGAGCTCCTCGGAATCCACAACAACCACCGAAATGATCACAACAACGGAGGCAACGACCCAGCAACAAGGTAAGATTCTTGTCTGATGACTAAAACTCTAAACAAACAATGAAAAATCGAGAGCGATCGCTTCGCAATTTGTCGAAAATAAGTTGTGAAATTATAAAAGGAGGCGTAAAAGAGCAATAAACACACCTACTCGAAAGCACCTCCCCTTCGAACATCTTTACCCTTTATCTCGATTTCTTCGGAAATTCTTTAAGCTCTTGAGTAGAAGATAATAATTAGTTTCAGGTTAAAATAGTTCAATTCAAACTTAGTCACGCAAACGCACTCCAAAGAGCAAGATAACTCAATTTAGATTGCTTTATTGGATAGTACTTCAGAAAGATTTTTTGCCACTCAATCTTCTCTTGAGAAACTTTTCCTTGTTCACTACGCCACTGGAGAGACATTTAATTTGAACTTTCTAATGATGTTCTTCACAATTAAATGCGTTTGTTGCGCAAGCGAATTAAAAGGAAAATGAAGAAAACTCACAATTAAACGCCCTCAATTGCAAGTGACTTGAGAAATTCGAGGTTTATCAGAAAATTCATGAATTGCATCACAGAATGACGACTTTTCAATTAGAATTCGCCCAGGAAGTTTTCTAATTGCGTCTTTTCATGGACAGAAAGCACGACAACCACTTCGGTTCCTGAGACTACGACTGCAGAGCCTCTGGAGTCCACGACGACAGAGGCTGCATCGGAGATCACGACAACCAGGACGACGATGTACATCTTCACTTTCACTCCGCCCACGAGCACTGTGGAGGAGGAGAGCAGTTCCGAAGCCTCCACCATTGCCACATCCATGGAGGCTTCCAGGGAGACTGAAGAGACGACGTCACCGGACGGAAACATCGTCCAGAGTGGCGAGAGCACTACGGAAATCGCTCTGGGCAGGAGAAGGCGCAGGAAACCGAAGAGACAGTCGCGTCTGGTGAACTTTGTGCGGCGCAGAAGATCACCAATTGAGTTTGTCATTCCCGAGATAGACACTCCGCCACCTTTTGTGCACTACAACTCCGTCGCAACGCCCAATCCGCAGTTCCAGGCACATTCCTACCAGCTGACAGAGGACTCCCGGGAAGATGTCGATCTCTTCTATCTCAGCCGCTTCGAGAGCGCTCAAGTACCGTACAAATTCTTCAACACCATCATGAAGTTCGCCTACCTGGAGTCCATTCAGTCTACTGTGCTGGAAGTGGAGCTGGATTCCGAGAACTACAATCTCCTGCTCATCCTGCCCGACTATTACTACGGACTCGATCGTCTGTTGGCCGCCATGAAGACACGATTCGTGCCCAATATCCGAGAGCTGCGCACGGAGATTCTCCAGCCCACATGGATCAAGGCCATGATCCCCAAGTTCTTCCTCCACGGTCGAATTGTGCTCACGAATGACCTGCAAAACGTGAGTGCGAAGGCATTTTTGCACGCATTCTTGCATTCTCACTTGTACTTTTTGCAGATGGGAATTCTGGACATTTTTGAGCCCACCAGGGCCAATTTCTCCCCCATGACGGACGACGAGGGCATTTACACGAGACACGTGGAGCAGGCAATCACCGTGAACATCAGAATTCACGCCAATGATAATCTCAAAAGTGAGTGTCTTCCCAGTCTCGAGAGAAAGTCTCACTGAAACTCTGTTTTTCAGGATACACTTCTTACTACAAGACACCCGTGGAATTGGCCATCAATCGTCCCTTCCTCTTTGTCATCGCCGATAAGGAGAATCACCTGGCAATCATTACCGGAACCGTGCTGAATCCTTTGAACTCTAGAATTCAATAAACACGTGTTGCAAGCCGTTACACTTTGAATTTAATAGCATTTCTTGGGTTTTATGGCGTTTATAGTCAATTTATAGCACCCGAAGCGTCATCACGAAGTTGGGTTATGTCAGTCAAAACACTTTTGTGATGCTCCTATATATACCACATCAGTGTCTCTACTCCTGATCAGTCGACAATAGAGACTCTGAGAGCGATGAGTGCAGCCAAATCTATCCAGCAGATTAACGAGGAGTTCCTCGATGATCTGGCCAGTCGGTTTATCATCAACGTACCTGAAGAGGAGGTAAGTTATTTTGTTCTTCTTTTTAGCTCCTTTGTAATGCGTGTTTTGTTTTGATTTCTGACAGCGGGCAAATCTCATCCGGATTTGCTTCCAAGTCGAGCTGGCTCACTGGTTCTACTTGGACTTCTACTGTGGCGGCGAAGATGACCGTGGCGTGTCGTGTACACTCAAGCAATTCGCCCTGCAGATCTTCCAGCACGTGCCCTTCCTGCGCGTCCGTCTGCCACAGCTGGACGAGATCCTGGACAACTGGAAGAAGTACAAGCTGTCCGTCCCCACATACGGTGCTATCCTCGTATCCGAGGACCTCAACCACGTGCTCCTGGTGCAGTCGTACTGGGCGAAGAGTAGCTGGGGCTTCCCCAAGGGAAAGGTCAACGAGAACGAGTCTCCGGCACACTGCGCCGTCCGGGAAGTGTTCGAGGAGACGGGCTTCGACATTTCGCACCTCATCCAGCCGACCGACTTCTTCGAGAGCACCTTCAACGATCAGTTCACGCGACTCTACGTCGTGGCAAACGTGCCCAGAACGACCAAATTCATCCCGCGGACGCGCAATGAGATCAAGTGCTGCGAGTGGTTCCCCATCGAGCTTCTGCCCAGCAGTAAGACTGAGGACACCAAGGCGACGGTGGGCTTCAACGCCAACTCATTCTTCATGATCCTGCCGTTCATCAAGCGCCTCAAGAAGTGGGTCCACTCGCGCCAGGAGAAGAACGGGAAGACGCAGCCGTCAAAGTGCGACAGCAAGAAGCGACAGCGACACAAGTCCATGGGGGAGATCGACAGCGTCTGGGCCACCGCCGAGGGAGCGCCAACACCAGTGGTGAAGCGCGACAAGGCGCCCAAGGCGAACCCAAAGCGCCAGCTCTTCGGCATCGACGCCACGCCGGAGGGCAGTCCAAGCGTAGTGGCCAGGAGCACCCCGCTCAAGGGCAAGACCAAGGAAGGCACCAAGAAGCCAATCCGCGAGCAGTTCCTGGTGACACCTTGTCGGGAATGGGACAACTTCCGATTCGACATCGCTCGAATTTGCGATCCCAAAGTAATCTTCTAAGTCTGTAAAATCCTCTCGATTTTATTGAGTCCACATGCCAATAAATTTACTTTGACTTCTTGGACTTGATCTTCTTCAGATAGAACTCCAGCTCTTTTCCCTCCAGGATGTATCCGTCGGCGCGGCCGTGCTGTCCCGGGCGGGAAGCGATCGCAGCTGCAAATAAAGGAAGTCATTAGAATTCTCTCCCCTGCAAATCTCCTCTTTGGTTTCGAGTAGAAAGAACACTCAGTGTAACTATGACGTTTGCATTATCATTTCCCGCCGGGAGTGGTAAACTCAGAACGAGCGCCCACCCGCAAGTTGACGAGTCACCAAACTGTAACATCACCGTGTGTCCTCAACGCCCCAGAAACACTCATTTTCCACTCACCGAGCAATCGTCCGGAGGTGAACTGCTCCTCGAGGGCGGGCTCAACCTTGGCGAACTTCTGCCTGGCCAAGTACTTCTTCATGACGCGCGCGCTGCGCTTCTTTGTCAGCACATCGTTCTCGTCCTGGCCCTTGGTGTCCTTCTTGCGGCCCAACGGCAGGATGTAGTGACTCTCGTACCACTGCCGGAATGGCGTGCCGTCGATCACCACGATGGCGTTCTTCACCAGCGTCTTGGTGCGCACCAGCTCGTTGTTCGACGCATTGTACACCACGTCGATGATGCGCGTCTTGCGGGCCGTGCCCTCGGACGCCCACGAGAAGTTGCCGGTGTCCAGACGGAGCGCCCTAAACTTCCTGTTGCCGCCACGTGTTCTCACCACATGAACACGAGCTGCCGCCAGCTGAAACCGAACGAGACACGCATTAGAATCCTCCACAAGACATGCACAAGGGTTTAGAGATCAAGGATTTAGGGGTTCAGGATGCCTATTCTTCATGGGAATCCGTTGACACGCAAAAGGTCAGACCTCATCACAGACACCCACAGAAATGCTCCTAAACAACACCTCAAATCTCACCTTTGTGTTGGCCGCTGGACGTCCCAACTCATACTTTCGCTTCTTGCGAATCGGCTTCCTCTTGCCTCCAGTGGAGCGCCTCTTATGGTACGAATCCCGACTGATTCCTGTAAAATTACCAACACATTAGAGGTTATGTCAAACACTGTATGCCAAATATCAAATCCGGGCGTCGGACGCAAAATGACCACACAGTGCATTCCCGGGGAGGCTCTAGAAGAGCCCCAGCACAACAATTTCACAGTAATCCCGGTAATTTCGCTGATATCTCGCAAAATAACAAAGCAGACCAATGAGTCGACAGCGAGAGCAAATCGCGCGATATCTTACTCATCCACAATCATCTCCATGATATTTCACTTCATTGCACATCCCACAACACCACAGATTACAATTCGGGAATAATGTTGGTCATTTTCGTCCTATTTCCCAGGTTTTTCCCGAAAATTTGGCAAGATCAAACTCACCCATCGCGCAGAGAATACGGAAAGAAAGATGGCAGGTCAATTCACCACCTCAAGGGTTGCCAGACGCAATGTTTTTCTAGCAGATATGTTCGCGAGGTGAAAAAATATTCGCAAATCCATATCAGGATCAAGATTAAAGTTCTAAACTCCCTCAATAATGATCTTTAATCAACCATCGAAACTACCCAGAAAAGAAGGATTTAAAATTGTGAATTCTCCTTCTGACATTCACCACTGAGTTTCTCGCAGTTTTCGAGTACTTCTTGACAGTGCGTGTTTTGGGTTTTCGCATGCCCGCGGAGAAAATTCTTTTTTTCCTGGGATTTCAGGGTGTTTAGCGCGTGAAAAGTAGCGACTCCCGCGAGCGTGATGGCCGACGAGGGGAATGAGGACAGTTGGCTGTATGGGCCGAACGCCGAGGCGGGCGAGCAGAAGGAAGACGATTCGGAGGAAGCCACTGAGAAGAGTCGCGATGAGTTCGACATTGAGAAGCGTCAGGACGACGAGAGGCCTCAGCAGGAGGATTCCAACACCTACGAGCCCCCACAAGTGGAGGAGAACGGCACCAATGAGGACGTGGCGGCGATTGTGAGTAGCAAAAACAAATTGTTTATCACTTGTTCGTATTGTTTTGACGGCTGGCCTTCCGGACGCTTGCAGGACGATGTGACGGATGCTGCTGAGCACATGGAGGAGCAGGAGAATGTGCCAAATGTTAAGGAGAAGGGTGGCAATGGCTCGGACTCGGACGAGAGCGATGACGATGACATCAATGTGGTGATTGGAGACATCAAATCGGGCTTGAGCTACAACATCAAGCAGAGAGGAAATCTTCTGGCCGCCAATGCAGCCGTCGCGAATGAGAAGCTAAAGCAATCCACCGGGAAGTTCAGCATGGAGGACTTCGAGAGCGTGGGCTCAATCAGTGGCGTCCCGGCCACGGAGTTCAGTATTGATTCCCTCGAAGAGAAGCCTTGGCGGATGCCAGGAGCCGACATCACGGACTACTTCAACTATGGCTTCAACGAGGACACTTGGCGCTCTTACTGCGAGCGCCAGAAGAAGATGCGTCTCAACGAGAGCGGTGTGGGACTGCAAGGACTCGCCCTCGGTCCTGTCACGGGCATCACATCGAGTCACGGACGCACTCTGACAGCACTGTCCAACGACAACAGCAAGTACGCCTCGATTCCGGGCAGCTTGCGGCGTGCCGGGCCACCGCCGGGTCGTAAGATGACGGGCAGCATTGATGTGATTGGCTCCAATGGCATCTCCAGCCGCCGCGAAGACGGTCTGATGGGCAAGCCGCCTTCCAAGGAGAACGCCATCCAAGTGATGACTGCTGATCGGCGAGAATACAGCCGGGCTGGAGGGAAGTTCGATTCCGCCACTCCAGGAGGATTCTCCGGAGAACCCCAGCCCGTGGATGCATTCTACGATCAGCAGGAATCCTTCAACTATGGCTACGAGCCGACGCAGGACTCACAGTGGAACAACAACGCCTGGCAGCCGTCGGGCATCAAGGAATTGACGCCTGGGCTTCCGCAGATGGTGCCGCCGCCCCTTGGAGTACCCGGCATGGCCATGCCCATTCAGTCCATCGGCCACGGACCGCCTCAGATGCACAGCCAAATGCGCTATGACGACGAAAGGGACAGAGACAGGCGCTCTAAGTATCGCGACAGTCGGCGCGAAAGATCCCGCAGCAGAGATAGACCGGAGAGGTCCAGAAGGTCCAGGAGTCGTGACAGAGAGCGTCTGCTCACTGAGCGGGAGATCAAGCAGGAGCCGGTCGACAGAGATGACGAATCTCCATCCAGGGACAAAGACAGGCGGTCGAAGTACCGCGAGAGGTGGGATGATTGTCCCTGAGGGCGTCAAATTGACTGGGATTGACCTGTTTTCTACTTTCAGAAGCAGCCGCAGAGAGAGATCGCGCAGTAGGGAGCGATCGGAGAGATCGAGGAGGTCCAGGAGTCGCACCAGAGATCGCAGGAGTCGCACGGATAAGAAAAAGTCCCACAAACGCGACAAGGACGATAGCGAGTGAGAGGACTTGGGTCGAAATAATGAAAATTGAATAAAGGACATGTACAATTATAGCAAGACATCGCGAGGCGCACCGTAAAATCAATTTTAGCACTGAATTGGCGTATAATTCGAATGAATGCCTTCGCGCCTCCGCGCTGTGCCTATTCTTCTGCCCAGCACTGTGCCTCGTTGAGCGCATTCGATGATTTCGGCTCACCTTCGGATAGTTTTGACCTTTAATTCGGCGAGGGTGGCTGTACTCGGGGGAGCCATCTGGCGTTGTGCGCCGCAGTGGGGCCGAATCGCCGCCTTTCCCACGACCGCCAGCGGTTGCGTATCTGTGCACCCCCCGAGTGCATCCCTGCACCGATCGGCGCTTCGCCAGCCTCGTCGCTTCTCGCTTTGTCTCTCGTATTCAGTTCGTGTCGACATTTTGATGTGAATATTGCTGTTTGGCCGCGCGCACGACGCACTGTGTGAAAAAGTCAGCCTTTTCCCCCCAAATTTCCAGTGCTCTGCCCACCCCAGGAGTGCCCCCAGGTTGTGCAGTGGCCGCCACGGTGTGCGGTGGTGCATTTGTGCGGTTTTCGTGGAGGGAATCAATCGGATTTTCGCACCCATTGTTTGTACTGCGCAATGTTCTGTCGTCGTCTCTCCCAATCCACAAAACACAGCCATCGGAGCGACATTGATGGAAGAGCGCTCCCGACGTGAGATGGAGCGAGAGAACGCCCGTGACGTTTTCTGCCACACAAAACACAGCCATAATTGAAAAGTTAAAAGGAGTAAGAAGGAGAGGCTGAAGTGCGAGATGACTTTTTTTCCGCCACTCACTGTGAGGAAAAAACTGTGCGAGAGAAGACACTGAGAGAGAAAATCGCGGTGGACACACCGGAGGAATTGAGAGAGTGAGGCAGAAAAAACGCGAGTGCGCGAATGTGTGTGATATATACACAAGTAGCAAATAAAGTGGAATAAAAGAGGAATAAATTAATAATAGAATCTCCACGGCTGGATGTGTTAAAAGTGCGCAAAGAAAATGTGTGCAAGATACAATTAGTGCGCGGAGAGTATTTCCCTGTGTCTTTATCTGTCCGCTCCCAATCGGCGGAAAAGGAGAGGAGAAAAAGTCAGAATTGGGCGGGCGCGCGTGTGTGTGTTTTCGGGGGGATTTTCACGAATATTGCTCGAGAGGATAAAAGTTGTGTGACGTCGCCGTAAATGTGTGTGTGGCTTTTACGTGAGATATTGAATTTTTATGAAAAATGGGAAGGTCCAAATTCCCTGGCAAGCCGTCAAAATTGGTGAATAAGAAGCGCATCAGTGTGTTGGCGGGCAGTGCAAAAGGTGGCAATTGTGATACGAGTGCAGATGACGATACGGATAATCAGTATTCGCCGAATGATCATCAATCGCTGTGGAGCAGTCGCCACGATGAACCACCACATCTGCAGTCCAGCAGTGGAGCTGCACACTCCCCAGCGCCGTCATGCAGCTTTCATGAAGATGGCGACAATATTCAGGTAATTTGCAACATCGCCTCCTGAGCTCACCTCGCAGCCTCTCGTGACGCCTCGAATCGCTCTCGCGCTCCCCTCAGTGTGCCATGATGGCGCATTAACACTTGACTCCTGTCCACCCCCATGACCGATTGAGCAACCCCCCCGAGAAGCGCTGGCGATGCTTGACACAGAATTGGGCTGAGGAAAAATCAAACTCTGCTCTTGAGCGACTGCCTATAATCGTATTATAACATTTTCATGCTAATTCCCCGCACACATGCTCAGGCACACGAGCAACTACTGAATATATTATGTACAGATGGAAAATGTATGCGATATATTGTGTGTATAGTGTTATTGCGCGCGATTGTGCGCTTCACATTTTTGCCAATTATATTCAACCGCGTCATACACAATTAATAATGGCTCAAGTAGTCAGCAAAGTGTTTATGCGGTTTTTCCCTATTTTTCCACTGTTTTTCCACTCTTTCTCCCCCATCGCTTTTGCACACCTCAAACTCGCCTCGACGCCTGGATGAGCAAACAATTCATTGATTTTTTAGAGTCGCCAGACGAAAACAGCAGATAGAGAGATAAATTTGCGATATTTCCGATAGATTGACGAGCTAATTCCACATGAAATTATGCAATGAAAAAGAGCTGTTTTAAGTCAACAAAATAAGGGAATGTCAGTTTCTTGAAATCTTGATATCCTAGGCACGAACCAATTTTTGGTAGAATTTTTAGAAAAATTAGAAATCGGTTTCTTTTGTCTCAGAACTAATTAGAAATTTTACTCTGCAGATTACAGAGAAAGCTAAGAATAGCATGAGACAATATCGATTTCATGTTCGTAGAAACTCTAAGAATTGACCTTTTGTCATGCAGTTTAGCAGAAGAACACGAGCAAAGACTCTTCTCTAAATAATTCCACATCTATGATAGAATTCCAATGTTTTCCTGCGTCTTTTTTTTCATTTTGTTGGAAAATCTCTCTAAAATTAAACTTCAAATTTACATAACACTAATCCTCTGTCTTTAATTCATTTCTTAACGACACCCATAAATTAGTAGTTGATCTTTAAGGCAAATTTGCGGTGAGTGTGTGTCTTTATTCGGTCGAAAAGCTGCCGTGCAAAGTGGTCCCATTCATTTTGACTCTTCAATTCTTGCGTGAGGAAGTGGTTTCAATGTCGCTGCACGAGTCAACAGAAGTCTCTCTGAGATGTTTAATTAAATATTAATGATTTGGAGATAAAATGGAAAAGTATAAATATTTAGTGATATTCTTCACTGAGATTCGCGCGAGCAATCTGCCAAGTTTTCAACCTTCAATTGAATTTTTCCTCCATGAATTTGTATGCATACACGATTGAGCATGTAGCATAATTACATGCACTTACACACCATACCAATAATGGCTTTTTTTTGCTGCGACGAAGGGTGGCATAAATACACAAACCTTCCCATGACTCTTGAGCGTCTGTGGCGTCGCATAGTGAGATATTGTATTCTGATAGCGGGCATTAATTGTGTGCAGCACTTTTATATATGCTCTCAAATGCGCCCAGGAATGGTGTGTGCATGTGTACGAAAAATTTACTCACTCCCCGACATTAATGGCATGTCCCTCTCGAGAATGAGCTTCTTACCAACCGGTGTTGTTTTTTCCGCCGAGAGGGACTGCTTGGGCGCATGAAATGCGTGTAATTCGGCTGTGTGTATAATGTGTGCGCAAAAAACGGGTGTTGGGCGAGAGAAGAGAGATGAAATTTTTCGTTTATTGTAAAAAGAAACAAGGTAAGCATGCAATTGAGAGAGTGGAGTGAAAATGAACATACTGGCGTGATGAGATATGAATTGTTTGGGTCATAAATTGATTGATTCTCTCATTGTGTGCCGAATGAGGGTGAAATACAACAACAATGCCAATTCATTTTTGGTGTGTATTGTTTGTCATTTTCAAATGAGGTGCGATTTTGCCAATAATAATCCTTTGCGGTAGGTCATCATTAGGGCAAAACAGTATTATTGCTAAATGCTTTACGAAATTACAAGACTTTCGTGCTGAGTGTAAAGCATAATTTATGACTTTAGCGTGTCGCTGAGATGAAAATACACATGATACAATTTGTATAGTAACATATATCTTATTAAAATTAGCATTGAAATGAGCACTTTAAGTCATACTTTGGTATTTCCTTGAAGTGTTTTTTTTTCCCTGTCGGGAGACATTGAAGTTGTGTTCTTTTGACAATAGATATGAGAGAGAAGCGAAAATATTTCCAGTTTAGCCACATGGAATAATAATTGCTGCCACCAATTCTGGAATATAATTAAGGCTGTCATGCAGTTAGACCCCCTTCTTTTTTCCATTTTAACGGTGAGACAGCTTATTGGGTGTGTGCGCAAATAATTCGGCTGGGAAAGGACTTCTTAGAGATATGCTGATAAGACTGCCTTCAATTGAGCAGATGGCACACCGTGTGCAGGTCCGTATTTGCTCAAGAGAGGCTCTCTTTTCACTCCTTTGCTCAATTGGCCACTTAGCGTGTGGTGAAATATTAATATATCGTATGAGATCAAATGACCAAGAATTTACATAACAACTCTTTAAGTGAAATAAAAGGAGTTGTATATTGGTTGTATGTTTTCACAAGAGAGTCAACTCTTTTATAAGGTTTGTTGACACATGTGATGGTCACGTTTTTGAAATTCCACACCGATGCACTGATTGCAACATAATATTTCATTTTGATGACGGCGTGTGCAAACAATTTTGCACCTTTGACAAGATCAGACGCGATGTTGTTATGTTTATAATATTGCTAATTTGCTAATTTTGTCAACAAATGGATTGTTTTTCCAAAATAATCGTCCAGAAGAGTGTTCTACTAACAAACATTGGCGAGAGAGAGAGAATTGTGTATGTTTATAATGTTGTGGCAATATTTAGTTTAGTGTTATCAGATAAACACACCACTCAAGAGTGTGAGACAGAACTATATAGTAGTGTCTAATCGGAAAATTGACATGTAAGAGAAGAGTTTATTTATTTATGGGGCAAATCGTGTTCATATATTGTGGCAACATGCAATTTTTCCACCCTATCGAACATATTACACCATGTTAACGATTATTTTATCATCATTTGAGATACACTTTATATAAAAACAATGCGAATGAATAATAGATAGCGATTTTTTGCCGCTTTTGTGCCCTTGTGCACGGCTTCTCACTCTCCAATATTAAGTTTCTCAGTCGATTTGATTTATGTGTGTTCATACATTATTTTCAGACAATGCTTTTATTTAGAGGATTTCGGTGTCACCTCATTTCATGATGCTATTATTAAGCTCAAACACTCATTGACTGTGTGATGAGCTATTTGGGTTATATTTTAGACGTTTGGCGTCTCGTATCACCTGTGTGTGGTGATGATGAGAAGGCCTGAAAGAGCACAATTTGAATATCTTTCAGATATTACAAAAAGATTACGTACGCACGTACACACAGTCAGACACTTCAGTGATAACGTATCAAATTCGAGTGGTTCGTGGGAGTCGGAATAATGCAATTGATTGATTTTAAACTGGTGGAGATTAAAGCGAAGATAGCGAAGAATAATAAGGCTACTTCAGATCGATGTTTATCGAGAGATGAGAAGTCTAATAGACTCACTTGCGCTCTGTTCTTCAACTCTTCACGCAAGTTTGTGTGTAGAGCGAAGTGTTTACCCTTCGTCATAATCATCTTATGCGATATAGTGTGTCTTCATTATCATGAAACAAGAGGCGAAAAAATTAATTTCTTTCCACATTTTGTCTGCTGAGATGTGAACAAGCAGTGTAGCATTGAATGATGATGTGTGTATGTTTAAATATTTGGAGAAGACAGCTTCATTGCAAGCGATGTGGCAACATTGAATTTAGTTTGCGCGAGAGAGCCTAAAGAGACCGACGAATCCAAATCAGTCATAAAAACGTGATCATAGCCAACACTTATGTAGTGTAATATATCTCAGATATTTCAAACATATTTCACTCCTCTCCTATGTGGATGCCTTAATGTTTATACATATATGTGCACTCCGTCAGTGTCTCTTTTCTCTTCGAGAGGCCATAGAGAAGATCGGAGATAGAGAGGCTGAAAATATTTACAATCATCAACTCTCTCGATCGCATTGGACAACAAGTAAGAGGTGCTAAGAACACACAGTGTGACTGCCTTTTATATTTGTATCCGTAATTATTGAGGTGGATACAATATAAAAGTTCTCCCATATGTACAACAAATAGTTTAATTATAAATACATAACTACATTCCGCTGGCAAATATAAAGGCAATATAGAGAGACGCAGTCAAGTAGTAGGTAAACTCCTATGTACACATTGAACCTTTCTCTTTCGCCTGGTCGATTGTTGTTGGCAAAATACCTCGCAGACAATTCGGGTAAAGCGATATTAATTGGTGAATTTAGTCTCAAAGGGTTTTGTCATAGAGTCAAGCTCTCCTAATTGACCATCATGTGCAATGGTAATTTCATGGTCTTTTCGTGCGAGTTTATTCGCACCATTAAAATTCCCCACGTGAATAAAATCGCTGAACAACATGTCTATTTGATACTCTGCCGTGTGTACAAACTGTGCGTCTCACTTGAGAGACACTCTTGGCCAGGAGGCGCTCTCTCGGCATCTCACTTACATGGTGAGGCGTGTAATGAGGATGTCGAAAGAGATTTGCTAATTGTGGGTTAATAACCGAATTACAATGGCCATAATGTAAGAGTATCCGAAATACGTACACCTTAATTTTATTGAAAAGTCGTGAAATGCTATCCAATATTCCATACACACACACACTTACACATGACTCTACATTATATGACTGTTCATTATATGTTACGGGCATTATATTTTCAACGATGGTGGCGAGCTATGTAATACACAAAAGTGATGTATGCAATATGTAAATTTGCTTAAGAGAATATTAACTTTTACAATTCATCACATTCGAGATTGCCTATTGGTTTTCTCGGACCGTGAATAATTCAAATTCACAGCTCTTGAGATTGGACCATAATTGAATTGAGACCAGTTATCTCTACCTTTCAGCAGATAGAGCACTAAAGCGCGCAGACCACATGGCCTGCTCATAGCACTCATAACTTCTTCTGCTCGCCATTCAAATTGCCACGCATTGTATTGCTTCTCTGGGAAGATAAAGAGCCATGAAAAATACGGAATTAATGGCGTGGCTGAACGAATGTGACGCACTGTATGTAAATCATTAGCTTTTGACTTGTTCTACAAATTGTCCCACGAAAGAATCACAACTCCCACAAGTTTTCACGCATTATCGCACACATTTTTCCCTCCGCCACTTTTATCTTGGCAATAAGTATGGAAATATGCACATATATTGGAGCGAATGTGTGTTGATGTACAGCAACTCAGACAGAGTCAGTTATAAAATGTTAATTAAGCATCGATTTAGCTGTTTTTGATTGCTCGGCTTCAGATACCATGAGATATGTGAGTGTGTTCATATTCGCAAGAGCGCGAGAGAGAGATTGGATTAATTGAAATCGTGCGTGTAATTTAAATAAGAAAATAATAAAGCGACTCAAGCTGAAGTGAGAGAAAAAGAGACATGATATAAAGATGAGAGCTATGAAGAACAATCGATTCTATAAATAAAATATTACAAACTCGTTTTCGAAGCTCTTTTTCTCTCAATTTATTCAATTTTTTCATCATCACCGTGTGTATATATTCTGTTTTTCTTCAGTTCTCTTTTTTAAATATTAGCCAGTTTAGCACCTTTACACTCATCTCAGATTTATGCAAACCGATTAGCTTCTAGTTCAACGATTTTACATTCCCACACAAGCGCGCGCGCGGACTTGGAAACTCAGCGAGAGATATCTCAATATAAAATGTCTAACTAATGTAGATAAATCACGATGTTGGCGCTGCAATGGGATGAATTGTAGGAGAGATTGAAGTTAATTATATTGAAAATTTCACCTCCTATAAATTTAGAGGCTAAGGCCTAATTGTTGGACGCTGTTTCACATTTTGAGATTCTCAATACCATAATTTATTGTGAAAATTTCCTCTTCGCTTTGGTTCTTTCTCGCTGTTTTTTTTTCTTCGCCTGTGGTATTTCTGCTGAATTTGATCACCTGTGTTGGGTTATAAAATCATTTCCACCTCTTAATCCAGATAATGTGTTGGTTTTGCCACAGAAATTGATTATTCCAATATACTTGGCGTAATTATTTCGCTACACACACAAGTGCGCCAATTAAAGAGAACTCACTGATTTATACGATTGAGCATTGGCCACTAAAAATGTTGAAATGACAGTTTGAGAGATAATGTGTATTACAATATGAGGCATTTTGGTTCATATGAAACTACAGTGGAAAAGAAGAGGGAGAAGTTGGACAGAAATGGGAGTGCAAGAGTAAACTGGGCACCATCAAACCAACTCTGACGACAAATCAGAGATACGTTGACTCGACATCAATCTCATGGTAAATTTATTATTATTATAGAGAAGTTGCGCAATTATACGTCAGGCTATGAACTGTACACATATGTTTCTTTTTCCACATAATATGTGTACACATATACATAGCGTATGAAATGCCCACTCATTTGCCATGAATTGTGCCAAAGATTTATCTCTAGCCATAGCCAACATCAAGCTTTAGTTTCTCTGTGAAAACAAGTTAAAAGTGCACCGTTGTCAGGGCAGAGCATAATATAGAAAATGACCAATTACCAATGGTGGAATCTATTATGCGCCGCTGTGGAGAATATGAATGTGTAACAATGAAAGTCGGACGAAAATTGAGGAGTTTCACATGTGAATACATCAGCCAGTGCTAAAAATTCCCTATTCATTCACACATCATTTTGCCACAGATAAATTACTCAATGCTCATTCTCTCTCCACTGCTCAATACAATAATAATTGCATATGTCACGAGGTGACAATAATTTCCTGTCACAAATCTAATTTACAACTAATTGCAGAAGGTGTGAATGCTTATCTTTTGATCTCGCAGTCCCATGAGTGTCAGGTAGTGAGCAAATGAAGTTCAGCCGAATGCAGAGATGCCTTTGGCTTTAACACTTACAAGGTTTTGCTAGTCTCTGTGACCAAATTAGAATAATTACGTATAATTAATTTTTAATTATAGTTGAAATGAGCTTCCATCAAATCATTTTTAATAAAGAAAGAACAGTTAAGTGATTGAAAAACACAAAGCAATGCAGAGGTGATTTTTACCAGTGTTAAGTTATGTCTTTGTGTTGTGGGGAAGAGTCATTAAAGCCCTCGTTGAACCCAACTTCTTATCTGATTAGGCATTAGAGACAGAATGGTCAGCAAGTAGCTCAAAATAATGATCACTTGAGGGCATGAAAGATCGATATTCACAAGACAATTCAATCTATGCAAGAACACGAGAGTCTTCCGTTACAGCGAATCCACAGCGAGAGGCAAGAAAAAAGGGTCAAAGCTGAATAGTACAGCGTTATTTATGTGAGCTACTATTTGCAAAGTTAAATGCCTAAATTCTGAATGAATGTGTATTTCGCAACTCCACAACTTTCACCATTATAGCAGTGCCTTTTTGCGCTCTTTCACTTACATCAAATTGTATGTCTCTCTATGATTTCGAAGTCGTCATCTGTATTGAGGCGAAAATGCTAAATTTAATGTACGCGATGAATAAATTTGCAACCTTATATGTGTATTAAATTATTGTGCAAGTAATATTCATCTTGCCAATCGCTACTTCTTTTGCTGCTTTTCCCTGCGCGATCGCATTATTTACAACACTGGAGTTTGCTCTGAGGTTTGTGAGACGCGGCGATATTCCAGCGATTAATTCGTTGTACACGGCTTGAATAGTAGATTTTCTATTTAAGGAGATCTCTCACAAGGAAGACTTTCGTTGAAACCTCAGCTCTTATTGGACTCTCTGCACAATTCACAATTTCGCGAATAAATGTGATTATGTGTGGAGGAGAGAAAAAGAGACTCTTGTGCTTCACATTGTTGATGGGGTTAATAAACTTGTCTCGATGGCGAGAAGAATTTGAAAATGTTTTGTTATTTTAGGAGGTGTTTCACAAAGAAAAGCCAGTAGTTCTTGTGCTTAACATTGGCGCGCGAGGGGAAAAAACACTTAGAATCCAAGTTTTGCGTGGTGTTTTGCGCTCACCTATAAAGAAACAACCTTAAGCAACATCGTGCGTTCTCACTAAATATAATTATTCGTAGAGTATGTGGTATTTTTTTTTTCAAGCACAATTAGCATCAAATTGATAAAAAATTGCGCAAGAGTCGCGCAATGGAAAGAGGAGAAAAAGAGTTTGACGGTAATTTTTGTGAAGCGCGGTGTTGTTGACTTTCTCAATTCAATCAGTGGATTGAATCGGAATTCAATTAAGTAGAAAACAATGCCAATTTGTTGAATCATTTTCACATGTGACAAATTAAATTGTGCTCGTTACATTGGGTGGACTTTCTTGTGGATTATGCAGAAGCGTGCACGAGCGAGGGCAGCATCTGAACGCCAAATGACTCAATTTTCAGGCGAAAGAATTCAATAAACAGAAACATTGTTGACTGTGCAGAAGAGACACAGAAGATATTCAAATTATTTCCTCCACGATTGATTCATTTGATTCACTCTGAATGGAGAGATTGGAATCTTCCCGTCACGGAGAAATGTGCTAATAACACATGGTGAAAGAAAGCACAGAAGAGCTCTCTCAAATTTAGGCTGAAATTACATTATTTACTTTGCGAGTTTATACATAATAGAATGTGTTGAGAGGAAATTTACCAAAAAATGTTTTATGAAAGATATAAATCTACTTCTGTGCCATTTAAATATTGTTGATACAATACACACATGTGTGTAGAGTGATTTTTTGAGTCATAATGAAGACAAAGAAAACTTCAATAATTGTGGAGGATTTGCGATTTATTTGTGTTGCCAAGAAAGACGGAGAATGAGTGGTAAACAGTTTCGCCACTTGCTCGATGATGAGTACTATAATAAAAATGTAGATAAGCACCCGCTCTGGCTTAGCTGGTGATGAGCTGGGATTTCGGGAGCAAACTCGCATTGTGCAAAATTTCAGCTCAATTTGAATCTTACTGAGAAGCCTGGAAAGCGTGTATTTGCATAAGAAGGTTCAAAATACCACAAATGCCATTTGTGCTAATGAAAAACTCTGACAATTCTATCAAATATTATCCTGGAATCTAAGGCATCTAGAAGTGATAAGGCAAAATTTTAGCATTTTGAGATTGACATCTGATCAATTGCAATACCACTGCAAGTTGATCGAACGACTTGGAGCAATAATATCACTGCAAGCGATTTTTAGCTTTCTTTTTTTGTAGTTTATAACTTGTTCTGTCGGCTGAATACGGAAAATACTGAATTGCGCTCAATGTCTTGCAGGCGGTGCACTCGCAGGAGGTAACAACTCAAGGGAGCGATCTGGGCAGGAGCGGCGAGGAGGGCAAGAACGCCGAAGACGTGACGGATCGAGTGGGCATGCAGAAGGCAGAAGGTGGAAGTGAGTCCAGGCCCAAGGACAAACTGGGTGAGAAGTCGTCCAAAAAGAAGACCGTCACATTCAAGAACGTCCTCGAGACGAGTGACGATGTTTTGGTGCGAAAGAGCTACAATCCAGACTTCGCTCCTCCGCTGGTGCCGATCATCAAGCGGGAGTCTCTCACGCGAATTGAGAGCAGCATCGTGCGCCCGTCGCGCCTCACGGAGGTCATGAAGCAGAACAGCAGCAATCAGGACAACCTCAAGGGTCTGTCGTTCAGATTGCCGAGCGACGCGAATGGGCGAGATGAGGAGGAGACGCTGGAGGATGAGGAGGCGAACGGGGAGGGCGGACTGAAGCGATTCATCCTGCCGAAGAGGAGTCTGCACTCGTGTCGCGTGATCAAGCCTAATAAGAAGTTCCTGGACAACATGGATGACTGCAGTAGCAAGAAGCGCCTCCAGCTGAGCATCAAGCGAAAGAATCAACTGGACGGCGTGGACAAGAAGAAGAGGATGCTGAAGGAAGTAACATTCCAGGATAGCTTTATTAATAGTACACTATCGTCCAAGATATCCAACAGCAAGTTGGATACGGAGAATTGTTGTGAATCTGAAACATCGCAGACGCAGTCGGAGAATAGTGATGCTGGTGAGTGTAAATTGTCTCATTAGAGTTGGTATAAAAATGCATTTATATCCTCAAGTGCCATCAATAACTCTACACAAGAATGTATTAACTGTGTTGATGCTGATGCTTTTCCATGTTACTTCTCTTTTTTCGCAGAAGAGACTGACGAGGAGGAGAGCAAATTAAATGGAGACAAGAAGACGAAGAGGAATGAACAACAAAGGCTATTTTGTAAATCGATTTTCCATTCAACAAGCGGAAAGAGCGCTACATCATCGACACAAAATGTTGGAAATAGTTTAGGGAAAGTGATTTTACGGCAACCACGCTTGCAATTTAGCACAGGCATGATAATATCATCTTCCGCGAGCTCCAATTCGACTGCATCCACATCAAATTCAACACCAACATCCACAATGTCAATGATGGAGAAAACATTCTCATTTAATCTCAATGGCAACAGTATTAAGAATAGTATATCTTCCCATTCAGGTGAGAATCCGATCGCGCGCATAGTTGTGTGTGAATTATTGAGGAAGTGAAACCAATTTAATGTTGATTCTTTCCCTCTCTCTTCTCGCAGTTTCTCTGCCGACGTCCTCAGCACTGTCAATGACATCCTCAACGTGTGGCATTTGCGGAACGGTATCATCGTGTCGATATGCGCAAAAGTGTCGGAAATTCGGCATAAATTGCTGTGAGGCATGTCGAAAGTTTATATCGAAGATGATGAAGAAATTGGCTGCGTCTTCTGGTGTGAATTGCCAAAGCGGGCCAATGCAGTGCACAAAGAGCGATGGAACGTGCACACTTCAGCCTCTGCCGCGCAGTGGACACGTCAAGACGATGAAGATGACACTGAAGGAGCGCTGCCATGCCTGCTGGCTGAAGCGGTGCATCAAATCCTTCCAGCTTCCCTCAGGCCTCAAATCGCGCCTCATCGCCACACTTCCAGTCGCGATGCGTGACTTTGAGCCAAACAACGTTGGAGTATCGTCGAAATTCAGTATTAAGCGAGAGTCTGATAATCAAAATAGCATGAATATCTTCTCAAATCCACCCAATACTGATCGTATGTTGGATATTGAGTTCAAGACGACCAAGAGTCTCCCATTCTCCAATCCGCTCGTGGAGAACAACACCACATTTGGCAGTTCACCACTTGTGGTGCCCACAATCAGCGAGAAGCCCGTGATAATGGTGCATTCACCGAGCATCGCGGCGCCCGAAGAGGGCAAACAGGACAGTGCAAATAGGAAATCCAGTACGAAAGCAAGTAGCAGCAATTCTGTGATCAGTGTCAGCACGAGTGAGAGTGTCGATGAGAAGACAAAGCCGAGTCGGAAGAAGGTCGAGACGCCTCAGGTGAATGCGAGCAAAGAGGCAAATGCGCCCAGTGATGCTTCAGCGCCCAAGAGACAGAGGATCGATCTGAAGGGACCGCGAGTGAAGCACGTGTGCCGGAGCGCATCGATTGTCCTGGGTCAGCCGATAGCGACATTTCCCAGTGAATCTGCGCTGGAGAACTTGGACACTCCACCGCGACCGGACTCGCCGCAGAATGAAGTCAACGATTTGCCCACAATTGTCGATCGTCCTGACATGTGCACAGATTGCGGTGATTTGGGCCTGAGTCCGCCGGCGACGCCAATCGACAGTCCAAATGTAGCGGAGAAGGAAGAAGTTGCCAGTGATATTGTGGAGGACGTGAAGAGGAGCAAGGAAGAATCTCAGAAGCCAACAACGAGGAAACTCTCTCGTCCCAGCTACAATGCCACGAATCTGGGCAATCGCGCGACGTCGATCAGTGCCACGAAGCGCATTCAGCAACTCACGGCTGTGCAGAATCCCATGGTGTCCATCGATTTCTGGGAGAACTACGATCCGGCTGAGGTGAGCCAGACAGGATTCGGACTGATTCTCTCGGAAAGTGTTCCTCTGCGTGCCATTTGCTTCCTGTGCGGCAGCGCTGGCACCGATCCCCTCATCTTCTGCATTTGCTGCTGTGAACCCTACCATCAGTATTGCGTGGAGGATGAGTACAATCTGAAGCCTGCGTCGCTGGATGACACAAACGTGAGCATCCTGGATACGAGCGGCGTTGGAAATGGCATGAAGAATCGGCTGAATTGGCTTTGTCCACGGTGCACGGTGTGCTACACGTGCAACATGGCCACGGGCAGCAAGGTGAAGTGCCAAAAGTGCCAGAAGAACTACCATTCAACGTGTCTAGGCACGAGCAAGCGACTCCTCGGTGCCGATCGGCCCTTGATCTGTGCCAATTGCCTCAAGTGTAAGAGCTGCAGCACGACAAATGTGACGAAATTCGTGGGCAACCTTCCCATGTGCACGGCGTGCTTCAAGCTGAGGCAGAAGGGTAACTTCTGTCCGCTGTGCCAGAAGTGCTATGAAGACAACGACTTCGATCTCAAGATGATGGAGTGCGGTGACTGCAAGCGATGGGTGCATGCCAAGTGCGAGGGTCTCACGGATGAGCAGTACAACATGCTCTCTGTCCTTCCGGAGAGCATTGAGTTCATCTGCAAGAAGTGCGCCAAGAACAATCCAATGGTGGACATGTGGCGAGATGCCGTGGCGGCGGAGTTCAAGTCAGGACTTCTCAGTGTTGTGAAGATGCTAAGCAAGAGCAGACCGGCGAGTGCTCTGCTGAAGCTCAGTCCCAGGAAGAAGTCCAACATCTGCGCTTGTCAGCCGATCATGTCCAACAGGAGTATTCAGTTCAAGAAGCTCACCGAAGGCAGTGTTGAGGTGAGAATTTAATTTTAAAATGCCCAAAATAACAGGAAATAAATGCAAATTTGTATTACAGAACTCGACATCGTCTGAAGACAATGAATTCTCTGAGTTGTCCAGTGAGAAGACACTCGACGGAGAGGGAGAATTATCACAGAACACTCAGTGCTATTGTGGAGTGAAGCAGAAATTGGCCTATGCGACTTCCTCGCCCAGTCTTCTGGACATCAAGCGCAAGATCAACGACAACGATTACGTGTCTCTGCAGGAGTTCAACTACGACATGCTGAAGATCATCAATTCGGTGTCGTGTGAGGATCTCGTGACGGCGTACAAGGAAATCCTGAGTGAGGCGTTTCCCTGGTTCCAGAACGAAACGAAGGCGTGCACTGATGCTCTCGAGGAGGATATGTATGACTCTTGCGACTTTACCGCCAATCCCGACACGATAGCCATGGAGTGCGATCAAATGGTGCCCACAGTAGACATTCCGGAGGACGGCGAAGAGTACTTCTACGGCACCTATGAGCGGATGGACGACAGGACGTGTCTGTTCTGCAAGCAGACAGGCGAACATATGAAGCTACAGGAAGGCCGGCTTCTGTACTGTGGCCAGAACTCATGGGTGCACACAAATTGTGCATTGTGGTCGGCTGAGGTGTTCGAGGAGATCGACGGATCGCTGCAGAACGTCCACAGTGCCGTGTCACGCGGGCGGATGATAAAGTGCTCGGAGTGCGGCAACAAAGGTGCCACTGTGGGATGCAACGTGAAGAATTGCGGCGAACACTTTCACTATCCCTGCGCCCGAAAGGCCAAGTGCGTCTTCATGTCGGACAAGACGGTCTACTGTGCGCGCCACGAGGCGGAGACCACGAAGAAGAAGTGCCATCCGGAGGGGGATTTCGATGTTCACCGGCCAGTGTATGTGGAGCTGGATCGCCGGCGGAAGAAGTCAGTGGAGCCGGCGAAGGTACAATTCGCCATTGGCGCTCTGGCGGTGCGGAATATCGGGCGCTTCGTGCCGATCTTGTCTGATCTGAGCGATGTGATAGTTCCCAGTGATTTTTTATGCACGCGCTTGTACTGGAGCACGAAGGAGCCCTGGAAGATTGTGGAGTACACCATCAAGACATCGATTCAGTGCAGCTCAACGACACATTGCACGGACTTGGGGAAGAACTTCACAGTTGATCACTCGTCGCATGCGAATTTGATACAGAAGGGACTGAGTCAGATCGCCAAGTGGCACAGTAGCCTGAGCAATGGTGAGGAGACGACTGATCACGCGAGAGATGTCAAAACGAAGCAGAGCTTCGAGTCCATGGGCAATGCTGATGAGCAGAACGACGAGGAGCCGCAGAGCAATGCAGACTTGCTGCCGCCTGAGATAAAAGAGGCTATTTTTGAGGATCTCCCTCATGACATCCTCGATGGCATCTCAATGCTGGACATCTTCCCGAAGCTGATGACTTATGAGGACTTGGTGGCGATGGATTCGAAGAGTGAGATCTACTTTGGCGGCGAATTGATCAAGGATGCGAAAGAGTACGTGTCTGAAGATGACATAAACAATCAGCCGCTGGAGAATTGGAGTAATTCCTCAACTGTGGCGCACGTTGAAGACCCAGTGTTGTCCACTTCGCGGCCCATGTCCACGAGCATGTCGAAGGAGCTGAAGAGGAGTAAATCTGAGGTGTTTTCGCGCGGTGCGAATGTCAATCGCAATCACCAGAGATCCTCCAGTCTCACGTGGAATTGCAAGGTGGATCAGAGCGCTGTGTCGAAGCGCCGAAAGGTGTCGATGCTGCAGGAGCTGAGACTGCCGGAGAGCGTCTTCCGATCGCTGAGCCGGCCAGACATCAAGGCGGCCACGAGTGGAGATCGCAAGATCACGTGGAGCGCAAAGAAGTTGCTGCAGATTGAGAATGACAACAGCCAAGAAGGTGGGATTGAGAAGAAGGCCGTGGAGAAGCTGAAGATCTCTCAGCTGGACGGCATGGATGACATCAGCAGCGAAAGCGAGAGTGGATCTCCGGGACCGCAGTACGCCTTGGTCAGTGGCCATGCGGGCATTCAGTTTGACCAGAATGGCGGCGAGAATCCGGTGAAGTGTGATCGATGCCATTGCACTTATCGCACGCAAGATTCTTTTCAGCGGCATCTACTGACGTGTGAACCAATGTCGACGAGTGAGTCTGAGTCTGAGGCCAATCCTCGCACTCCCGAAGCCGATGTGGCGTCAATTGCGACAAACAATCTGCTGACTGTGACGGTGTCTGACATGTGCAACTCCTCGACAATCTCGACGATTCAGCCGCAGAATCTGGTGCAGAACTTTAGCGGGCAGATTCTCGGTGGTGGAAACATGATAGGTAATCAGAGTGCCAACACAATAGCTATTCCAAATTCGCTGCAGAACATCATCCCCATTCAGAACGGTGGGCAGATATCGCTGCAGAATCCCACGCAAATACAAACAGTACCTCTCAGTGGTGTCAATCAATTGAGCCAAATCAATGCAGGGATGTCGAATGTGTTGATGACCACACCGCAAAACCAACAATTCACACAGCAGCTGGGCGTCAATAATTTCCAACAGCAAGTTTTCCCGCTGCAGAACATCAATCAATACAACGACATGAATTCGAATTATCTGCAAAAGACAACGCAGAGAATTTTGCCGCAGACGTCCACCATTCAGCCGACTATTCAGCTCTCTGGTGGGATTAACATTCAGAATTTCAATAATTCACCCATCATTCAGCCCGCCGCCAGTCAAGCACAGCCGCAGATTATCTCAATCGCAGGCACGGGTAGCAACTCACAAATTATGACGCTTGCACCGGCTCCCATTCGACCCAATGGCGCAGTGACGAAGAACCAGATAATCCTGCCACAGCCGCTGGACAAGAATGGCAAGAAGCACGCATTGCCGCGCCTGCAGTCGGCGCCAATTGTGAAGCCCAAAAGTCGCCAGATGGGCGTGAAGAATCAGCCGATTCAGATGAAGAAGATCGTGACGAAGCCCGACACGCGCCTGCAGATTGTCAACTCCACCAATTTGCCCATCATCCGACCGCAGCAGACTGTTTCGACGCCAGTGACCACTGCAAATCCTGGCGTGGTTTTCCAGCCGCAACAGCCGCTAATTGTGCAGCCGATGAACAACAATACGAACCTCGTGCAGTACGTGACGGACAATGGCATGCAGTACATCGCCATGCCGTCGGGTGACTACAAGCAGCCACAGACGCAGTTCCTCACGCCCAGTCCCATCGTCCCGGGGGCCTTCCAGCTGCAGGCGGATGCGAGCGGGCAGTTGGTGCTGGCCAACACGGCGTCCGGCCTGCAAGTGCTGCCGTCCGGGGCCATGCAACTGGCGCAGCCGCAGCAGCCGCAGGTCATTGGCACGATCATCCAGCCGCAGGCCACGACAATCCAGTGCGGCATGATGGCGACGGAGCAGATGGTGCTGGGCAGCACGCCCACGCTGGAGATGGTGACGGACCCGAACTCGGGGTGCATGTACCTCACCAGCCAACCGGTCTACTATGGCCTTGAGACGATTGTCCAGAACACGGTGATGTCATCGCAGCAATTCGTCTCCACGGCCATGCAAGGCGTGCTCAGTCAGAACTCCAGTTTCAGCGCCACCACGACGCAGGTGTTCCAGGCCAGCAAGATTGAGCCCATCATGGAAGTTCCTGGAGGATATGTGGTGCTGAACAACATGCCCGATCAGCAGCAGCCGCAGGCGATTATGCCCAGCACGCAAGTGATTCCGCAGATTCAGGCGCAGCCGCAAGTGACGCCGCAAATGAGGCCCATCTCGCCGCCAAAACCCACCGTGAAGACTGCGCCGATTGTCATGACGAAGGTGCAGCCGCAGGTGATTAACAAGGTGATGCCGTCGTTGCCGGCGAATGTGGTCACGATGGAGCAGCAGCCGGCGCCGCAGGCTGTGAAGCATCAGGTGCAACCGGTGATTTTGCCCAAAACCATGGCCATCACATCTACCAGCACAACTCCGGTGTTCCAGCAGGCCACAATCCATACCCAAGAGACTCAGAGTCCGGCCAAGACACTCATTGTCACGTCTCCGAACTCTGTTCATCCGATTCCGCGTGCCGCTAACATCATCAAGCCGATCAAGAGTCACGTGAATTCAGCCACAGTGAAGCCTAAGATAATTGCCAAACCCGTGGCGGGAAGAACGTCGGTGAATCGGCCGAAGATCGGCACGTTTGGCATCAAGCAAACACCCTCGAATGCCATGAACCAAGTGACCAAGTCTGACTCAATTGTTGGCGATGTTATCATCACCACAGTGGCGCAGAACAATATGCAGAGTCAAATGGTGTCCTCGCAGCAGTCCAATCAGCAAATCTTCCCTGTGGAGCAGGAGAACATCGTGCAGAACATCATTCAACTCTCCAGCACGAATGACGGGAACAGCATGCAGGACAATGTTGTCTTCACGCCTATCAACAGGAATCCGCAGAACACTCATCCACCGCCAACGCCCCAAATTCAGCTTCCTTCGGCGCCTTATGCGCCTTCGCATCACTCGAATGTGCCCACGAATGTCGTGAATCCCATTCAGCAGTGTCACTATGGCGGCACCACGACGAATTCCAGGCCCACAAACCGAGTTTTGCCCATGCAAACCATCCAGGCGCGCCAATCACCGCCGACTCCGCCGGAGCCGAAGTGCCAAGTGGAGGAGGCTGTGATTCCGCCAAAGTTGGAGGAAGTGCACGCGAAGGAGGACGTCGTGATGGCTGATCTGCCATCGCCTCAGCTGATTATCGCGGAAGCGGAGAAGGAAGAGCAGTCACATATTCTGGAGGAAGCCTTTGAGGATGTGGAAATCAGGCGGGAGAAGGACTCTAGTTCTCCGACGAGTCTCAATCTCAAGAATCTCTTCCAGACGGACGTTCAAGCGGACCTCTTTGATCAGATCAAGTCCATGGATGACAAAGATGAGAGCTCTTCGGAGAGTTCGACGCCTGAGGTGAAGCAGAAGATCTGTGAGATTCTTGTGAACCTGGACAAGGAGGATTGCAATAAGAATAGCGTCTTGCTGGATACGCCAATGGAGGAAGTGATGGAGCATAAGGAAAATCTTCCGCCCGATGACACGGCCTTCAAGTTGCCACAGCCGCGCAGTGCCATCACGATTCAGCGCTCGCTGAACGCCTTGCAGCCCCTGAAAGCACCTCCTGGCCCGAGGATGCTGTATGAGATTCAGTCCGAGGACGGTTTTCACTACAAATCCACCTCGATCACAGACATCTGGGACAAAGTGTTCGAGACAGTGCAAATTTCGCGAAAATCCCACGGATTATCTGCGCTGCCCGATGGTCCTCTGGCTGACATGAGTGGTCATCAGATGCTGGGCCTGAAGTCGAATGCTCTGCGCTATCTGATCGAACAGCTGCCGGGCGTGGAGACGTGCAAGAACTACACTCCCAAGTATCACGAGAGGAAGATGAACAAGGACTCGGCGCCGCTCTTTCCGCACTTCATCGACCTGGACGACAGCAAGGAGAACATCTTCGGCGCGGCGCGCTGTGAGCCTTACAGTGGCCGATCGGAGTATGACATGTTCAGCTGGCTGGCGTCCAGGCATCGCAAGCAGCCGGCGCCGGTGACGATTCAGTTGGACAGCGAAATCACAATTCCCAGGTGAGTGTTTGCCAAGAGTCCTTGAGCTGACACGGATTCATTTGTTGGCGCAAAACAACCATGAAATCGTCCAAATCGTGGTGAAACTCGCTAATTGCTCACGTGAAAATAAATGGAGCACACTTTGCTGACCTCTGTTTTCACCGCTTGCAATGCCTTCCGCTCCAAATTGTATCAATTAATGGTATGTTGAATACTTACAGGCGGGGAAGCGCCAGCAATCTGCCCATGGCCATGCGCTACAGAACGCTGAAGGAGGCGTCAAAGGACTCGGTGGGAGTGTATCGCTCGCATATCCACGGACGCGGGCTCTTTTGCACGCGGGACATCGAGGCCGGTGAGTATTCGTCGGATAAACATGAATATTCTGGCTAAAGTCAGCATGACTAAAAGGGCGCTTTGTGCTTGATTGATATTTAGCAATCTTTTGAACATTTCTTCCAATTTACCTCTTGTACGAGAATTTTCCTATCGATACATTCTATAGAATTGACTAAATTTTGCCGAAAATGCTAAAATTCGAGAATACAACTAAAATCGTTAATCAGTTTAGCCTCTGAAAATCTATCAAAATCATATTACATTTTATCTTGAAAAGGCATTTAACAGCAAATCAATCTACAAATGAAGGCATTATTGATGACATTAACCCTGCATGTTGAACAGAGCTTCTGATTGTGCTTTTTCCTAATGCTTCTCTGACTCTCCCTCAAGGCGAAATGGTGATTGAATACGCCGGCGAGCTAATTCGTGCCACACTGACGGACAAGCGGGAGAATTACTACGAGAGCAAGGGAATTGGATGCTACATGTTCCGCATTGATGACAATTTCGTGGTGGATGCAACAATGCGTGGCAACGCGGCGCGCTTTATTAATCACTCTTGTGAGGTATGCAAAGAGAGATGCATTTAATGATTTCATTGAGATTCAACTATGGTTGTTTGTCTGTCTTTGCAGCCAAATTGCTACTCAAAAGTCGTGGACATTCTGGGGCACAAGCACATCATTATCTTCGCGCTGAGGCGAATTGTGCCCGGCGAGGAATTGACTTATGACTACAAATTTCCCTTCGAGGACGTGAAGATTCCCTGCTCGTGCGGATCGAAGCGTTGTCGTAAATACTTAAACTGAAGTTGCTGGAGGATAAATCGTGTGACTGCTCTGTCAGATTGGTGATGTGGAAATGTATAAATAGGTTTATACATTGGCGTGTGGGTGTAATATTGTTGATAATGCGCTGGAAAGCATCTCGAAAAGGGCCGCCGTCAGCAATCTGGCAGAGAAAGAGTATAAATGTCGTGTAAATGTGTAAATAAGAGAAAAAACATAACTGTGAGGATCCTTAGCCTATTTTAGTGCTTATAATTTATATGAAAAAAGTATTTGTATTTTAGAGATTCTAAAACTATATGAATGTGGATGATTTTACTTCTATATTTTAACATTGATTGTGAAAAGTAATATTTCTGTGAAATTCTCACTGAATGAGATTCTTTTAGTTTTTAAAGAAGCAAAAACCATATTTTTTGTATTGTGACACAGAGAAGCGCAGAAGAGTGTTATAATTGTACAATTGACAACATCACAGATAAGGAGATAGTCTTTTCCACACTCAATTATGTTCCTTGATGTCTCTCAAGCTTGATAAAGAGGATGTAATAAAATGTATCATCACACAAAAGGTGCTTTCTGTTGAGATATTAAAGAAATAGTAATAAATGTGAATGTATTGTGCACAGAGCGAGATAATAGACGATAATTATTCCTCTCAATGTCGATCTTCACCATGAAAGAAAATAGCGTTGAGCATTTTGTCTCCTCGACAATGATATTAAAATGAAAACCGCAAAAGGCAAACCCAGTGTATAAACTAATATCTAAACTATCTAATATGCGAATAAGCAAAAGATTTCAATTGTCTCAGTGTCTGATCAACATAAAGAATCAAACTAACGAGTAATTATAGTGTGGTAAAGTTTCACAACCACGTTGACAATATAATGTAATGAAGATGAAAACCGTACATAAATTAAATGCGCACCAGAGCGAGTCTCGAATGGCAAGAGACTCCGCTCGACACTCTATCTTAGAAGAGAAGTGTAATATGTATAAAGCTATTTGTAATGAGAAAGAGTAGATTTAGAACAATATATTTCAATTCCTTCTCTGTACCAAAAAAAAGAAGAAGAAAACACTTGCGTACAAGACAAAAAAATGTGTGTGATTCCGAGCACATTTTCACGCTTTTCATGCTTCAAATGAATTCAGTTGCAGTATTTTTCAATTCTCTCGCACACGCAGAAAATCAATCTCCAGTTGTGTCGTTGAGGAAGTTTGTGAGGGAGATGAGAGTGTTGAGGATTAGTTTTTCAGCGAGCCTCGAAGAACCTTTAAAAGAAAGTAATTCAGTTTTATAAGAGCGGAAGAGTTGTAAAAATTTTTCAATTTCTTGCCATATTTTTGTAATTGTATCCTTTAACCATTTCGGCTGTTTTGTATTTTTTAAACACAATTGACTTGTATTAATGATTTTTACGCTAAAGAAATGGGAAGCAAGCTTGCGAAGTGAAAAGTGAGAGGTAGAAAATAAGGGGAGATAATAAAATTGTAATATCTTATACAGGCATGTCAACTATTAGACAGGAAAACATGATGTAATACTGTAATTACTAATTATGTACAATTTTGTAATCTTACGGATTCTGTTTGCATTTGAATCACAATAAATGAATAGAGATATAAAATATCGACTTTTCTATGACATTCCAATTTTCGCGCCATCTGACAAGAGCGCCCTCTCGCGTAATTCTCGTGTCATCATATTGTTGAAATCGCGAGGAGAGTGGATGAAGTCTGGCCGGGTTTTTTGTTATGGGTGCGTGTGTCATTATTGCAACTTTTTCTTTACTTGGCCTTGTGGCTTGAAAAAAGGCTGGGTTCGTGTGATTGTTTAGCTCAAGAGTTACAGAAGAAACTCTTCTGTACTCTCTGGTGTTTCTTGTGTCACTCTCCAGATCCTGCGGCAGGCCAAGGCGTAGCCGAAGAGACGGAAGAGCAGATGAAGAACAGGAAGCAATTGTGGTAGAGTGGTTCTTTGGTTTGTTTTGGCTCTGGCGTCCACTTCCGACAACAAACAGCGATTTATCGATATCAAGTGCATAGATGCCGAGAGGAGAGCGATAAGGATTGGGTGTGTGAGTGCGCCTTATCGATAACGAGCTGAGCACCGAAAATACCCAGGTGAGTCTCCCTCGTCAGTTGTTGCGCGCCTCTTTCCCTGCGAACACTTCGCGCCGCGAGGGCTATTCTGGGCTCTGAGATGACGTGTTGACACACGGTGCACCTGTTGAGCGTGGCGAAAAACAGCACTTTGTGGCGATGAGTCTGCGGACGGACAGGAGGCTCCATCGGAGCATTTCGCAGCTCCTGCAGAGCACTGGTAGGTGGCGCAGCCTTCTGGGGCCCTCCCGGACACTGCGTGCGAGACAGAGAGTCTTATCAGTCCTTGGGCACACTTGGCCCGCGCGCGCTGATAACCAGATTGTCATGGTGCGATAACGGCGTGAGTGTTTCACTTGGTCCTCATCCGCGATTCTCCCTCTCTCTTCGCCAGAGAACATGAGCCTCGAGAGGGGCACAGCCAATCCAGCCGTGAACGCTGACGACGACGCCAGCAATGTCACCATCGGCAGCGTCTCCACGGCCGCCAAGCGAGACGCCGGCTCGTCTGTGGCCGACTGGAGCTGCATCAACAACGACACACTCTCGCCCGACTCGGAGTACGACGAGGGCCTGGGCTTCCCGGACTCCGTGACCATCCTGTCGATGGTGGACGGGCCGGTGCTGGTGACGCGTGAGAAAGACGACGAGGTGCCACAGAGCGAGATCCCCTTCCTGACAGTGTACAAAGAGCCGCAGGGCTTCAAGTCCATCCAGCGCCGCCTCTTCATTCCCGGCGTGGACATTCACGTGCATATCGTGGACAACGAGAGGAGCAGCACTACGCACCTTCTCAATCCCAATCTGTGAGTTCAAACTGCCGGCAGTTTATCTGCCATGTTTCTCGACGAAAAAGCTTATGTAAATGTCGCCCGGCCTCGAAATATTAATTGTTCATGTCGCATTTTCAGTTTAATAATTCATAAGATATGCTTAATTGATCTTGAAACGCTTTTGCCGTGAATCGTGTAGAGCAATTTATGGAAAATTGCTGACTTGATTAACAGTGTGAGATCATTTTTTTTGTCATTCCTCCGTCAGATACACTATTGAACTAACTCATGGGCCGTTTGTGTGGCGTATCAAGAAGCGCTACAAGCACTTCTATGCCCTGCATCAGCAGTTGCGCGTCTTCAGGACGTCGCTGAACATCCCTTTTCCCACGAGGACGCACAAGGAGCGTAGAGCGAGCTTTAGGAACAATTACACAACGCCAGAAGAGCAGAAAGATGCTAAGACGGGCAAGAAGAGACGCCGCGGCGCTCTTCCGCGCTTCCCCAACAAGCCAGACTCCCTGATCCCGGTGGAATCCTTGCCGCAGAGGATTAAGCAACTCGAGGAGTATCTGTACAATCTCGTCAACATCAATCTGTACCGCAACCATCACGAGATGCTGAACTTCCTGGAGGTCTCCGAGCAGTCATTCATCGCGGCGCTCGGGGACAAGGGCAAGGAAGGGCCCATACTCAAGAGAACGGGCTCCACGCGTCCCGGACAGACGGGATGCAACTTCTGCGGATGCTTCGCCGGCGCGTGCTGTATCCGCTGCAGCCACTTCTGCTCGGACATCCTGTGCAGGAAGTGGCGCGATCGGTGGTTCTTCGTGAAAGAGTCCTACTTCGGCTACATGCGGCCTAAGGACGGCGCTATCCGCTGCATCATCCTCTTCGACCAGGGCTTCGAAGTGGCCTCGGGGATTATCGGCACAGGAATGCGCACAGGTTTGCAGATCGTCACATACAGCAGACACTTCGTGGTGAAAACGTGGACGCGCCGGAAGGCGAAGGAGTGGATGAGCTTCCTCAAGCAGTACGCCAACAATCAGGCCAAGGACTTCACGCAACCGCATCCACACAACTCTTTCGTGCCGCTGCGCGGCTCAGTGCTGGCCGGCTGGTTCGTGGACGGCGGAAGCTACATGAGCACCGTGGCGGACGCCCTGGAGGGCGCCACGGAGGAGATCTACATCGCCGACTGGTGGCTGAGTCCGGAGATCTACATGAAACGGCCTGCCGTTGACGGAGACTACTGGCGATTGGATCAGATCTTGAAGAGAAAGGCGGTAAGAAGGTTTTCTTATCTAATTTATTACCCTCTGATAACATGTAATGCAATTTGACTCTATCACACGCTGATCACGATTACTCCAGTATGTACCAAATACTCAATATCTCGCAAGATATGAGTCTTATTTCCATTGGCATTTGCAGGAGCAAGGCATTCGCGTCTTCATCCTGTTGTACAAGGAAGTGGAAATGGCGTTGGGCATCAACAGCTACTACAGCAAGCAGCGGCTGGCGGCCACGCATGAGAACATTAAGGTAGAGCGATCTCTTGATGCACTCAACTGTGTCTGACTGTCACTTTCGCGTTCAGGTGCTTCGTCATCCGGATCACGCTCGCGTGGGTGTTTTCCTTTGGGCGCATCACGAGAAGATCGTCGTTGTGGATCAAACGTATGCCTTCGTGGGCGGAATTGATCTCTGTTACGGCCGCTGGGACGACTATCGCCATCGCCTGACGGATTTGGGGAGCATTGCGACGTCCAGTGCAGCGGGAAGTGCCACAAAGTGAGCGTCAATTGACTTTTTCCCCCTTTGGCGCAGTGTTTTAAGGTCTTCGACCGCTTTTGATTCCTTTTAGTGATCCGCTGAGTGGATTTGTGCCAAGCAGGAGCGCATCTGCGCCTGTAATTGATCCCAGCAGAGCTGAGAAGCCTAATCTGCCGGCTCTGCAGCCGGGCGACAAGCTGATGATGCCAGGTGGAGCGACGTCTGACGATGAGCTGTGCGTGGAGAACATGAAGCTGAATACGCCCGAGATGGAGCGCCGAAACGTGCTGGACAAGCTGAAGGAGAACATGAAGACCAAGGGCAAGGACATCATGCACAGGCTGACGTCAATGGATCCCGAGCCCGCGCGCAGTGTGCCTCAGAGTCCGTCGGATCGCAACAAGAAGTACAACGTGACGAAGAGCAACTTGTTCTTCAACGACGACGAGCTGGCGGAGGGCAAGAAAGGCGACAGCATCTGCGCCCTGCCACCGCAGAATGCCATCCTGACCGTGCTGGATGGGCAAGCGAAGTACTGGATGGGGAAGGACTACACGAACTTCATTGCGAAGGATTTTGCAAATCTCGATGCGCCGTACATTGATATGATCGACAGAGGCGTGACACCGCGAATGCCGTGGCACGACATCGGCGCCGTGGTGACAGGAGCGGCGGCCAGGGATGTGAGCAGGCACTTCATCCAGCGCTGGAATGCTGTGAAGCTGGAGAAGGCGAGGGACAATCCGGTGAGTCACATATTTGCTTTGTGCTTCTCGAGTGGATTCTCTTTCTCAGCCTTATCTGTTGGCTCTGCAAGAGAATCTATTATCGCGTCATTGTCGCGGGGAATCGCTGAATGAGGGGCTTATCAGGGCGATGGCGCACATAAGCAGTAATTTGTCTCTCCCCACGTGTTTCCTCAGGCATATCCATACCTGATACCGAAGAGCTACAGAGATATCAAAGTGCATGATTCATTCCTCACAACGGCACTGCAGAAGGTGTCATGCCAAGTGCTGCGCAGTGTCTCGAGCTGGAGCTGTGGCTTCATCGAGTCTGATGTGGATGAGCAGAGCATTCACGATGCCTACATCGAGACCATCACGAATGCCAGGCATTATGTGTACATTGAGAACCAGTTCTTCATCACGCTAAATCAGGGCAACACTTTTGTGCGCAACCAGATCGGCGAGAGTCTGTACAATAGAATCCTGCGGGCGCACCGGGAACGCAGTGTGTTCCGGGTGATCGTGGTGATGCCTCTGTTGCCGGGATTCGAGGGTGATGTGGGCGGCACGACGGGAAACGCTCTGCGAGCAATCACACATTGGAACTACGAGTCAATTTCGCGCGGCAAGAGCTCAATTCTGCAGCGCCTGCGGGCGGCAGGAGTCGAGGATCCCAGTCAGTACATCTCCTTCCACAGTCTGCGCACGCACTCGTTGCTCAACTGCCAGCCCGTGACGGAGCTCATCTACGTACACTCGAAACTGTTGATCGCAGACGACAAGGTGGTGATTTGCGGCTCGGCCAACATCAACGATCGCTCAATGATCGGCACGCGGGACTCCGAGATCGCCGTGATCCTCACGGACGAGGTCTTTGAGGAGGGCATGATGAATGGCAATAGAGTGAAGGTGGGCGTCTTCGCCAGCAGTCTCAGGAAGTTCCTTTTCCGCGAGCATCTCGGCCTGATCGATCCCGATCCCGATCGCATTCCCATCGACGTGTCCGATCCCACGATCGATTCCTTCTTCGTCGGCCAGTGGCAGCGAACGTCGCACAGAAACACGAAGATCTACGATGAGGTGTTCAGATGCATCCCCACTGATGCTGTGACAACCATTACCGGCCTGAAGAAGTACGTCGAGGAGCCTTCTCTGGCCAAACTAGATCCTGGAAGTGCGCTCAAAGAGCTGCAGAGGATTCAGGTAGTATTTTCCCCTTCTCTAGATTGAGAGGAGTGAATTTAGTTAGACTTTTTGCTTTTTGCAGGGCTTCGTTGTGGATTTGCCGCTGAAATTCCTGGAGGATGAGATTCTCACGCCGCCCACAGTGAGCAAGGAAGGACTCATTCCAACTTCCGTGTGGACATAGTGCAGGATTCTCTGCAATTTTATTCCTACAAATGAGATTCGACACTTTCCCAGTTGCTTTTTACAATGATTTTACACCGTTTGCTACGTTTTTTTTATTTATTAGCACGACGCGCATGGTTGCAAGATCAAAAGTATTGAACGATGGATGCCTTCCGTGAAATCAAAAGTATTGACATCATATACCGCATGAAAACTGTTTGCAATTTATCCGATGCCAAAATGTTAATATTTTTATACAGAATGACGTTTTTTGTCCAATAAAGTCTCAAGAGTCGACGTAAAGTGGAATTTCAAGATCTCAAGGGAATTTGGCGGTCGAAGAGGTGCTATTTTTAGGCTTCAGGAGGCAAAAAGCATAATTATAGTGTAATCGTGCGATTTTGTACATTTTTCTATGAATTCCATTTTCGCGCAATATTGATCTGCACGCCCTCTCGAATCTTTTTTGAGAGAGAATTCTATAGTGGAGAGCTCGTCAAGCCGGGTTATTTTTGTTTTGGTGCGTGTGGCATTACTTACTTGAAGAAAATTGCTAAAAACTCCTTGTAAAATGGGTCCCAGAGGCAAAGGACAGTCGAAAGGCAAAGGCAAACCTCGTAAGAAGCTGATAGTGGAGTTTGATGAGAAAAAAAGAAGGTGAGAAGCAAAACACGTGAATTTAGGATCTTACCTAACCTCATATTTTCCACAGGGATTTCCTTACAGGCTTCAGAAAGAGAAAATTACAGCGGAAAGAACGTGCCAAGGAGGAGATTGAGCAGAAGCTGAAGTTAGAGAAGAAGCAGCTGAAAGAGGAAATCCGAAGCAATATTACGAAGCAGTTCAAGAGGTCCTTTCAGCCAATCCCGGAGCTCGAGGAGCCCGAAGAGGAAGAGTACGAGACTGAGGATGTGACGGTGAAGATCACAGAGCTGTGCACGGACGATCTGGCTAGAGAGAACAACTGGGTGGGTCATAATAAGCCTAAATATGAGGAAAGCTCAGAGACTAAAGCTGAGCCTGAAGAGAGTGAAGATGAGGAAATCCCAGGAATGAGTGTCTCCGTGAAGGATAAATCGTCCAAAATGGAAATCAAGCAGCAGGAAGCCGAAAAGCAATTGAAATCGAAGAAGGAACTCAACAAACTGGTTCAGGATCACACAATGAAGTTCCTCAAGAAGAGCAAAGCCTACAAAATGAAGACTCAGCTGCAGAGATCGAAGAACAAAAAGCTGGCCCGAAGGGAGAGAAACAAGAAGACGAAATCGCTGAAGCAACAGAGCAAAAAAACGGGTGGGAAAGCCCGGAAAAGGCAGAAATAAATTTTCTATGATTCTTTACAACGTTGCCGTGTTTCGCTCTTTGGGAACAGTCATGGGAACAGTTAGAGATTTAATACGTTGTCAAAAAAAAAGACGGAGAATTTTCACCAGTGCAGTTTTCATGCAAATTCAGAGTGAAAGGTAACGATGTCGAGCTCGGACAGTGAGGCATTCGAGAGTGCTGATGAGGATTTTGGTAGTGATGAGCGGAAAAGTGGGGAAAGTGCTGTGGAAAAGGAGAAAAAAGCGGAAAATGTAGCTGTGCAATCGCCCAGTCATGAGAGTGACAACGAAAACAAAAGCGTGGCCAGAAAATCGTCACCAGAAATCCAGTCGAAGCTCCAGGAAGCCATTGATGACAGCAAGAGTCAGGCTGTGGCCGAAGAAGTTAAGACTCCAAAGGAAGAAGCGCCTGCAAAATCAACCATCCGAAAGATCGAAAAACCTGAGAAGCCCGAGAAGTCGAAACCGATGAAATTGGGATTGAAGATATCAGAGAAATCCGTGGAGAAGTCAGATATTCCTCCTGAGGAATCTGCACCAAAGACACTTCCTGCGAAGCCTAAAGCTGTCGAACAGCCTCCGGAAGTGGAGGACACTGGCGACTGGGATTTCGATGACTGGGGAGAAAATGATGCAACCGAGAGCAAGAAAGACGAGGCTGAGTCAGAGGACAAAGACGGATGGGAGAGAGAAGATTGGGATGATTGGGAGAAGCCGAGCAAACTGGATGCCGAAGACACGAAGAAGCCCGGACAGAATTTGTATAGCGTATTCCCGGTTCTGTCTGAGATTTCCCAGGACAGTACATCACCAGAGGCGGAAAAGAGTTCTGGCATCTTCCACAATCTGTCCAGGATGATGAAGCAACCTTCCCAGTCCTCGACTTACGACACATTCCCTGTGTTGGACGAATTGGGCGCGAAGCAGAGGTACAGCGAGCCTCCGGCGGAGGAAAAGCGCGAAGAGCGAGTTTCCCATGTTCTGGACAAGCTCGCGGCCAAGGAAACTGCGAAAGGACAATCGTGGGGCTGGAAACCGTGGGGCGGATTCTCCACTCTCCTCTCGACGGCCTCAGAAGGCGTCGCCACGCTCACTCACGGTCTCTCGTCGGTCATCGAGTCGGGAATGGGAGTTCCTGATCCTGCGGAGCTGGCCAGAGTGCAGAAGGAGGAAGCGGCTAAGAGGGCGGAAGCCGAACCCGAAGACAGCGTGACTCCGGCATCGGAGAGCTCAGAGAGATCTCTGAAGTTTGGCCAGATCGTGTCTGGTGTCCAGCAGATCGGGAACAAAGTGATCAGCGGTGGCTTGGACACACTTGAGGGCATTGGCAAGAAGACAATGACCATCCTGCAGGAGAATGATCCGGGATTGATGAACAAGAGGAAGTTGCTGGGCTTGGAAACTGAGAGACCCGTTCTCAGTCAGGTGAGAATTTCTATCGCTTACCATGACTTCTTATTAATCCTCTTCGGTGTTTTGCAGATCCTGCGCGAGGCCAAGGCGAAGACCGAAGAGACGGAGAGGCAGATGAAGCAAATGCACAAGCACTTGTACAGGAAGCAGCTGCACTTCGAGACACTCTTCGATGACTACTGCGGCCTGGTGCATCTCGAGGCGCTGGAGATCCTCTCGAAGCAGTGCGTGCTGAAGCTTCAGTCCCTGCTGGCGCCGCTCACGGGCAAGGCGCTGCAGGAGATGCAGGAGACGATTGGCGAGGTGAAGGAGCTGTGCGAGCTGCCCGAGATGGATGCCGATGAGGCGGACGGGGAGCACTCGGTGGAGGAACTCAGTGAAAAATTCAGCACTGCCGTCGAGGATCTGGGTTTTGAAGTGGAGTTCAAGGAGATCTTGGAGAGTTGGCAGAAATACACCGGATTCCTGTGGGAGAAGAACATCAAAACTACGCGGGAAGTGCATGACAAGGCGCTTCATTGCTTGGCAGAAACCACGGCGCTGTGCGTGTGCAAAATGCACAAATTGGCCGAGTTGCTGCTGGTCATGGATCATCACAGCACGGCCAACGAGGCGGACAGTCTGGTGCAACTCACGACGATCTTCTGCTGGCATCTCAACGGCATCTCCGCGAGATTCGGGGCGCTCCTCAGCGGACCGGGAGTGAGCCACAACGCCGAGGAAGAGGCAGACGATCCCAACACGCTGATCACATCGATTTTCCTCGAGGGCTCCAACAGCACTTCCTACGTGCAGAACGCCTTCCAACTCTTCATCCCAATCCTTCAGCTAGGCGCTGCGTGAATACCCTCCTTGCTATCCATAATCCTGTTTCCGGGCTGTTTTTACGGTGTAACATCAAGATAAATAAGAGCACTTTTAATTGAAATGAAAGCCTTCGGCGTTGAAAGCGTACAGAACTTTCATGAAGTCATCGATGTCCATCGTTCGGGCGCGCATCTGATCGGCTTTGTTGGCCACCAGGATCTCCTCAATCTTCGCCTTCACACTGAAATCCTCCGGAAGATCGATGTTCTTCAATGAGCAGTGAATTTTGTAGTTCTTCTCCATCGTTTCCAGCACAGAGGAGGTCTTGAAAGCCGCTCCAAGAGTCTTGTTTTTCCTCAGGAAGCCAATCCTCGTCAGTCCGTCCCACTCCTGGTAGTTTATCGGCGGCGGAGGATTCCGTGGCTCAATTCGCACGACGCTGGACTCGACTTTCGGCGGTGGCCTGAAGTTGTTCTTCCCCACCTTCATTATCATATCGACGCGGGCGAGTAATTGGGTGTTTATGCTCAGTCGACAGTACAGTTTGTCTCCCGGCTTGGCCACCAGTCGCTGTGCGAACTCGCGTTGGAACATGAGGATGGCGCATCTGAAGAAGGGCCGATGCAAGAGGAGCTTGAACACGAGTGGAGAGCTGATCTGGTAGGGGATATTGGCAATGCAGAGATCGAAGAAGGGCAGCTCAGACTTCAGCACGTCTCCGATCATGATCTGCAGCTTCGATTGGTAGGGAGTGCCCTGGACGCGCTTCTGCAGCTCAGCCACGAGGCGCGTGTCGATTTCGCAGGCAATCACCTTCTTGGCCTTCTCGAGGATCTTCACAGTCATATTTCCCGTACCTGGACCAATCTCCAACACCACGTCCGTTGACCTGATCGCGGATTTGTCTATCATACTGGTGATGACCAGAGGGTTCTTAAGAATGTGCTGCCCGAAGTCCTTGTTGAAGACGATTCCTGAAACACCAAAATACGTGACAACTCAAGTCTATTTCAGCGAAATTTCAGTTTCTTCTGATCATTACCTTGCTTCTGCACCTCCTTGTGCACTCGGGACTTCTTTTCACTCTTTATTTTGGGCATTTTAGAGGATTTTCCAGACCGACAAAATTTCACTGATCTTAGGAAGTGAGGTTATGTCGCACTGCGACAATCTGTTCCCAAAACATTGCGATGTTTCATCCGTGTTTCATGCCCAACATTTCAAAATAAACTCATACAATTTCAGGATAAATATCCTTGATTTTTCTCATATTTCTAATAAATTATAAAGTTATAGGACAGTTCATAAAATGTAGAATGATAAAATTGATGGGAAAATTATTTTCCGAGCTCGTCACGCACGATAGACCCCGAATTGTGATCGGGAACGATGGTCACATGACTTCACTTATCGCGCCGTCAGTTACGAGAGTTTCTGGAGGAAAATACTCCTCCTCAGTCTGTGTCAGGTGCTCGAGTGATCATCGCGAAGGGCTGTGCTTGTGGGCAATATCGTCTTGAGGAGTTTTAGTGAAAAATGGCGAGCAACACCCAAGGAATCCAGCAATTGCTGGCGGCTGAAAAGAAGGCTGCCGAGAAGGTTGCCGAGGCGCGAAAACGTGAGTGAAAAAAGTACTTTGAGGCCGATTTTCCCATCGTAATTTTCCATGACACTGGGAAGACGGAGTCACATGACGACGGTGGTGAGATTTCGTGGCTTTTGCAGGCAAGGCTCGTCGCTTGAAGCAGGCCAAGGATGAGGCCACGGAGGAGATTGAGAAATACAGGGTGGAGCGAGAGCAGCAATTCAAGGATTTCGAGGCCAAGCATGTAGGATCCCGCGAGGGTGTCGCCATCAAGATCGATGCAGACACCAGGGCGAGGGTGGACGACATGAACAGGACCGTGGCGAATCACAAGGAGAGCGTGATCACGGAAATCCTCATGCACATCCAAGATATTCAGCCTGAGTTGCACAAGAACTTCAAGAACACAGCCAAGTAGAGTCCTGAACGCCCTGAAACGCATTCCGTAGACGTAGACTCAGATTCCTCAAATTCAATGTACTTCTCTGTAAAAATTGTATAAAAATAAACAGTATTGTGTGAAGGGATAGTGAGTTAAATAAAAAAGGGAATAATTTAATGACATGTGTGTGGAATTTAGAGGTCTGCGCGCTGATTGAGCGCCGAGTAGCCCACTGGAATCTCTCGAAGTTCCGTCTTCAGGCACATGAACTCGCCGCAGACGCACATCAGCACGCCGCACACGGCGTTCAGCAGCCACCAGGAGAAGGACGTGGGGAAGGCGGAGTTGTACCACCAGCAGATGATCAGGTGAATCAGGTGGAAGGTGCACGTGAAGTCCAGACACAGCTTCGTGCGTCGGACAATGAACCACAGCGCCAGAGCGGCCACGAAGGAGTTCAGCACGAATGCACAGATCACGAGGCGTCCGCCCAAATCAAACACATGGATTTCCTGCAGGACAATTGCCAAATCAGCGAGCGATTGCAGAGAAAATGAGGCACTTACGTGATACTGAAAGAGGTGGTCCAGTGTGTGATTCGCACCCGCGAGCAAATCCATGAAGAACATTATCATGCCGAGAGTCGTGTACACCACAGCCTGCATTGCAACGATCTGCGATATGAGCAGGATGGGATCCCATTGTGTGTTGCGGAAAGATCCTGCTGTTTTCACCATATTTCGTCCCTCTTTATTCACTCCCAGTCATTCTGATCACCCCCCGGATGTTTTCTATGTTTCCCACTGACACTTCGCCGCCGCCCGATAAAATTGTTCCCCAGCTGTGACGGACAACGAAAGGTTACGTCCCACGAATTGTCTCAATATCTTCCATGGCAAAGGAAAATCTTCACTCGAGGATGAAAAATATTCGCTATATTTACTTCTTCACGTGTAATTTCATGTGCGCCAACAAATGCTGCTTTCGCCGGAACATCTTGGCGCATTGGGAGCATTTGTGCGTCTTGACGCTGTCCGTGTGGATCTTTTCGTGGCCCTTGAGAGTGCGCTCAGACTTGAAGAAGGACTTGCACACTTCACACCGGTAATTCCTCTCGCTGATGTGCGTGGACATGTGATCCTTCTTGTTGCTCAGCGTACGGAACGTCTTCGGGCAGAGGCTGCACGAGTAAGGCTTCTCTCCGCTGTGCAGTCTATTGTGCACGATCAGTTCAATACGCGAGATGAATCGCTTGGAGCAGAGAGAACACTCGAATTGCTTGTCCTGCTGGTGAATCAGCTCGTGCTGCTTCTTCCCCTGGATCGTGAGAAACTTCTTGCTGCACATTGAGCACTTGTACTTCCTTCCAGGACACTCATTCCGCAGATGATGCGTGAAGTCCGTATTTGAGTGTAGAGTTGCACTGCAGTGAGTACACTGCATCACCTGGCTTTCGCTGTGGAAGCGAAACTGATGCTGGAACAGCTTGCTGGAGGTCTGATAGCTCTTATCGCAGTTGGAGATGAAACAGTCAAAGCTCTGAAAAGTGCAGAAAATCATCAGCTTACGAAAGTAGTGATAAATCCTCGACTTACTTTGCAATGATTCAGGTAAAGGTGCTCTCTGGTGGATCTCTGGTTGGACATGACATCCAGGCATATTCCGCACTGATGGAGAACCTCATCAATTTCCGCATCGTCTGTGTGAACACTCGAGCTGTGTTGAAGAATGGCAGGGAAATTGGTGAAGGAAGCGCCACAGTAATCACATCGCAGCTTCAAATTCCGCTGTCTCTCGATGGACGAAAGCTTCCTTAAATTCCCACAGTCCTGGTCATCCTCGTTGCAGCCATTCAGGAACTTTGTCTCCATGTAGGTCACATTCTCATGACTGATCTGCAAACTGATGCACTCGTTGGCTTCGAAGTGTTCATGAAGTTGCGTCACTTCCAGGAAGATCACGCAGCAAATTGCACACTTGTACATGGGAATGTTGGACAGAACGGATGGGAAGGTTTTCCGGTGGAAAGCCTCGTGTTGTTGAAACTGCTCAACTGAACTGAATTTCAGCTGGCAGAGAGAGCAATGCCACAATCCTTCCAGAGAGGCAATATTGTCTGCAGCTTCAGCTTCTTCTGTCTGGATTTCATTCATTTCATCTTTTATCTCATCCACAGTGACTTCCACCTCTGCATCGTCGGGAATATGTTCTCTGTGAGCTTCCTCGATGTGCTGCTTCACATTCACCTCGTCCGGAAACAATTCACTGCAGTAGAAGCACTGAATGAGGACAGAACAACTCAGCTTGTGTTCCAAGAAATCCTCATTGCTGGCGAAAATCACCCCGCAATTTTGGCACTCTGGCAGGGATTCCACCACATCTTCCTCGACGTCTTCCTTGCTCTTCACCTCCTCAAATTCTTCCCGCTGGTCATCATTCTCAGCTTCCTGCGTCTCTTGGCCAAAGAGTCTGTTGAGAAGTCTGTCGTTCTGCTGGGATTTTTTCTTGAATATGTAGAAATCTCTCACTTTCTTCCTGCAATTCGTGCAGATCTTCTCCGGTAGGTGATTTTCCTGGGCAATCCTGATGTCCAGGACACTCTCAATGACAGCGGGAAAGTTCACAATGTTGCCATCAACTATTTCACTGCAGAAAATCGTCTTGACCGCCTGATCCTGAGCCAGACAAATGCGGCAGAGATTCTCCGGACTAATATCCAGTTCATAATCAGGATTCTCCCCGTCTGTGTCCATTTTTTCCACAAATATTCACAAAAAGAAAGCAGCAGTGCTTTTTATTTACAATTTCTGATTGAAAACAAGACGCTGTCAAACAGAACCAATAGATCCGATGGCATCCGCATCGTGGCGCTCTCGGCAGGATGATTTTCCTTGTAGAAATTTTATCTTAAAATAAAAGGGAAAACACTTTTAGAAGGATATCAATTCATAAGTTGAGAGATTTTTCACTTCAATCTATACTTCATGTCCACAACTCTATATTGCGTGCATGAAAGCAAGACTGAGGAGATGAACAAAGCATTCATTCAGTGGGGATTTAGAATTAACTAAACCCTTAGCCAGATGAAGACACACGAATATGATTCTCGTGATTATATTCCGGAGCGGCTTCTCTGATGAGATGATCACTCCAAGATCTGATTGGCTTCCAAAAAAAATTTCACTGATGAATCGCGAGCGGTTTTTGCTTGAATGGCAAAAGGCGCCAAAGTCATTTTCATGCTCTCCAAAGAAGTGAGGTTGAGAAAGTGTAAACAAAACAAACACAGATGGACCATCCAGAGGCTGTTGCTGCTATTCTGGCCACTACCGGCTATATCCTGTACAAAAGACAGAGGAGAATCATCGGAAGACGGCTCAAGAAGCCCAGGATTGAGCTGACAGAGGAGGAAAGTCCAGCTGATACTTACCCAAGGACGTACAGGAGCTTCAGAAGCGATGAGAGTTTCTTCGAGTCAACCAGAATGTCACTGTCCACCTTCGATGACTTGCTGAACATCGTGGGCCCTAAATTGGAGAAACACTCATTCCGGAAGCCCATTGATCCCGAAGGACGTCTGTACATGACACTGCTGCATCTGTCCACCAACACATCTCCGGATTCACTCGCCACTTTCTTCAACGTGTCGATCTCCGCAGTGAGAGCTGTAATCACGGACACTTGCTCAGTACTTTGGGAAACGCTCAGTCCTGAGTATGTCAAGATGCCCAGCACTGCAGAGGAGTGGACAGCAATTGCAGAGCAATATGAGAATTTGTGGAATATGCCAAATTGTATTGGGGCTCTAGATGCGAGGATAGTCCAGTTCGTCTCGGGTAGATCGAGATTCGGAAGTGATGTGACGACGAGGGATTTGGTGTTAATCTGCTCATGTGATGCCAATTACGTATTCACACACGTTGATCTTGTAGATAATGAGAAGGAAATCTTCTCACAGACTTCATTAAGACAAGTCCTGAATAATGAGATGCAGCAACTTCCAGCCTCTAGAAGTGTTGCAGAGAAAACACCGCCGCTACCGTACTTTATGGTTGGAACAACGTCTTTTCCACTCCTCAAGCACCTCATAAGACCTTATGCTGGTCAGATGCTTGACCAACGCAGAGCGCACTTCAACAGCCGCTGCCAAACAGCTCATAGAACGGTTGAAAATGCCTTCGGCATCTTGACATCTCGCTGGAGAATCCTCCTCTCGCCCATGACGAAGAAGCCTAAGAATATTGTGCATATTGTGAGAGCTTGTGTGGTTCTGCACAACTTCCTGAAGCTGAAGGATCTACTGTACTGTCCCAGAGGGTACGGAGACTTAATAGACGAAGCGGGTAGAATCCAGGATGGACACTGGCGCCTGGAGACCAATGGACTGCAGCCTGCAACCGGACAAGGCGAATCTCATTCAGAAAACACTGACTTTGTGTACAGAGATATTCTTGCCAGGTGTTTTTATTAAAGAGATTAAATATTTCAGATCAGTTTTTGTCTTTTTGTAGTTCCTCATTAATCCTCGCCAGAAACTCGAATTCCAGATCATTCCTCACGTTCTGTGGCAGAAGCTGCATCTTCTCCTCCAAGTAGGGAAGGAAGGAGCTCTTGGGCGCGTTTCTCTTCATATTTGTGCTCAAAAATGAGTTTGCATTCTCCAGAAAGTGGCTGAACTTTTCATCAATCACGTCCATTTCCTCGTGGAACTCCTGAACAGTGGGCTGCTCTGTGGACTCCAGAGGATTTACCATGGAATCAACATTGGAGGACAGCACAATTGCAGATTCTTGATTGTCCCAAGAATCCTCAGCGGTCTCACTCTTAGGCACAATTGCATATTGCTGAGATCTATTCTTCCTGCCGTAGTTTCGCAGGAAGTCCAGTTGCTTGAAATACATCCACTCATCCTCCTCATCAACACCATTCCTCAATGCTGTGCCTCTCTTTTTCAGCTCTTTTCCGTAGCGATCACGCAGCGACCTGAATCGGGTTTTGCAGTTTTCCACTGGAGAGAACAATAGCGTTTTGTAAATGCATCATTTCGAGGTGTAATGTTGTTCTTACCAGATGTGTGAAGTTCCCTTGCAACTTCCAGCCACTTCTCCTCCTTCAAGTCTTGCCTGCGATAAGCATTTGACTTAATGTTCCAAAGGGGCTCCCGTTTCCTCACACAAGATATCAGGCGCTCCTCAAAAGACATGATTGCGCTGCGTCGTCAAAACTTTAACGTCAACGTCAATTGACGTTGCAAGGCGTCACGCCGTCAAAGACACGTCAACGCTGAATTAAATCTGGACCGTTAGAACTCAAGATTCTCACTCAAGCTCACTGTTACCAAAAAGTGTCCAGAAAAGCTACGAAAATCAATTATCCTGTTCAAATACATTGCAGTGATAAACATTTACATTCCTCTAAAATTGGAAAAGTTCTTTGGAGTCAACAAGGCGGGTACAAAATCCAGCATTATTCATCGGATGTGTTAATTATAATAAAGGTTGAGGAGAACCGAGAAATGTGAAAAGTGCATTTCTTCTTATGAAACAAATTTGCCTCGAAGATAGCATATCACTTGATTGAAGTCCAAATATTTGCAGGTGTATTATAAACTTTGTGTGAGTGTTTGAGTCCACTTTGTATGGAAGAACAACCACGAAAAAAATTAAACAGCTGCGCACAAAAATACAGCCAAAAATAATGCTTTTCCGTGACTTGAGTCTGTATTGTGCAGTGGGCTTTTAGATTAGATACATAGCTGTTATATATGAGTGCTCTCGCGTCTTATTAACCAGTGTAGCAAAATCCATTGCAAAGGTCAAACGTGTTTAGAAGAAATTTTCAGAGTTTCTCTGTGAATCTTGGGTGTTTTGAAATTAACCTGTGACATGATTTGGTTAGTGCTGATTGTGGCCATTGTGGCTTTGACGACCTTCTGGATGTGGAAGAAAGCAGCAAAGAAGCGAAAGTTCTTCGAAGACAAGGGAATTAAGGTCAATAAGCCGAGATTCTTCCTCATGACAATGTACAAACTCCTGACGAAGCAGATGGGAATTGTGGATATGATCCAAGGCCTTTATAATGAAGTCTCAGGAGGTGAAAAGTAAGTCCAGCTATTCAGTAATTACAAACGTAATCTAACGAGTATTTTGCAGAGTTGTTGGTTTCTACGATGGAAACACCCCAATTTTAATGCTGAAAGATCCCGACGTTATCAAACGTTTAGCTGTGAAAGAATTCGAACACTTTCAAGACCGCAGAGACTTTATCAACGAAGAAATGGATCCACTTTTCGGCAATTCTCTCTTTGTCTTGAAGGAGCAGAAATGGAGAGATATGAGAGCGACTTTGAGTCCTGCTTTCACAGGCAGCAAAATGCGTTTGATGTGTGATTTTATTGTGGAAATTGGAGAGCAAATGGCAGAATTCATTCATAGAGAAGCTCAAGAAAAAGGCCCTCAAGTTTACGAGATGAAAGAACTTTTATCTAGAGTAGCTCACGATGTGATTGCAAGCTGTGCTTTTGGTATAAAAGTTGACTCCTTAACTAACAAGACCAATGAAGTCTATTTGGCTGGGAAGATTCTCTCAAACTTCGATGGAACTGAAAAAATGCTGAAGCTCATACTTTATCGCTTCTTTCCTTATCTCATGAAGGTGTTGAATATAAGTGTAACGCCTCAGAAAGAATCGAAATTCTTCAGAAGTCTCGTCACAGACTCAATGAAGGTTCGTGAGCAACAACACATTATTCGTCCTGATATGATTCATCTCCTGATGGAAGCTAACAAAGGCAAGCTGAATCATCAGCAAAATGAAGTAGATTCAGCAGGATTTGCCACTGTTGATGAATCTAGTGTTGGATGGAGGAAATCTGGAAGGATTTGGTCAGAAACCGAAATTGTGGCGCAATGTTTCCTCTTCCTTCTCGCAGGATTCGAATCTGTGTCGTCAGCTATGAGCTTTGCGGCTCATGAAATATGTGTGAATCCTGATGTACAGAAGAAGTTGTACGAAGAGATCAAATCAGTAGATGATGAACTCAATGGAAAGCGTGTCACTTACGATATTCTTCAGAAGATGAAGTACTTGGACATGGTAGTGTCAGAAACCCTGCGAATGTATCCACCGGCAACGATAGTGGACAGAGAGTGCAATAAGGATATCACCCTGGAATTGTATGACAATTTTAATTTCGACTTTAAGAAGAAATATGCCGTTTGGATTCCTATTTATGCCTTTCATTGGGACGCAAAATACTTCCCTGATCCTGCCAAATTCGATCCAGAACGATTTAGCGATGAGAACAAATCAACAATCGATCCAAGCACTTATATGCCTTTTGGAATCGGGCCGAGAAATTGCGTAGGTAAGTTAAGTGGAACAATTTATTGTTGTGAGATATATTTTAATTACATAATTGCTTCTGCTTTGTCAGGCTCCAGATTCGCTCTCATGGAACTCAAGTCCATAATCTACTATTTGGTACTGAATTTTTCACTTGAAGTTACTGAAAAAACTCAAATTCCACTGAAATTGGCATCTTCTTTTGGAGCACTCCAATCTGAGCGTGGAATTCATGTTAAACTCTGCCCAAGGAAATGATTTGTATAAATTAAATTTAATACTATTTCATTGTGAATTGCGGAAAATACAAAATAAACAATGATAAAGTGATAACAAATAGACACCGATAAAGACACAGACTCGCAAGAAATTGCAGAAACCAATCAGGAAAATCATTATGAAACCTTTAATAGAACGATGGAGATTGGTCACTATATACCTACGCATTTGCGATCTTATCAAGGCTTTTGTTGTACAAATTAAATAAATTCTGTGCTGTTGTATTGAAGTAGAATGACTGTCAAGTTTCATCGCCTCAGTAAATATCTCTCTCAGCTGCCAGTCGCGAGTGAACCGCCTTTGCTGATAGACGACACTTAATTATACTGCTCATCAAGATGATTCTGTTTATACTTCTTCTGTTGGTGGTTTATCTTGTGTACAAGATTCGAGAGTTGGACACGAAAAATTTGGATTACTTCGAAGTTCGAGGAGTGAAAAACATCAAAAGAACCTCCTTTGTTCTGGGTTTGCTTAAGATATTCAGACAGAAGGTTTCAATGGTAGACATAGTGAATGACATATACAATCAACATCCCAATGAAAAGTGAGTTCAGTATATCAAGTTAAGTCAAATAAACATTTATTGATGTTTCTTGATTAATTTAACCAGAATTATTGGGTACTGGGATGTTACTCAACCTTCCATCATGATTAAAGATCCTGATCTCGTCAAGGTTATTGCTGTTAAGGAGTTCGATCACTTTCAAGACCATAAAAGTGTGATCACCGAAGAGATAGACGTGTTGTTTGGAAATTCATTGATTTCACTTAAGGGTCAGAAGTGGAGAGACATGCGTTCCACTCTCAGCCCTGCTTTCACGGGCAGCAAAATGCGCCTCATGTCCGATCTCGTTGTGGAAATCTGTGAGCAAATGGTGGAATTCCTTAAGGAAGAAGCAAAAGCCAAAGGACCACAAACTCACGAAATGAAGGACCTTTTCTCGCGTTTGGCAAATGATGTGATCGCCACTTCTGCATTCGGTGTTAAAGTGGATTCCTTAAAAAATCGAGAGAATGAATTTTACGAATCTGCCAAAGAACTGTCGAACTTTTTATCACCCAAAAAGACTTTTAAAATGATATTGTATCGAATGTTTCCGCGACTTATGAAGCTTTTTAAAGTTCAAGTAAACGGCCCACGTGAGACTGCTTTTCTGCGCACTTTAGTAACGGAATCAATGAAGATAAGAGAGCAGAAGAATATCGTGAGGCCTGATATGATCAACCTCTTGATGGAGGCGAAAAAAGGCAAACTTACACACGCCGAGAAGTCAGATAAGGATTCGGCCGGATTTGCCACCGTCGAAGAGTCGAACGTGGGCTTGAAGACAGTCAGAAGAGAATGGTCAGATAACGAGATCCTCGCGCAATGCTTCCTTTTCCTTCTCGCAGGATTCGAGACGACTTCTTCAGTGTTGAGCTTCACAGCTTACGAAATCGCGGTTAATCCCGATGTCCAGGAAAAACTGTTTGAAGAGATCAAGGAAATTGCTGAAGAGTTGCAAGGAAAGAAGCTTTCCTATGACATCTTGCAGAAGATGAAGTATATGGACATGGTCATCTCCGAATCGATGAGGAAGTGGCCAGCAGGTGCTATTGCAGAACGAATATGTAACAAGGAATTTAAGCTTGAATATGACAAAGGACGGTTTTTTGACATGCCTGTTGACCTTAATATTTGGATTCCAATCATCGGTTTTCACAGGGACCCTAAATTTTTCCCAAATCCTGAGAAATTCGATCCTGAGCGCTTCAGTGATGAGAACAAGTCTTCAATAAATCCAAATGCTTATATTCCATTTGGTGCAGGCCCCAGAAATTGTATAGGTATGCATTCAAAGAACAACAAGTGCTTTTTATTTCAAAATTGTAATTTTTTTCAGGATCAAGATTTGCTCTGATGGAATTGAAAGCTACTTTTTTCTACCTCATCTTAAATTTCACTCTGGAAGTCACAGAAAAGACTCAAATTCCTCTTCAATTAGCCAAGACATTTGCAAATCTTCAGGCTGAAAAAGGAATTCACCTCAAGTTACGTCCTAGATTGTAATTTTTGCCTAAAAAATAACGCAATAAGCAGTTTCATCTCGTAATATCAAAATTGCACCACAAACAATCTTTTGCAGAAAGTTTGCGAGTATTTGATGAAATTCACACTGCGAATCAGCTGAAAGTGTTTATCTTATCCGTTGTACACACATCCACACAATTTAAATGAATGAAACACAACAAATGGAAATGTTTTTATTCTGTTCTTTTATGTGTTGGTATTAATAAAAAATGGACAACATTATGTTATTGTCGTAGCGGTGAATTAGTCATATTTTCAAGGTTAACACAGCGAAGATTAGATAAAAAAAAACGAGCAGATTCGTGTACAAATACTCTGTCAGCAAAACTACAAACATCACTCTTGGTCATTCAGTCGTCGCTGAGCTGCCTTTCAAGATAGAAGGTATTTCTTGCCGGCATCAAGATGATAGCGTTTTTACTTGTGCTTCTGGTAGTTTTTCTCGTGTACAAATTTCGGGAGTTGAATACGAAAAATTCGGATTATTTTGAAGTTCGAGGAGTGAAAAGTATCGTAAGAAAGCCCTTTTACGCTGGTCTACTGAGGGTTATACGAAAACAGATATCTATCATTGATATTGTGCAAGAAATATACGATCAACAGCCAAATGAAAAGTGAGTTCAATACTACGTTTAATATAATCCACGTCTTCTTTATCTTTATCTCCTCACTTGTAGCAACTAAAAATAACTCATGATCGATATTCTTTTAATTAACCAGAATTATTGGCCTCTGGGATATGACGAAGCCCGTAATCATGATCAAAGATCCTGATCTAGTGAAGGTGATTGCTGTTAAGGAGTTCGATCACTTCCAGGATCGCCGAACTGTGATCACAGAGCAAATGGATGAACTGTTCGGAAACTCATTACTAGTCCTCAAAGGTCAGAAGTGGAGAGACATGCGTTCCACTCTCAGTCCTGCTTTCACGGGCAGCAAAATGCGCCTCATGTCCGATCTCGTTGTGGAAATCTGTGAGCAAATGGTGGAATTCCTGAACGAAGAGGCAAGAGTTAAAGGCCCACAAACACACGAAATGAAGGATCTTTTCTCGCGTTTGGCAAATGATGTGATCGCCACTTCTGCATTCGGTGTTAAAGTGGATTCACTTAAAGATCGGAAGAATGATTTCTATGAATCAGCGAAAGAAATGTCAGATTTCACAACACCAAGGAAAGGTGTTAAGATAATGCTCTATCGAACTCTCCCATGGCTGATGCAAGCTCTAAAAGTGAAAATAAATCAACCGCGTGAGACTGCTTTCTTGCGAACACTGGTGACCGAATCAATGAAGATAAGAGAGCAGAAGAATATCGTGAGGCCTGATATGATCAACCTCTTGATGGAGGCGAAAAAAGGCAGACTTACACACGCCGAGAAGTCAGATAAGGATTCGGCCGGATTTGCCACCGTCGAAGAGTCGAACGTGGGCTTGAAGACAGTCAGAAGAGAATGGTCAGATAACGAGATCCTCGCGCAATGCTTCCTTTTCCTTCTCGCAGGATTCGAGACGACTTCTTCAGTGTTGAGCTTCACAGCTTACGAAATCGCGGTTAATCCCGATGTTCAGGAAAAACTATTTGAAGAGATCAAGGAAATTTCTGAAGAGTTGCAAGGAAAGAAGCTTTCCTATGACATCTTGCAGAGGATGAAGTACATGGACATGGTCGTTTCCGAATCGATGAGGAAGTGGCCAGCAGCCGCTTTCGTCGACAGGATTTGCAATAAGGAGTTCAAGCTCGAATATGATAAGGGACGATTTTTCGATGTTCCCATTGAATTAAGCTGTTGGATTCCAATTGTGAGCTTCCATAAAGATCCTAAATTCTTCCCAAATCCTGAGAAATTCGATCCCGAGCGCTTCAGTGATGAAAACAAGTCATCAATAAATCCAAATGCTTATCTTCCTTTTGGAATTGGTCCCAGGAATTGCATTGGTAAATCGTAATTTATACAGATAGAGAACGAATATTTTACACCAAATCATGATTTTCCAGGCTCGAGATTTGCCCTGATGGAAGTGAAAGCCATCCTTTTCTACCTAGTACTGAATTTCTCCCTGGACGTCACCGAGGAAACTCAAATTCCCATTCGACTGGCCAAATCAATTTCCAGTCTTCAGTCTGAGAAGGGAATTCACCTCAAATTGCGTCCGCGCGTGTGATTGAGTGTGTGCTATTAAGGGCACAAAGCATACCAAAATTAATTTTCCTTCCTTTATGTAGTAATTTGACGGTATTATGAAAATAAATTCTTCTGTCGGAAAAACTGTTCTATTCAGTTAAAGTGCGCGGACGAGAAATGAAGCCTGGAAGAAAATCTTCGAGTGGGAGAAGAAAGGAGATTTTTTCTGCAGTTCGAGAAGCTTATAGTTATCCTTTTCTGAAGGACTACTTCTTCTGGGTTTGCAGACACAGCAATATGCATTGTGCGAGACATGTTGGCAATCCGAGATTGCACACTTGCGAAAGGTGATATTTAATCAAATACTTGATTATTTATTAAGAATGTTTTTTTAATGTTTGCAGAGCTCTGTGTTTGGCGTTGCTTTTTGTGATTTCTGCAATTGCCATAAGTTGTGCTGTTGTGTTCCTCAAGCGACACCTCTTCAGACCAACAGTTGTGTCTATTGACAGGGATTATATGAACTGGGGAATAATTCTGCCGTCGCTGACATTTTGCGAACACGAGAAGCTGAACGAAACCGCCTTAGAATTGTACTTGGAAGGCAGAGAAGAAGATCCTAAATTGGAACGTTTCCTAAGACATTTGGTTAATTTGTCGATATACAATTTAGACACTCTTCCGAGATATACAGACATTGAGCCGAAAGAGTACCTGAATTTAATGAATTCTCTCACAAATATTTACGACAATCGTGTTGTCTTCACGGCTATGAACATATCAATTCCGCTGGTTCGTGTTATGACTGAAATGGGAATTTGCTGGGCCTTCAATTCCAAACTCTATCCCTTCAATTCAATTGAATATCACATGAACGGAGAAGAAAAGGTCGCGCCTCAGATTTTACAGGCTATTTATCCCCATGCAGACAACTTCCCTATTCTTATAGCGATGAATGGGAGTTCTTATGACATTTTCTGGCACAATCCCAGTGATTACCCAGCAGCAGATCAAGTCATTGAGATGGACAGAGAAACACCGACTTACACATCACTAATCTTCCGATCCTTTCAACTCTACTGCACGGATAAAGTCCGCAGATTGCTGATCTATCAGAGACAGTGTCGCTTTGACGATGAGTCCAATCTGGACCACTTTCCCCACTTTTACTCCTACGGTCTGTGCAGAACTGAGTGCAAAATTCAGAGGATGTTGGAATTCTGCGGATGTGTTCCAGTATTTTACCGCGCAACGCAGTCTGAAGTCTATTGTGGAGTGCAAGACATGAAATGCATAGCTTTCCATCGCATCAAAATCGAACAAATGAGCAGGAATTGCGACTGTTTAAGTCGGTGCGAAGGAATTGTTTACAATCTGGACATCGTTGATATGATCTATTGGTTTGGAAAGAGCACGATTAAATGGGAACTTATGACTTCAAAATATCGCTACAAACGAGAAGTTGTTTATGGCATTGAAGAAGTTCTTGTTGCGATTGGAGCCAATGCTGGACTTTTCTTGGGCTTAAGCACACTTTCCTTCTTGGAGTTCACTTTCTACTATTTTATTCATATTTTTCAATTTGATAGAAGACGATTAAATGAATTGTAAAGATTTCACATAATACTTTTGAAATAAATCACTCTGCATCAAATGAAAAATATTGACACTAACTTCTTGGCTTTAGATTAACCCAGAAACCATTCTCAGGCTTCATAGCAAACCCAGCTTTCGCAAGTTTCAGAGGAATTTGAGTTTTCTTTGAGACCTCAAAAGTAAACTTGGTCAAGATGTAGTAAATAATGGCTTTCGTTTCCATCAAAGCAAATCTCGATCCTGGAAATAAAAATAAATTTTAGTCACTCTCTTAATTTTAGATAAGTCCATGTGATTTTACCAATGCAATTTCTCGGTCCAACTCCGAACGGAAGGTAAGTGAAGGGCGTGATTTTATCCTTGTTTTCATCGCTGAATCGCTCAGGGTCGAAGCGAGAAGGATTTGGGAAGTATTTTGGATCGTGATGCAGGCAAACCATGGGTATCATTATAGCCTCTTCAACCTTTACGTCGTAAGATTTTCCATCCACCTGCATTGTATAAGGTTTCACGCACTTTCTATCAGTAACCGCCGCCGGTGGCCAATAACGAAGACTCTCTATCGGAATGAATAGCAAAATAAGAGATAAGATATCAAATAAGGAAACCAGTATTATTTACAGATATTACCAGAAATAACCATGTCCAAATACTTCATATTATGCAAAACTTCATAAGTAATCGGTTTTCCTCCAAGCATTTTTTTCGTGACATCGACTTCTTCAATCAATTTCTTCTGAACATCAGGGTTCGCAGCTAGTTCGTGAGCTGTGAAACACATGCAAGTGCTGCTGGTATCAAATCCGGCCAAGAAGAAAATCAAGCACTGCGCTGTCAAATCATCTTCCTCAAGTTCTGAAAGACCACAGAATAATTAAAAATTGTTTTATAATAAGGACGATAAAACTTACTGCTCTGATGAATGGCTTCTCCCACAGTTGTTTCTTGAACAGTCGCATATCCTTCGTTGTCCATTTCTTCATCCTCATGCTTGAGTTTGCCTTTACGAGCTTGAATTAGGAGATTAATCATATCAGGACGGACAATATTCTCTCGTTCTCGGTAGCGAATTGTGTCCCAGACGAGTTTTCTGAAGAACGTGGAGAATTTTTCCGAAAAGAGTTTGATACCCACAGCCTGTAAATTATAACAATCAAGTGAAAACTGATATCCTGAAATGAGTATGCCTTTCAGACCTTTGAGAACTTCGGAAATGACACCATCAAGAAGAAGAACAAGCTTCTAAATCCACTAAAATCAGTTGCACTCTTTCCATATTGGTAAAATTCGTTCTCCTTGTCATTGAATGAGTCAACTTTAATCCCAAAAGCACAAGTCGCAATGACATCATTGGTGAATCTTGTAAAGAGATCTTTCAAGTCAGTCAACATTGGTTTTCCTCCTTTTGATTCCTTCTCCAGATAATTCACGGTTTCCGAGCAGCATTCAGAGACTAATTGGAACATTGTGCGCATCTTGCTTCCTGTGAAAGCAGGACTCAGAGTGGATCTCATGTCTCTCCATTTCTGTCCCTTGAGAGATAAAAGATTGCGCCCGAATAAAGGATCGTGTTTTTCTTCAAGGTTCAATCTGTGGTCGAGGAAGTGATCAAAGTCTTTCACAGCCATCTGCTTGATCATTTTCGGATCTCGCAGTAAGAAAATTGGCCTCCGCATCTCAAATATTCCGAAGAATCTAAACAAGTAGAGAATTCTTGAGCATATACCAAATTTTAAATATTTTGCATACTCACTTTTCTCTGGGGAAGTGATCGTACATCTCTTGTATGGCATCGTTAAAGGACTTGGTCTGGAAGACTAAGTGTTTAAAGTTGCCAACAAGTGGCAAAGGTGGGACGAATTTAACGCCACGTTCCTCGAATGTCTTGTAAGTAGCGATGCTCCATTTGTACGTGAAGTAGCCAAGAATTCCTGCCAAAAGACTCCACTTGGAGAAGACAAGACCGGCCAAACAACTTATTGCGCAACCGATCATTCTGTAAACAGAGAAAGACGTGCGCTCGCGAACACAAAAATAACCAAACTGAGAAGACAAGTGAATTTTTTCCTTCTTTTTATACCAGCGCTGAATGACTAATTTCGCAATACACAGCAATTCGAACTGATAAGTTTGTTAACCTTTAATCAAAAATTGATAAACATACACCTATTTATGGTAAAAGATGTTTAATCAATGGACGAGCGTTCTTACTGACCTGAGCAACAGTTTCAGACTAAGTTATATAGTTGAATAAAAATGGAATTTTCTAATGTATTGGTGAGTTCGCTGATATGAGTTCGGATAACTTCGTGTACATAAGCTTTATTTGAAAATATATGTATGTATATATGTAGATTATATGTGACCAAAAAGCTTAATTATAGATAATTGTTCTTTTAATACTCTGTTTCCTGACCCTGAATTATGGAAACAGAGAATTTGGTCAGTGAATTTGAGCTTGAACTTATTACAGCTCATTTGAAATTTCTTGGCTTAAGATCAACCCAGAAGCCTTTCTCTGGCTTTAAAAAGAAACCCGTCTTGGTCAATTTGATTGGAATTTGAGTTTTCTCTGAGACTTCAAACGTAAATTTTGTCAGGATGTTGTAAATAATGGCTTTCGTTTCCATCAAGGCAAATCTCGATCCTGGAAATCAGAATACTTTGATTAGTCTTTTTAAATTTAAAAAAGATGATATTAAAAGAATACCTATGCATATTCTAGGGCCAACTCCAAATGGAAGGTAAGTAAATGGAGTGATTTTGTCCTTGTTTTCATCGCTGAATCGCTCAGGGTCGAAGCGAGAAGGATTCGGGAAGAATTTTGGGTCATGGTGAAGACTTATGATCGGTACCAAAAAAGCTTCACCGACTTTTACTTCACAACTTATTTCATCTGTTTCGATCGTATATGGTTTAACACATTGTCTGTCAGTTGCAACTGTTGCTGGCCACTTTCGCAGACTCTCTGTTAAAATTCACAGGGCTTAAATAATAATTTTAAAAATTGAACTCAAGGAATATTTACCAGAAATAACCATGTCCAAATACTTCATATTAAGCAAAGCATCGTAAGAAATTGGTTCTCCTCCAAGCATTTCATTCATGTCATCAACTTCAGCCAAAAGCTTCTTCTGCACTTCTGGATTGACGGCCAATTCATAAGCTGTAAAACACATACAAGTGCTGGTTGTCTCGAATCCGGCCAAGAAGAAAATAAGACACTGCGCCGTGAGATCATCGTCCGCAAGTTCTGTAAAAAGGTATTTATAATAATAATATTTATCATATTCCCTATATTCAAATTGTATATGAATACTCACTACTATGATGAATCGCTTCCCCAAAAGAGAATCCTTCTTTTCTGTCTTCCTCGTCTTCATATTTGAGCTTTCCTTTCCTAGCTTGAATCAGGAGATTAATCATATCCGGTCGAACAATGTTTTCTTTCTCCCTTAAGTGAATTGTGTCCCAAACAAGTGTCCTGAAGAAGTTGCAGAACGCTTGCGTAAAAATATGTATTCTGAAAATCTATTTAAAAAAAAATGTACATTTCTAGAAGACTAAGAATTCAATATTCTGTACTAACCTTGCAGAATTTAGGAAACATCATCAATAAGAAGAAAGCAAGTGTACGATATCTAGACAAATCTGTTCCTTCTTTGCCATAGAGAAAGAATTGATTGTCCCTGTTTCTCAAGGAATCCACTTTAATACCGAAAGAACAAGATGCGATTACATCTGTGGTGAATCTTGAGAAAAGATCTTTCAAGTTAGTCAGCGTTGGCTTTCCTCCTTTGGATTCCTTCTCCAGATAATTCATGGTTTCTGAGCAGCATTCAGAGACCAAATGGAACATTGTCCGCATTTTGCTTCCTGTGAAAGCAGGACTCAGAGTGGATCTCATGTCTCTCCATTTTTGACCTTTGAGTGTAAGAAGATTCCTTCCGAAGAGTGGTTCATGGTTTTCATCAATATTAAGCCGGTGATCAAGAAAGTGATCGAAATCTTTGACGGTCAATTGCTTGATTAATTCAGGATCTCGGATAAAAAAGACCGGCCTTCGCATCTCAAACATCCCATGAAATCTAACAACAGTTTATCATTTGCAACTTTGCCCAAGCAGTGCAAGGAAATTCATAACTCACTTCTCCGCTGGAAAATAGTTGTACATTTCATTCAATGCATCGGCGAAATTCTTGGTTTGCAGAATCATATGCTTTGAATTTCCGAAAAAAGGAATCGGAGGGATAAACTTGAGTCCACGCTTCTCAAATGTATCGTAAGTCGCAATACTCCATTTGTACGCAAAGAAACACAGAATTAGGACAAAGAAACTCCATTTGGAAAAGAAAATACCGACTAAAAAGCTTATTGCGTCGCTGAACATTTTGCACGTACAAATTATCACTTCGTCTTTACTGTCCGAATCGTGAATTTCAACTGACTCAGTGTTTTCCTAACGCTGTATTCTGAAGCATGCGCGTAGAATGGAAATGCCTTATGACAGTATATAGTGGGAGATTTTCGATTCAAGCTGTCTGCAATCAAATGAACTCGCTCAATTACATGCTCAATGGATTATTTTATTTATTATGTATCAATCATGAGTATTAATATGACATAACGTCTTTAATTATTTCTGGGTTTAAGATCAACCCAGAAACCGTTCTCTGGCTTCAAGGCAAATCCAGTCTTGCCAAGTTTAAGAGGTATTTGAGTTTTCCTTGACACTTCGAAAGTAAACTTGGTCAAGATGTAGTAAATCACCGCCTTGGTTTCCATCAATGCGAATCTTGATCCTGGAAATCCAATTAAATTTAAGTCGCTCTCTTAATTTTAGATAAATGCATGTGATTTTACCAATGCAATTTCTCGGTCCAACTCCGAACGGAAGGTAAGTGAAGGGCGTGATTTTATCCTTATTTTCATCGCTGAATCGCTCAGGATCGAAGCGAGAAGGATTCGGGAAGTATTTCGGGTCGTGATGCAGACTCACGATCGGGATCAGAAATGCTTCGTTAACTTTTACTTCGCAGTTTATCTTATCAGATTTGATTGTGTACGGCTTCACACACGTTCGATCAGTTCCAGCTGCTGGTGGCCACATTCGCAGACTCTCTAAAATAATTTAAATAAACACCGTATAAAAATGATGATTACTACACATGTAAATCAAGCTCATTCACCAGAAATAACCATGTCCAAATACTTCATATTTTGAAGAGCGTCGTAAGTTATAGGCTTTCCTCCGAGCATTTCTTTCGTGGCGTCAACTTCTTCGATCAGTTTCTTCTGAACATCAGGATTGGCAGCAAGTTCGTGGGCAGTGAAACACATGCAAGTGCTGCTGGTATCGAAACCAGCAATGAAGAAAATCAGACACTGCGCTGTGAGATCATCTTCCTCAAGTTCTAGAAACAAAGGTTCGTGTGAGACTTGAGAAAAAAAAAGTATTGATAAATATCTTACGGCTCTGATGAATGGCTTCTCCAACAGTAGTTTCTTGGACAGTTGCATATCCGTCTTTTTGAATATCTTCCTCTTCATATTTCAGCTTTCCTTTCCTCGCTTGAATTAGAAGATTAATCATATCGGGACGAATTATATTCTCTCTTTCTCTATGACGAATTGTATCCCAAACAAGGTTTCTGAAGAAATTGCTGAACTTTTCGGAAAATATTCTTATGCCGAAGATCTGTAATATATAAAAAATATACTCATATTCTGTCACAACAGACTAGAAAAAAATAACCTTGGAAAATGTTGGTAGTTGTAGTACAAGAAGAAAAATCAGGGAACGAAGTCCACTAAAGTCTGTTGCTTTTTTGCCATACTGATAAAATTCATTGTCTCTGTCATTAAGAGAATCCACCTTGATACCAAAAGCACAAGTCGCAATGACATCGTTGGTGAACCTCGTGAAGAAGTCCTTCAAATCCGTTAATATTGGTTTTCCTCCTTTCGATTCTTTCTCCAAATAATTAACGGTTTCCGAACAGCATTCAGAGACTAAATGGAACATTGTCCGCATCTTGCTTCCTGTGAAAGCAGGACTCAGAGTGGATCGCATGTCTCTCCATCTTTGGCCTTTCATTGCAAATAAATTGCGGCCAAAGAGTGGTTCATTGTCAACATTGAAGCGATGATCGAGGAAGTGATCGAAATCCTTAACGGCCATTTGTTTGATCAACTCTGGATCGCGAACCAGAAATAATGGTCTCCGAAATTCGAATATTCCGTAAATTCTGAATGAAAAGCAGACATGTAAAATATATTTGAGCTCTAGATTTCTTTATACTTACTTTTCATTGGGAAAATGGTTGTAAAGCTCGTGCATAAGATCGTAGAAAGTTTTCGTTTGCAATGCCATGTGCTTAAAATTGCCAAAAAATGGCACGGGCGGAATGAATTTGAGGCCTCGCTTCTCGAATAAATCGTACGTTGATGTGCCCCATTTGTAGGCGAAATAGCCGAGAATTGTCACCAAGAGAGTCCATTTGGAGAATATCAAACCGACCAAGAAACTTATTGCGCAACTAATCATCTCGAATTATGGAATGATACAGTGAAAAATTCACAATAACACCCGGAACTGTAGTGATGACAGGTGAATTTTTAGCTGTCTTTTATACACAGTATAATCTGCGCTTATCAGAGAAATTTCTCTTATCGATTGATGATAAAAATACAGAAATAGTATATGTGCTATATGTGCAATATAATGGAAACACTCCCACCTATCCAAACAGTTGATCTTCAACTGAGAGTGATTTTGCCAAAAATTCCATTAAGCAAATTGGTGGGAGTAATTTGTTATTCGTCTGACATTCGGAAGATATCGCTGAATTGGACCACATTTAATATTCGCTTTCTGAATGGCAGAATATATACTTTTGAATACATAACAATTACCGTGTAGAATGAATTAGCCTTTTATGTATGTGTATTGTGAACCTCACTATATAAAGTCAAGAACACGAAAATGAAAACAAATATTGATAACGAACCAGACAATTGATTATTGTAAGCATGACTAGTATAAAAAGTAACAATCATTATATAAATATCATTGATATCTCCATTCATTTTGACACAAATTATTAATATTGTTGTTTGTTTGAAGTTTATAGCCAAATCCTAAATAACTTAACATTGCTTATGAAAGCTTAAGAATTAACAAAAATCATAAAATGTAATGAGCAAAGCATATCATTGATTTCTGGGCTTCAAATGCACCCAAAAACCCTTTTCTGGCTGCAGTGTAACGCCAGCTTTAAGTTTCATTGGAACTTGCGTCTTTTCCGAAACTTCAAAAGTAAACTTGGTAAGAATGTAGTAAATAATGGCTTTCGTTTCCATCAAAGCGAATCTCGAACCTGGAAATTACAATAGGTACTTTAAATCAATATCTTAATTATAGAGAAAATATGATATTGAAATTTACCAATGCAATTTCTTGGTCCAACTCCGAATGGAAGATAAGTGAAAGGCGTAATTTTGTCCTTATTTTCATCGCTGAATCGCTCAGGGTCGAATTTAAAGGGATCTGGAAAATGCTTCGGATCGTGATGAAGACCATATATTGGTATCATAATACCTTCGCCTTCATTCATTTCAAAATCTATATCGTCTGATTTAAAGGTATAGTGTTTAACGCATTTGCGGTCTGCTCCTGGCGATGGTGGCCACTGTCTGAGACTCTCTATCAAGAGCAAAAGACACAGATTAGATTATAAGCGTTAAAGGAGTTTTGCAAGAAGCCACAAAATAATCACCAGAAATAACCATGTCCAAATACTTCATATTGTGCAGAGCGTCGTAAGTTACAGGCTTTCCTCCAAGCATTTCTTTCGTGGCATCGACTTCTTCGATCAATCTTTGCTGCACTTCAGGATTGGCGGCCAATTCATAAGCTGTGAAACACATACAAGTGCTTGTAGACTCAAATCCAGCTATGAAGAATATCAAGCACTGCGCTGTGAGATCATCTTCCTCAAAATCTAAAAATAAATGCTCATTCTGATCCAGATCGTAGCATAAACATGGATCAATAACTCACTGGTCTGGTTAATTGCTTCACCAACATTGGTTTCTGAATCTCTTTCTATATCTTCATCATCATATTTCAGTTTTCCTTTTCGTGCCTGAATAAGAAGATTAATCATATCGGGACGAATTATATTCTCCTTTTCTCTGTAGCGAATTGTGTCCCAAACAAGGTTTCTGAAGAAATTGCAGAATTTATCGGGGAATAGTTTTATGCCGAAGATCTGCAATAAACAATGACAGTTAATCACATTTAATATATGATTATAAATATACAAAATCAACCTTGCAAAATGTGGGCATAAGATGTACAAGAAGAAAAATAATAGAACGACTTCCGAAATCGGTAAATTTCTTTCCATACAGATAAAATTCGTTTTCTCTATCTTTTCGTGAGTCCACTTTAATCCCGAAAGCGCAAGTCGCAATGACGTCATTTGTAAATCTCGTAAAAAGATCTTTTAAGTCAGTCAATATCGGTTTTCCTTCTATTGACTCTTTCTCCAAATAATTCACAGTTTCTGAGCAGCATTCCGAGACCAATTGGAACATTGTCCGCATTTTGCTTCCTGTGAATGCTGGACTTAAAGTTGATCGCATATTTTTCCATTCTTGTCCTTTAAGACCCAATAAATTGCGGCCAAATAAAGGCTCATTCACAAAATCAAACCGATGGTCGAGGAAGTGATCGAAGTCCTTAATAGTCAATTGCTTTATCAACTCTGGATCTCGAATTAACATTATTGGATCTCTGAAGACAAATACTCCGTAGAACCTGAATGAAATGTATAGTAATTAACCATAAATATTCTGGAAAGAGAATTTTACTCAAGGTTACTTACTTTTCATTGGGGAAATGATTGTAGAGTTGATTCACGAGATCTGTGAAAGGTATAGTTAAGAATGCAACGTCTTTGAAATTGCCAACAAGCGGCAGAGGCGGAATGAACTTATTGCCGCGCTTCTTGTAAAAATCATATGTTGCTGTGCTCCATTTGTACGCGAAATAGACGAGAATCGCCACCAAGAAAGTCCACTTGGAGAAAATTACGTGGGTGAGACAATTTATTGCGCAGCTAATCATGTTGCTTGAAGATTCACCATCAAATTCGCTACTGATCTAAAAGAATTTAGCACTGTGTTTTGCTCAACTTCATTTGTTGTCAGATATTTAATAAACACCAAATAGTTTTTTCGTTTGTTTCCACGCTGTCTGCGTTCAACAAGTACTGCGTTACTCAAATGTTGTGCTTCAACTGAGAATAAAAACTTCCACACGTTTGCGCAAAGCTTCTAATTATCATGAAATTAATACTCGTACCGCATTCGGTTGAATTCGCGAAATTGAACGCTATGCTGGTCGCTAAGCACAAGGAGTGTAAACAACAGTGTGGGCCTCTCTACACACTGATGATGTTTACATTCCTTAGCTATAGTAGTAAATACAATGAATGTACTACAAATCTCACTGAAATGAGACAAAAAATTAAGACAAACACTGCTGAAAAAAGTCAATAGTTTATTGTTAGTATAAGATCAATAAAAATTCATTATTATTACGAGGTATTTTCGATTTTATTATCAACTCTGCCTTTAATATTGTTCTATCAAATATTTATGCAAATCAATTTCTTGGTTTCAAATTCACCCAGAAACCCTTTTCTGGCTTCAAAGCAAATCCTGTTTTTGCCAGCTTCAAAGGAATTTGTGTCTTTTCAGAGACTTCAAAAGTAAACTTTGTCAGAATGTAGTAAATAATGGCTTTCGTTTCCATCAAGGCAAATCTCGATCCTGGAAATCAAAATAAATTTTAGTCTCTCGCTTAATGTTAAGTTAAGTCCATGTGATTTTACCAATGCAATTTCTCGGTCCAACTCCGAACGGAAGGTAAGTGAAGGGCGTGATTTTGTCCTTGTTTTCATCGCTGAATCGCTCAGGCTCAAATCGGGAAGGATTCGGGAAGTATTTTGGGTCGTGATGCAGACTAACAATTGGTATAAATATTCCTTCTCCAACCTTAACTTCGCAATTCACATTATCCACTTTAATTGTGTAGGGTTTCACACACTGTCGATCAGTCGCAACCGCCGGAGGCCAGTATCGGAGACTCTCTATCAGATCGTATTTCAGTAGATTAGATAATTAGTAGTTAAATTCCAGTGCAAACTAGAAATATTTACCCGAAATCACCATGTCAAGGTATGGCATGTGCTGGAGAGCTTCGTAAGTCAGAGGCTTTCCGGCCAATTTCTCCTTCATCTCGTCCACTTCTATCAGAAGCTTCTGCTGCACTTCGGGATTTGTAGCAAGTTCGTGAGCTGTGAAGCTCATACAAGTACTGCTCGTGTCAAATCCGGCCAAGAAGAAAATCATGCATTGTGCTGTGAGATCATCATCTTCAAGCTCTGAAAATATGCTTAATTGTACTCTTCATTTTAAATTGAGCTCTAATTAACTAACTGCTCTGGTGAATCGCTTCTCCAACTGTGGTTTCGTGGACAGTTGCATATCCTTCCTTATCGACATCTTCCTCTTCGTACTTCAACTTTCCTTTCCTCGCTTGAATTAGCAGATTAATCATATCAGGACGAATTATATTTTCTCTTTCTCTGTGACGAATTGTGTCCCAAACAAGATTTTTGAAGAATGTGGAGAATTTCTTAGAGAATATCGACAGACCCAAAAACTGAAACAGGTTTTGTCATGCAATTAAGTGAATATTAAACTCTAACTAAATTTGTTACCTTGCTTAGTTTGGGGAAATTAACCATGATGAAGAAAGCAAGACTGCGTATTCCGCTAAAGTCTGTGGCTTTCTTTCCTGCAACATAAAACTCATTTTCCTTGTTATTCAATGAATCCACTTTGATACCAAAAGCACAAGTTGCAATGACATCGTTAGTGAATCTTGTGAAGAAGTCTTTTAAGTCAGTTAACATTGGTTTTCCTCCTTTCGATTCCTTCTCCAGATAATTGACAGTTTCCGAGCAGCATTCAGAGACTAATTGGAACATTGTGCGCATTTTGCTTCCTGTGAAAGCAGGACTCAGAGTGGATCTCATGTCTCTCCATCTTTGGCCTTTGAGAGCGAAAAGATTGCGACCAAAGAGTGGTTCTTGATCCTCTTCTAAATTCACTCGATGATCGAGGAAGTGATCGAAGTCCTTAACGCCAATTTGCTTGATTAATTCAGGATCGCGGATCAAAAAGACGGGTTTCCGGAACTCAAAGATGCCATTAACTCTGCAAAGATAGCAATCAGTGTTGTTTTATGGCACTTAAAGCTGTAATAAACTCACTTTTCTCTGGGGAAAAAATTATAGAACTCATGAACGGTGTCTGTGAAGGTTTTCGTTTGGAAAACCAGGGGCTTGAAGTTCCCAATGAGTGGCAAGGGTGGGATGAACTTGAGGCCGCGCTCCTCGAATATCTTGTAATTAGCGATGCTCCATTTGTACGCGAAGTAGCTGCAAATCGCCGCCAAAATCCCCCACTTGGAGAATATGAAACCGGCCAAGAGACTAATTGCACAACCGATCATTTCGCACGCGCAACTTTGCAACTCTTTCACACACGAAACTCAAATGATCTTCTGTGGAATTCCGCAGTGAATTTTATACCAACGATTGGCGAACTTTTGTGAATGATTTAATACAAAACAAAGGTGATAAAGCCCGTAAAGTCTTATCTATGCTTGATAAAGCACAGGGAGATGCTCGGCGACACAGTCTCGCTGCTTTGAAAGTTTGTCATTGACTGAATTGTATTTAACTCCCACTTTCGGCTCAGGTTTTCGTGTGGAGGGAGAAAATTATTGGCGAAATATACGATGAAACGCTATGAAAAGTTCTTTCTTTCGCGCAAATTAGAAAACCTGACAAGATAAAGCAGAAGATGCAAGGTCAAGATTTTATTGCAATTATTCAGTATACAAAATAAAAACGACAATAATCGTGTAAAGTAAGTAATTAAGCAAACAGATTCCACCAACTCAAGATGTGTGAGTTCATCATGTTGATGAAGTGATTAAGAGACTTCTGCACTTCGCCAGAATGTTCATCAATCGTCATCTTGTCTTCTTCTTGCTTCACAGCTTCGATAAGATCGATTTCCTGGCTCTTCTCTTCAGACTCTTCATGATTATTCATTTGGAGGATCTTGTTGGTTTTGAGGGCATCCTCGAGATTCTTGAACAGGCGCGGAGCATCGGGCAGAGCGCGGATGAAACGACGCTTCTTCAAAATCAACTTCGGCGGCAACATCCAATCGAAGACTTGGGCGATCTTCTTGCGACTGATGTACTTCACCGCTCTCTTCGCCATCGTTCGGATGTCTTCCAGTGTGTCGTGCAGACACTCATTCTCCATGGCCACTGAGAGGATTTTGCACTGCTTCTTCATCTCGCTGCTATCGCTCTGGATTGACTGCAGATGCGGCGTGGCGTCCTGGGACTTCTTCAGCGCCTTCGGGATGAAGTTCAGCATATCGTCAAGTGAGGATTTCATCTTATTTCCCAGCGATTCTTCTATGGCATTTTCACCATCCTCGAGACTGATCGGGAAGACATCCAAGTCCAGGAAATTTCTCTTCTTGTTCTCCGAGAGAATAGATCTGCGCTGGCGATGAGAGGAAATCTCATCCCTGGGCCTGTCCTCTTCGTCAATGTGCGTTATCTCGTGATAACCCAGTTGAGTGAGGATGGAAAGTTCATCGGCGAAGTTGTCATTGTTAGCCTCTTTGTGCTTCCCAAGGAACTTCACCTGATCATTCTTGTTAAGCTGAAGTTGAATTTCAGGGTCATCTTTGGACATTTCCTGGAATTTTCCAGTGCGAAAGCTCGATTTGACCTTCTCAGCGGGATTCGGAGAAGATTTCTTGCCTGGATTCGTAGCTTGGTGTCCAGTGATTGAATCCCAGGTTTCTGGATAAGGATCCATCATGTAAGCCATTTGATTGTCCTGATTCGTAGGCGATTGCAAGACGTAAGCTTGAGGAACTTGAGGAGCTTGAGCTGTTTGTGTCATGGATGAGAGATCAGGATAAGCTTGGGCAGTCTCCACTTGACCATCAGGATAAGCGTTGAGGTAAATCGGCTGGACACTTGGCTGCACATTTGCATAGGCACTGGCCTGGTACTCTTCAGGTTGCTGATACACTTGCTGTCCCCCGAGTCCGCTCAAGTAGGCCTGTGCCTCGGCTTCCGTCAGCTGGTAAGTCTGTCCGGGAAGAATCTGCCCCGTGAATGGCGTCTCCTGAACGGGCAGAGTGGCTGAGATATGCTGGACTGCTGGCGCCTGCACTTGTGCCTGCTGAACCTTCGGCTTCTGGTACTTCTTTTGCTGGGGCATCGCGAAACTCGCGGGCAGAACAGTTTCTCCTCCGTAAGCCTGTCCGAAGAGTTGTTCAGCATTCAATTGAATGGGATTGTCAAATCCCTGTCCAGCATTCAGTTGAATAACATTCTCAAGATTCTGTCCAGGATTCAATTGAATCAGATTATCATATGCCTGTCCAGTGTTCCAGGACGAATGAGGATTTTCATAGAATTGCCCGGCATTCATTTGAGCAGAAGCCTCAAAGCCTTGTCCAGCGCCATTCGGAGAAACTGTGTAAATAAGTGGCTTCTGATAAGCCGAGTAAGTTTGGGCAGTTTTGGGAGCTGTTGGGAAATTCCCTGCCTGAATTCCACGAATCTTCTTGTTGAAGAGCTCCAAGATTTGCTTAAATTTCCCGGAAACATCGCGCTTCTGGTGTTGAAATATGCGAGGAATTGATCTTCTGCCTCGCTTGAGAGTCTCTTCTTGAGCCTCTGACATTTCCTGGATGAGTTCTTGCAGAAGATTTGTCATGGAAGATTCCACAGGTTTTCTTGTTTTAATCTTCATGGTCAGAGCTTCTGTGCAAATTGAGAGATTAGCTTCGGGAATCTCCCAAAATCCTACAGACTTCGGTGGCAGATTTACACTCATCTCTTCATCCTCAACAAGCTTTTCCAGAAGCACAGGAACAACATCGATTGGCATTTGGTTGTTCAGAAGGCGATTATTAAGGTAAATTCTGTCACTTTCAGCACGTAAGATCACTTCATTGATCTTCCCAATGATAATTCCTGGGAATTTTGTTTTGGTTTTCACTGATTTGTCTTCTGAATTAATTCCCATCACAATCACTCCGCCAGGATTCGTCTTTGAGCATTGAGCGTAGAATTTCTGAGACAAATTGTCACTTGACTTGATCTTCAGTACGTTCGATCCCATGAGTTTCTGATAAACCTGGGAAATGTAGTTCCCAAGATCGTGCTCAATGAAGTCCTTCCTGGTGATCATTTTGAAGACATTAGAGAATCCCTTTTGCGCCATTTCGCCGAGTTCTTCCGCCCATTTTAGTCCTTCAGACACGCACTTTGCATCACACGATCGAACATCACGAGCAGGAGCGCTTGAAGCAGAACGACGATAAGTGACACTCACTGGCAGGAAAGTCTCATCGACCAAATGCTGAATTGTTGAAGAGAGATCCGAACTGGAAGTATTTAAACTCCTGGGAGAAAGAGAGACATTTTTAGTGATAATTGGAGATTGTGAGAGGCAAAGATTTCCTTACTGTTTCCAATTGAAGGATCCCACGAAATTTCTTGCCAATTTCGTGTAAATCCTCGCGTTCACCAGCGAAATAGTGTCAGCAAGATCTCCTCCGATGATCTTCCAGCTGTTGCCGAATTTCCTGAAGGCGTCGATCATAAACCTCAGCGTCGAGAGATCATCAGCATAGGTAAACATGTCTTCCTCGTTGAAGTCTGCCGAAGAGCATATCAATTGATATCTCATCCAAGAAATTATTGAATTAGTAGAGATGGAAAAACTGACCTGAGCCAAGTTGGAAAGTGCATTGCTTCACACCAAGATTGTTGATTCTCTGCAAAAGCCTCAAATGCTGACGCGGATTCCAGTCTTTTGCTTGGTAATCCAAAACAACAATAGGCTCAATTTTCGATGACCTGGAATTCACAGTGGAATTTAGGTCGAGGACAAAAACATGCTGATTGTATTGCTTACTCTGTCAATTCCTTGATCACCGGAAGTGTTTGATAGTCAGGAGTTTCTTCGATTCCATGAATCTTGACTTGGATCGTATTCTGCGCCTCTGAAGAGAGATTTCTGCAAAGAAAATTGCCATTAAGAGATTATATCACTTGAAAGTGTAGCTAAAGATCTTACTTGAGTCCTTCCAGGCATTTATGGTAAAGAAGACAGCGTGAGTCAATGGCAAATCCTATGAAGTCCTGATTCACAACACTCAACACTCTCTCGGTGTTGACTTGAAGCACTTTCTCCTCCCCGAGTGAAGCTCCGAGGAGGCAAAATCCCACAATCCAGCTCAGGATCATCACTAGCTCACTTTTCCCGTCCACTCGCGATCACTGCCAAAGGCGAACTGAAGAAATTCCGCGCTTCGCACTTGCTTTCATTCACGCAAAATTCTGATGCCACATTTTCCAAACTGTCTATTTACCAAAACACCCCAAAGCGCTGACACCAATTTTGCCTCATCACCACAGGGAAATGCCATGAGGAATTCGCAGAATTCGCTTTATTCTATCTCTCTTAGTTAGCACTCACTGGATGCCGCTGACTCTTGCGCGATCGCACCTTCGTGGCGGGCTGAGCGCTCGCGCCCGCCTTCCAAGTCTCCATGGCGGCCTCGATGATGGACACACTCTCGGCCATCATCTCCTTGGCCATGGCGAAGACGCTGCTGTCGCGCTTGTGGAACATCATCGCGTTCTGGCACATCAGCAGCACATCGCGCTGGAATTCAGCTGTGCTGCGCACGGCGCCCGTCTCGAGGTTCCTCTTGAGCGTGTGCAGATCCATCGGCCTGAGGATGACCGTGCGATAGCGCGCCTGCTGATCTTCAGGTACCGATCGCAGGAAGATCGATGCGTACTTGTGCGTGCTCAGGCGATTGTAGGCCGGCATGATGGCCTTCTTCCACGCTTTGTACTCGCGATCCTCACTGGACGCTGGCGAACTGGGCACAGAATCTGCGGCATGCGTGGACGAATAGCGCCGACGCGTGCGCGGAATCACATCTCCACCGTCGTCATCCGTCACGAGTGGACTTTCTGATCTCTCGCGATCCTTCAGACGCATTCGCAGACTGAGATTTGACTTGCTGTCCTCATTGCTGTCCTCACTCTTCTTGCTGTCCACACTCAGTGTTTCTGGCTTCTTGCGCGAATAATCGCGCTTCGTCCGGCCGACTTTGTCCTCCTTGATCACCTCAATCGGATAGTCATCGTCCGTGTCCACATTCGTCGACTGATTGTGACCACTTTCTTGCTGTATTGACTCCTCTTCAGCATCGTCCATTGTCTCCTTGGCGTCCTCAAACACATCCTCTTCCACAGAAACTTTCCTCTCAATCTCCGCCCTTTCACACTCATCCATCTTCGCTGCTTCCTCCTGATTGTCTCTGTTTGTCTCCTCCGAAGTCTCCTCCAGATCCATCTTATCGCTGTCCTTCGCTTCTCCTTCCGCTTTTCCGTCCTCCAAATCAATCGTCAAGATCTCCTTCTCAGACTGCTTCTCCGCCAGTTCGCTCAGCTTCATGTTAGAGTCCTCATCGTCAGTGGAGATTTCAATCTTGATCGGCTCTTCGGCGCTCTTTATCTCCGTGCCGCCAGAGTTGCTGGAATCGCTGTCTTTCTTCGTCTCATCCGAGCGGTTCTCGCAATCAGTGCCACTCTTCATCCCATCAGCAGACTTAGAGTCGTCCAGAGTTGTGGCCAAGTCCACGGAATCCACTTCCTGTGGCGCTCGAGAGTTGTCATCACAGTCAGATGACGATTCAGGCTCACTCTTGATCTCTATCGTCTCAGATTCTGCCGCATTCGCTTCCTGACTGCCTTTCTCGGTGTCTTTTGACTCATTCGAGCTGGAATTTTCAGTCTCGTGCGTCTTGATCTGTTGCACCTCGGCCTGAGGCATTGCAGAACCCTCATCGGGCTTGATTTCCTCTGCTGATGCTTTCGCCTCAGGACTGAGGACAATGACATCCTGATCAGTGCTTGGTATCACTTCAGAGACTTCATCCTTCACTTTGGGTTTCACTTCTGAACTGCCAATCAGAGAATCCACGTTCTCCAGTATCGATTCCTCCTCCAACAACTCAGGACTGAGGATGATGGCATTGTTATCCGTCAAAATGTCTGCCAATTCATCAATATTGTCCGGAATGAGTCCATTGAAGTCATCCATAAGCTGCTGATCCTCATCCTTCACTACTTCCTGAGCACTCGCAGGGATTTGCTGCACGGCAGGACAGCTTTCCTCCACAATATCCATCGGCTCAGGCTTCGTCTCGACTGTCGGAAGCTGAATTTGGGGCTGAGCGCGCGGCAAACTGGCAGTGGATTCTGTTTTGATCGCTCCCTTGTTGTCCAGCAGCATTGAGAGAGTCGGCGCAGCCTGAGACGGCGTGGTCTGCGGTCCACTGATGGCTTCCATGATTCCAGGCAGAAATTGAATGGTGGAAGTGATTTCTGGAGTGTTGTGCGCACTGGTGATGATCTGTGATTGTCCCGTGAGGAGATTTGTGATTGTTGGGGCCGTTCGGGAGCTCGTCGGCGAACTGGTAGTCAAGAGAGGTTGTGTGGGATTCGGTGCTGGCGATGGAGACTTCAGGAGAGATGTGAGAAGAGGCGAAGTTCCTTGTTTGGCCGCTGAATCCTCGACATCCATCTCTTCCTGCTTGATCTTTAGACTCGTGAGCGGAATCATGGGCTGTAGAGGTGATCCTCTGGGTGAAGAGCTCGGCGAGGAGGTGACAAAGATCTGCCCAGGGCGCCATGCCTTCTCCATCTCCAGCTTCCTCTCTTCGCGCTCCTTCAGCCACTGCTGATGCTGGATCTGCTCTCTCTCCTTCTGTTTCTTCTCCAGCTCAATCTTCGCCCACATCTCGCGAATCCTATTCTCATCCACCGAAGCGCTGTGCAGGAAGAGAATCTCCTCTTTTAAGCGACCGAACTCCTTCTGATCATCCTGAATCTGCTTCTTGAGCTCTTGAATGCGTTCCTGTGTCAATTTTCTGTAGATTGACTCTCCAGGTGTGTCCACACTTGTTGGCGTGTCTCTCTCTGAGGCCGTGCGCTTCTTCCTCTTGGGCATTTCCACATTCTCAAGGAGTTTTCCATACTGAGCAGCGCAGGATTTCTGCGAGAACCAATCGCTCGGTCTGTTGGCGCCACAGTACATCTTCAACGAGCGACTGACGGACATCCAATTCTCCCCGCTGCAAGCCACTGCTGCCGCCAGGAAGAGCTGCTCCCGCACTGACCACTTGTCCAGTGGAATCCTCTTCATCTGTAGCCTCTCCTGAATTGAAGCCATCGCGACTGTAAACAAACATAGAGGTTAGAACTTCCAATGAGCTTTTCTCTCAGTAATTTGATAAATTCTTAGCGGAATATATTTCAACTTGATAAAACAAGTAATAAATCATAAAATTTTACAGAGGGAAAGTAGAAAATACAAGTATTTTGAGGTAAAATCACAAAAAGCACAGGGTTTCTTGACTTACTTATTACGTCCTCAAAAGTACTGTTTCAATGGTTCTCCACACAAAATCTTAGACTTATCACGGAATACTACTATATTAGCCACTAAACAAACTACTATTACTTATAAAACCGGGCTTTTTTCTGTAAAAACAGGGAAAATACAATTTCCGACGCGTTTGTTGTATTCCGGAAAAATGTACTGACAGTTTCGGAGTGAGTTGGCGCTCCTCCAGCGGTGAGTAGATAAAATGCTGTGACAATAGAAGCATCCAGGAAGTTGATTCTGCTCGGTTTTTGGCCAGGAAACAGGGAAATACGCCAGAGATTTCGCGGAAAATAGTGTAGAGCGATAGATGAGGGTGTGTTGGATAGGGTTGATGTGGAATTATTGCTGGCGCGAAGGTGTGGAGAGCGTTGGAAGTGATTGAAGTTGAGGATGCTTCCCTCGACGGGTCTCTTCAAGTCAATAAACTGCCCATTTTTCACCACTGATTCATGCTCCAGGCCGTACTGCCACTTCAGGCACTCGCGGAAAGGTTAGAGATTATGCTCCGGGGGGTGAGGGATGGGAGGTAGTTAGTGGAATTGTTGGGTAACGTTGCGAAATCTTTGCAGATGAGAGCCAGACTCAGGCGCCTCCAGTGTACACGCCGTCAGCGCAGCGGAAGGAGGCGAATGGGGCGCAGCAGGAAGGACCAGTGGCGAAAAAGGCGAAGCTGGAGTACGTGCCCCACAGTATTAGTACAAAAGCCGTGACGAGCGACTTGCCGGCGCCTTCGTATATTCCCAAAATATCGGTGCTCAGCAAGGCCAATCCGGATGAGATTTCTTTCGATGAGATTGATGAGGAGCTCAATCTCATCTCTGACATCCTTCATGATGTGGAGAGCAATGGGGAGCTGTTGGAGGAGACTCCTGTGGCCACGTACACGCCGTCTAAGATCATCGAGGAGGAGAATCCAGTGGTGAAAGACAATGGAAAGGAGAACGTGGAGGAAAAGGTGGAAGAAGCGGCGCTGAAGGAGTCAAAAGAAGTTGTCAAGGAGGAGAAGATGAAGTCTAAGGATGAAAAGAGGCACAGATCTTCACGTTCTTCAGACAGTCACCGCTCCAGTTCGTCAAAATCTCGACATCACAGCTCTAAATCCTCGCACAAAAGCAGCAAAAGTTCCTCCAAATCCCACGACTCGGATAGGAAGCGCAGTCACAGCTCCTCATCACGACATCATTCATCATCCAGTCGCTCCTCCAAGTCCTCCAGTGAGAAGAGGTCCGAGAAGAGCTCATCGAGTCACTCCTCAAAGTCTTCCAAGCCTTCCTCATCGTCAAATACTCAGAAAAGCCCCGAACCTGCGGAAGACATTGACATCTTTGCCCTCGAGGCGGAGACTAGTGACGAGGATGACATCATGGAGCAGTGCAAGATGATCTTCGAGGAGTTTCAGGACAAATCGCAGGAGAAACCTGCGGAAATTGAGAAGAAGTCTGACGCAGACGTGTCTGAGAAGTACGACGACGGGCCGAAGAAGAAGCGTATTGCTCATGAGAATGCCCAGAATCGTCCTTCACTGCTTCCGGCGCCGCCGAAGCGTGTCAATCACATGCATAATGCTCTGCAAAGTGTCTATCAGCGACAAGAACTGGTGCGGAGACAGCTGGAGGTGGCCAAAGTGGTCAAGGAGGAGGAGAAAGTGGTGGAACCGCCGCTAAAATCACCGCCTCTGTCACCAGGAATGATACCAGTGAGGCGAACCATAGCGCCAGTATCGAACACAATTGCCCTGATGAATGCCAAGAAGCGCATTGAGGAGCTGAAGAAGCAGCGAACAGTGGCGCAGACGGCGTCAAAGATGGGCAAGAGAGTGGCTCACGTGAACACGGCGGTGCTGACGGAGAAGGCTGCGCCGCCAGTTCTGGAAGCGTCCGCCACGAAGATCTCGTACAATCTGCGCATGCAATACTACAATATAATGATCAAGCACTGTCTGGCGATCTATCCCAACTGTGAGGATGCATGGCAGAGAGCTCAGACTGAGGAGTTGACGGTGTTCAAGAAGTGCAGTAATCCGATGATCTACAAGAGCAGTGCTTCCTTAACAGTGAATAAGCTGCGCAAGGAGTCAATTGAGGCGGGAAATATACAGACGGAGAAGAGCAATGTTGTGTCGCATGATGTGATTTTGGCTGGAAAGTCTGCGCAGAGTACATCGTGGAGCATTAACAAGAAAACGTAAGTTGAGATGATTCATGGAATCTTTGGGGAAAAGTGGTTTACTTGTCAATGGACAGAATGGAGGTAAAAGAATGCTTTCTTTGCAGGAGAACCGATTCAACGTCCAGTGGAAGCAGCTTCGATAGCATAGCCAGCTCAAAAGCCTACGATTTGGCGGCTGAGTGTATTTTGACTGAGGAACAGCTGAAGGAGAATGGCTTTCCGCGCCCGGGAAACTACAAAGGACACGCGACAATATGCAAGACGTATCAGAAGCACCACTTGAATCCACCAAATCCGGACGAGAGGTACTGCAGCCGCTGCTCTAAGCTGTTCAACATCTCTTGCTATGACTATACGAGGGTGGACGAGTGCAATTACCATCCGAAGAGCACGGGATTCCGCCGGGGATTTGCAGACAATCTGCACAGATGCTGTCAGCAAACGGCTGGGACGCCGGGATGCATGTATGCCAATTACCACGTGACGCACCAAATGGATTATGAGAACCTGACGGGCTTTGTGACGACGATTTCACGGGACGAAGACTACGTGTGCACGCGGAAAGACATTTACGCCCTGGACTGTGAGATGTGCTACACAACTGAGGGCCTGGAACTGACCAGGGTCACTGTGGTGGACATTGACCAGACGGTGGTGTACGATGCGCTCGTGAAGCCAGACAACAGGATTGTTGACTACAATACCACGTGAGTGAGATTCTCTATTGCAAATCAATAATAATAACTTTGAATTGCAGCTTGATATGCGTGAAATAGATGATTTGATTTTCTTTGGAAACAGCAAATGCCTTCTGGGTTTTAAAACGTATAAATAGAGAGCAAGTAAAGAAAAATTGACAGACAGTCGGAAGATGAAGCATCAAAAACATTCCAAGAGCAAATTATGACTCTTATCTTATCAAATACGGAAGTAGTCAATTAAAAATACGTTTCCATGTCTTATTGTTACTCAAATCTCTTGCGTTTGCATGCGTAGATAATTCCATAATTTTTGCAGCTATTCGGGAATCACGGAAGCGATGTTGGCCAAAGAGACGCGTACTATTCGGCAGGTGCAGGCGGTTCTGCTGTCCATGTTCCACACGCGCACAATCCTGGTGGGGCACAGCTTGGAGAGCGACTTGCAGGCACTCAAGATGATCCACAGCACCGTGGTGGACACTTCAGTGCTGTATCCACACAAGATGGGCCCGCCGAAGAAGCGCGCGCTCAAGACGCTCTGCATCGAGAACCTCAAGCGGATCATCCAGGAGAATGGTGAGTTTGTCTAGCAAATCGTCCTTTCGCTGAATGTTGATGTGTGAATTCGATGTTTTGCAGAGAGTGGTCATGATAGTGCTGAAGATGCGGAGGTTTGCATTCAGTTGCTGAAGCACTACTTGAGGAATCGGATAACGTAGTTGCGCTGAGAATGCGTATCTTGATATTTTCTCGAACGTTATTTAAACATCATCCCTGTATTTATTTTCTTTCACACATTCTCAAGACGGATTCAATAAAGGAAAAACGAGAGCTTGAAATATATTGAATGTTTCTACAGATATAGTGTTGGATATATAATTGATTTTTTCACAATATTTGACATGTTTCATCCAACGTAATCGTTTTCATCGCCTAAAGCATATTATCTGGTCATTATTGGTGGATATTTTAATTAACTCGCGCCGTATGAATTGACGAGATTCAGAGATATATTTTTAAATGTGTGTCAAAATCATTTTCAATATACAAAATTTGCAGGAAATTTTTACAACGCAGAACTTTGAAAATGAAGGGAAAATCATGCAAAATTGACTTTGTAGAATAGAATGATTTCTTCAATGCAATAATAACTAACAATTATGATAAGAAATGTTCTGAGCTCATCGTTAAATTGGGATTAAAGTCTCTGCGCGACCATTTGAACAATGATTGAGCAATTGTGAATTAGAGAGTGAGAGAGAGGGAAAGATTGACATAAGAAATAAACGGAATGAGGAGTGAATTTCAATGAATAACGAATGGAAGGGAAGCAAACGGAATTTTAAATTGATGGTTGAAGTTGAAGGCGAAAGCACGCATTTTTTTTATATTTCTCCTGTATCAATTCAGGGCAATTCGAGTCAGTGTTTCACGAGGTTTATACACATCCTTAAGAGAATATACTGGAAGATGATTTGAGACATGATGTGACCTTCTGCGAGCGAAAGAAGGGTGCTCAAGGTGGAGTGCTTGCAGGGGGAATATTGCATTCAACAAAGAGAGAGATGCTGTATAAAATTCCCATAAAATTAATAACACAACATTTCTCCGGAACTGGACGACGAAGAGGAGAGAAGGGAAGAAAATTGGCAAACAAGATCTTGCCAGCATTCCATCGTCAATGAAATTTCTCAATATAATTTCCAATGAATAACAATGGAGACATTTTCACATGATGTCGCAATCAATAAGTCGCTCCGGGAAAATTGGAGGGAAAGATTCTAATTGGGCTGAAGCACATGCCTTAGAAATCCGCACCCTAACTTTTTGGTTGGCATTTTCCACATGAAATGACTCCCGCTCAATTGCAAATTCATACACATTCTGGCGCGCCCCATTGAAAATGAGAATCCGCGCTGTCGATTTGATATTTATTAATTATGCCCAATCGGATTGTGCTGTAATTAATATTTGTACAATCTGTCCCTTGATTGAGCCCTCCATCGCGACTCATATTCAACCTATTTCCCTGGCATAAATCTCTATTGTTGCGCGCTCGCAGATATGAATTAATATTTTGTGAATTATGTGAAAAGTGAACCTTATCGTTGGACTGCAACAGACGCGCACACACGCGAAATTTTAATATTCATCTCCCGGCATAATTATCTGCCTTCAAATTTACAATTCAATTTTTTATCATCGCAATATTCATCTCTTCACAATTTTTGCATCATCGCGAATTTATTTTGCCCGCGAAATATTTCTCTGTGCAATTTTCCAGCGTATTGTTGCGTGAATTGAATTGGCATTGAAGCTGTTCTATGTATTTTTCACACGCATGCAAATTAAGAGTGTCTTCTTCAGGAAAATTGTGTCGCGAATTCGATTGGCATGTGATTGAGAACAGGCGGAATTACTGAAAAGTTAATCCTGCCATCGTGTCACCATGAAATCACAATCACAGAGGGGTTATTAAAGATTAATCCCTCTCAATGCCTGATTGATCCATTCGGGGGATGAATAAGCTGAAATTCAATAAATTGAGTATTGGCTTAAATTTAATCTCTCTAAATTGTCGAATTCCTCCGGATACTTTATCCTGGCGATGCATCGAGAGTCATGCAATTGCTGGCGAAATGAAGGATATTCAAAGGAGGAATTTTCTCAAGCGGTCCTTTTGGCGCACTGATGCAAGAAATCAAACTGAAAATTGATTTATCCAGGCAAAAGGAGACGCCGGAAAAGCTAATGGATGCTCTCCTGTGGCAGGGAGTGCAATTTTTGGGCTGAAAGATGAATTGAATTGAATCACTTGATAAAATTGAGTCTCACTCACACACGCAAATGGATGAGAAAGAGTGCAAAGAATGATTCCCCAGAGGGATTCAGATGCGAGATTATTGAGATGTTGGAAAATTGAACATTTGGCTGAATTTGATGTGGCTTTGAATTGCCAAAAAAGAGACAAGGCGCGCGCGAGGTGTGAAAAGAAAATTGCTAGGAGTGTGGAAAACTCTCTCTGGCGTGTAGTTTTCGGCGGCGTTCCGCGCACATTCGAACAAGTAACAATATTTGCCATGAATAGAAAATCGCGTTTATGGTAATTGAAAGCTCTTGAGCCAATGATTGCTCGAGAGGGAGAAATTGCTAGCGCCCGAAAATGAGGCATTTTCATCATTTTCGGTAGAAATTATCGCTGCAGGCCATTCAATAATAAAATATTCCTACTCCTCCGCATTCTCTTCTTCATCCGCTAGTAAAGTAATCCTATTTCGCCGCTCTTCCCGCCCTTGCGTCAAAATCGCAGGCGGTGGAATTGAGATTTGGAACTGCGAAGCCATGTGAAATAATTTCTGTGATGTTGCTTCAATCGATAATTAACTGCTATCACGTCTTGCAGTGTTTGATTTATTAACCACCCCAGCATTTTCAATTCCCCTCCACGCCCACGCTTCGCTCTATTTACCCAAAAATCAACCACGGACGCCCCCATCCCAAGCGCCATCGTTGGCTTCAAAGGCGAATCACGTGACAATGATTTTCGTGATTTACATAACCTATGCGCCACATCGATTGTTTGAGATGGCACTGTGATGAGAATACTTGAGCTTTTTATCAAATTATCAGCTCATCTGAATCCTCAAATTAGAGCACACACTTCTCCATTAATTCACAGAGGAAAATCCTGGGTGTAAAATCGAGTATTTCATACTCAAAAATAACCAAATTAGGGTTGATTTTGCTCCAAGAAAATTTTCTTGGAAATCAGAAAATAAATCTAAAATCTTTGATTTAGAAAAGGTTAGAAAAGGAATTCTAAAAAAGTGTAAAATTGTGTATTTCTCTAGTCTCGATGTTTCCATTCTTTTCTCCTTTCAGATGAACAACAGTTCACACAATTTCTTTGAGAAGTCAGTGCGAATGAAGAGAAGCTTTGAATGAAATTCCTCGACTCTCTCTGTACAAGTGATGTGCAATCCAAATGGATGGACATCAAACGCCTAATCCGCAGGCAATTTTCGTCCCTTGAGCTCATGTCTTTGACGTGAATTCCTCGAATTCTTTCGCCTTCTGATAGACTTTAAACTCCCAGAGTCACAATCCAGCAATGTCTTTCCACACCATTGAGACACTTCACCATTCTGGTCAATTAACTTTCACGTCTGTGGACTTTTTGCCTCTTCAGGTTCTGGTTGCTGAAATATTCTCTCAATGGCGCAGACCGCCTAAAATACCGCCCTGGGACGCAAAGGGAGAGACATTTGAAATCCTAATCTCATTATGTGTGTCAATTCACATTGGATGGATGAATTTACGGGGACATCTGAGGTCGTGGAGAGCTGCACAACATCGGCAAATAGTCACAATCATGCTGGGTGATCCTTCTTCGGCGGGTGGCGCTGTCTTTAATCTTGTATGCAAATTGCGTGGGTGGGCACAATTAAATTTTCGCCGGCGCACATAAATCGTGTCGTCAAACCTTTTCCTTCCACGTCATAGACGTGTGTGAGCCCCAATTTGGGGCGGGTTGGGCGGAATGCTGGGCAGGGTGAGTGTCTGCTCCCTCTGAATTTCTTATGCGAACCCCCGACGCCGGGCGTCGTAAATTCCTGGGGTGCCTTACTATCTCTGATTCGAGCGTTCCCGGGAAATTATGCAAAGTGAAAGGAGCGCAACGGCCAGGATCTGAGCTAGTGCTGCGCTACTATCGTATGACCGAGCTGTGACTATGCTTGGAGACTCGGAAGTATCGCATGTCGCAGTGGGAAGCAGAGTTGGCCGAATATTCTACATTTCTCAATTCACGGCGGTTTTTTATTGCATGGTAAACAATGCTCAAGATGCTTCTCTGGTAAGATATTTTCTGAAGAGAAAAGAGAATTTTCTAATCCCTATATTCTGCCACTGAAGACTTCGGCAAGTTCTCGATTAGGTTGTGAAGCTTTGGAAGTTGCTTAAATGGAAACTTTCAACTTAATTTTTCCTTATAGCACCACAAGCTCAAGTACGTGCTTAGATTTAGATTGATTCAAATTAACCAAAACTTCTTTAATATCTCCTGTGGAAGTTTAAAAGAAGTTAAGTTTCTTCTCTTCATTTATAACCTCGCAAAAAAGTTAGAAAGTCTTTCCTAAATTCATCAGTCTGACAAGACAGACTATTTTAAATGAAATTTGAAAATACATTTTTCTACCATATTCATAGCTGAGATTTGGGCAGTTCTAGGAAACGATGATTAATTCATTGAAACTACATTCTCTTAATGTTTGTGAAAATCGACACATTGCGATTCAACAGCGTCAAGCAATGGAGAAAATTCTTTACAAATCCCTTCGTTAGGGCACAACTCTGGTCAGGAGGGAGTGGGAAATGGAAGCGGCAAGTGGAACCTTATGTGTGCGATATCTTGCGATGGCCCTGCTATTGGGTCACCCCAACCATGCCTTCGGCTCTGTGCCGGAAAGTTTGGCGACCGTTGATGGCTTTCAAAATATTCAAATCACGTCTGTGTCTCCAAGTGTCCTCGCCCCGCGTCCTGCTCTCGCTCGCCTGTCTTAAACCGACATTTGCATGTACATAAATTATGTGTAGATGCAAATATTTGTCATAGAAGCAGATAAATGAGTGACTCACACATTTGGGAGTCCATTAAGGATATTGAGTTTTGGGGGATTCGCCTGCACTCCCAGTGAATGTGGGTGAAATAATTGTGAGTAGAATTGATTTCTTATCTGTCTCTTTATGAAGTGGATCGTCTCTCCCGCCCTCTCCCGACCATCCTGAACATCTCATTTGTCTGCATATCGGAAAACCTTTCAGACTTTATTGGCTCACCACTGTAATTGACATTGAATATGTAAAGGCATTTATTGGGTATATTTATTGTATCATTTACATAAAATCCATATAATGTGTGGAATTCTTTCACTCTCCAACAGCATATCGGAGTTGGTGAAAATCCATTTTCCACCACAATCAATAGATATCATTTTCTATTGACTTTTAGAGAGAAAATTGTTCCATGAATTTATTGAGTGCTTTTTATTGAGGATTTTCATATGAGAGAAAAACAGAAAACCGACATTACCATTTCGTGGGGTTTTCCATTTCTAGAATTTCCATGAGAGTATCAAGAGAAGATATGGAGAAAGGATATTTTAGAAAATAAACTGGAAGTCCTTTATGTTCTGATTCTCGGAAGGATTTTTGACAGTTTCACCCGAAATTTTCACCTTTTTTTCTGGTCATTGTCTGTTATTTATAGACACTTCAACTCTGTGCATATCAATGCTAAACTTATTGAATTTC